ATGCATCTTCAAATCATTATGTCATCGGCCAAGTTTAGAACACGTGATTTTGCTACAGTTGGCAAATCGAATAAATAAAGTAAAAAGAGAAGAGGATCAAGATTTTTGCCTTAGGGAAATTCACTTTTTACAAGTCCTCATGAGTAGAGAGTTTCATTTACTCTTATCTGCTCTCTTCTATCACTGAGAAAGTCACCTATCCAGTCTCTGATTTTATGATGGAACCCGTAACTTTCTGGTTTTAATTTCAGATCCGAGTGAGAGACCTTGTCAAAAGCTTTACATAGATATATGAAAATCACTTTTACAGGAATATTTAGGTTTTTAATGCAGCCCGATCCTTTCTTGCAATGGGCGAATTCGTCACGCATGATAGGCCTTTCCGAAATCCATGTTTTTCCATAGATAAAAGATTGTGCCCTTCCACATAGTTTATGACAGCCATACGAATAATTTCTTTTATTAGTTTGACAACTGAACTGGTTAGACTAACGGGACTATAGTTACTAACTTAATCTCTGCTCTTCACCTCATTCACTGAACGGATTACTGCATCTTTCCAGTCTCTTGGTAGTCTGGACTGACTCAGAGATATATCAAACTGTATGGACATAGGTTTAGCAATCACATCCGACAAAATTTTCATAATCCTAGTGTGAATGTTGTGAGGAACATTGGACTTATTAGATTTGAAATGCCGAAGTAGTTTAAGACAATACCAACCCCCTCAACCACGATTGATTGTTCACCACTCCTCATTGCCGGCGGAAAACTTTACTGGAATACCCCGGTAAGGCTATAGCTTTTTCAACATCGTCTCTTGCCAATATTAACGGATCTTCTTGTCACAAAAGCGGTTAGATTCCACCACTCCTGTGATTTCGCCTTTTTTATACGGGGAAAACTGTTCGAAACTATTTTTACAATTCCTAACCAGCTATTTTTCATATAATTGTCGACTTTTACTTATCAAAGGCTTACAAGCATTCCAAGTCTTACAATAACTATATTTGTGCTGTTCCAAACCAGTAGAGATGAACATATTCCTGAAATAATGGGATGAAAGGCCAAAATTACATTCTTTTACTCATTACGACTTTTGTTCAACAATACTTCCGTTTTCATTCAATGTGATGATTACTCAGTGTAGTACTTGTTTTGTTTTCCCGTATGACACTTTATTCTGTGTAACATACGATATCCTTGTATTTAATTGATATTTACTTTGCTCAGAATGACATGTAGCGTGTGATTTGTTATGACTAAGTATTTTTAATATATGCGATTTCATTCTAATTATTAACCAAAATGGGTGTAAAATCAATAAATAAATGAGCGTATTTTCTACTAGGGTCGTTTTCGTTGTCGTGTTTTGGGGCTAATAAATCTTCACCTGCATCAGTCATTGTGTCCTTACTTTTGCGTCGTGGGAATCTCAGTGGTTGCCCGCTTGACAAGTATACGTGATAAGCGACTCCGACATAAAAAATCAGCTACGACAAGATATAACAGTTCGTGATGCAGTCATAATCATCGACCACCATTCATAATAATTCTAATGCTTTCTATGAAGTTTCTTGATCTGCTTAGTTATCGATGGTGGACAGCTGTCCGGTCTGAGTGATACCAGGCATCGTGTAAACGAGAACATAACCAAAGTGGGCCTGTCTTTGAAATGGTTCAAACTGCAGCAATTTACTAGAGACAGGAAGCCAAATAGACATTTTCATTTCGTGTGACCTGTAAAGATTCAAGCTTGGTTTTAAAATATCGGATCAGGACCTCATTGCTCAGTTAAGTGATTTTCGCTTTAGAGGACTGGTAGTCGGATACTGATATGTATTTTGAATGTCGTGCCATTTAATGCCACAAACAGAACCGTCAAATTCAGCAGTTTTTTAAGCATCTTAGCTGTCTATTCTTTTTATACTCAAACTGAAGTTTTGTTTCTACCTATTTCTCACAATCTCTGAAGAAGCTGGGTTGCCTGGCAGCATTGCAAACTACTGTAGACCAGGTATCTCTAAAGTGCTCTTCAAGTGTTAGTCAGTCATTACATTTTTTTCAATGTCATCGTACTGAACATTCATGAACACATTGACAAAGGGTTTTTGTAGAGAATTCCTGGGACCAAATACTCAACTTTATCTGTGTCTGATAGAGGTATCAAGTTGTTGATTCTTGCTGATCCACATGTGGATACTGTACGAGCTTTTGCGCGAGCTCTCTAATGTTCTACGATCAGTGGATGTTGTTTTATCTATGACTCCTGATTGAAATATATCAGTGGTCGATTCGAGTGGAGAGAACTGCAAAAATGACGATACATTATCAATTTGTCCCCATTAATCCTTTTAATCGGAACTAGATGTAAGTGAAGAGTTTGAAAACGAGCTAAGTAAGATCTACTTTTCCGTTTCACACCACAAGTTTTGTTCTAAGACAGCGATATCGTTCATGAGTAAAGGAAACGTAAGACACGTAATTTTCTAAATGAGGTAATAGGTCAACGCTGAGAACAGTTATTAAAGACTCCGAAGTCATGCTGTAAATTGTTGTGGAATGAAACCTCAGAGGTGAGTTCATTGTATTCTATATACTCCCTTGTGATTTATAGCAATGTAACCCTCGATGCAGACTTGAAATAAGTATAAAATTTGATGTTTCTGTGACAACATCTATATTGGATAGTATTTATTATATAATTAAACTAACCTCGGACTTTCTGCTCCTAAAACAATGAAAGCTTGTGGAGCATACACCTGGTATGTCCTATAGACCACCTTTTCTAACCATAAAGGTTTCGAATGAGCTCGGTACACATACTCACCAGATCAAAAGTGGATACGTCTTGCTACGCATCTCCTACGATCTTTGGCTAACTAAGAGCAAACAGTTCTCAGTATATCGATAGTCTTCCAATCATATCTTCAAACGTCTTCATTTCTGATTTAACTGGATTGATATACTTTGATTATGAGGGTGTTACCTGTAAAGGTGCCATCAAACTCCGAATACACGTGGCACTTTTAAATGTACACCATTTTCAATAATCAGCGAGACCTCTAATTCAATTGTCATTTCTGTTTTCATTTCCAGACCTATCCATTCGTTTGTGCTACCTGACCTATCTTGTATGAGTTTTACTCTCTTCACACCGTATGGTTGTATTCAACCTATCGTTTGTACTTATTATAGATTAGCTTTGAATGAATGGTGATTTCTTTATCGTGACAGTATTAAACATCTTACGATTACGTGTAACAATAACTTGAACCGGAGATTTTTCTCTTTTAATTCAGGCTAAACTTATTGGTGATCATGCTAGTAGTCTCTTACAGGTCTAATGTCTGACTCACTGAAGGTGCACCATGACTTAGCAATATATATATATATATATATATATATATATATATATATATTAAGCCTGATACCACTTGTGGAGGAGCATAGGCCAACTGCCAGCATTCTCCATTCAACTCTGTCCCGAATAATCCGTTTCAATCATTCCAAGTTGCTTTCCATCCTTTTCATGTCTGCCTCTAATTCCAGACACAGTGTGCTCTTCAACTTTCCTCTTTTCCGTTTCTCTTCCGGATTCTGAGCTAGCGCTTGCCTCGTTATTCAGTTTGGTGATTTCCTCAATGTGTTTTATCCACCTCCATCACCTTTTCTCAATTTCCTTTTCATTTGGAAGCTGATTTGTCTTCTCCCAAAGTAGACTATCATTGATGGTATCGAGCCAATGGATATTGAGTACTTTGTGCAGAAAATTGTTAAACAATACTAGTACATTGATGATGGTATTAGTAATTCTCCAAATTTCAGCTCCGTACAGTAGGACTGTCTTGACGTTCGTATTGAAGATTCTCAATTTGAAATTAGTTGACAGTTATTTTGAGTTCCATAAGTTGTTCAATTGTATGAATGCTGTCCTTGCCTTGCCAATCCTCGCCTTTACATCTGCATCAGATCCTCCTTATTCATCATTAATACTTCCCAGGTACATAGAAAATTCTACATCTTCCAGAGGTTCACCATCAAATGTAATTAGGTTGATGTTCTCGATATCGTATTTGAGGATCTTACTTTTCCCATTATGTATGTACATCTATATGAGATGGAATCGTTAGAACTGAAACAAAGTTTCATGCACTGATAAACTTATCATTATCAGTTTAATTAATTTAAAATGTTCAAGTGTTTTACTGGATTGATTATAAATTATGTAACTGGTAAATATAAATGTTAAACTTAATTTCCTAATTCGAGATGAGTCCATATATTCATATTCATATAATTATAAAAAATAAAAAAAATACTACTACTACTACTACCACGACTACTACTATTACTGCAGTGTGGTCTACTTATATCCACATAAGTAGTATATGGTGTTTGTCAGACGTAGAATGTATTTTGGCAGAAGACCGATGAGGAAAGAACTGAAATGAAGCGCAATCGTTTGGAAAATGCATGAGCAATGGAATAATAGAAGAAACAGTGAAGATTGAAACAATTGATTGTTAATTTGCAAATTGACTGTTCATTGTTTGGTTATTACAATTTACTGAGATAGTCTGTAATTTTTGCTTAAATACATTCGATGGTCCGCAACTAGTGTTCTGTTCACTACACTACTACGACCACTGCGACGACTACTACTACTAATAATAGTAATAATAACAATAATAATGTAAATAATATAATGACATGAAATTAATATCTTGACAATAATAATAATAATAATAATCATTGCATATTCTTATCATATTTGTTTAAATGCATCGCATTTAAAAGCGTTAAATACAAAACAAAAATTATTGATAAGATATTTTTAACTACATAAAAATTCTTTATTATAATACTTAATAAGAATAATATAAAGAATTAAAAGAATATTATCTGTACAATTAGAAAAAAAGATAAACTGTAAAAAAAAGAAAAAAGAAAAGAAAAAGGAAAAAAGGAAAGAAAAATGAAAAAAAGAAAAGAAAAAGTAAATAAAAAAGAAAAGGAAAAGGAAAAAAGAAAAAGTAAAGAAAAAAGAATAGAAAACAAGAAAAACAGAAAAAGAAGAAAAATGAAAAAGGAAAAAGAAAAAAGAAAAGAAAAAGAGAAAAAGGAAAGAAAAGAAAAGTAAAGAAAAAAGTAAATAAAAAAGAAAAGGAAAAGAAAAGACCGAAAATAATAAAAATAAGAAAAAAATTGATCAAAATGTTTTCAATGACAATAATAATTAAAAAAATAAAAAAAAGAAAGATGAAATTTAAAAATAAACAATATTTTGAAGATTTAATATAATTAAAAAAAAAGTTAACTATGTAAACAATAGAAAGAATGATAGATAGGTTAGATAGATAGATAGGTTAGATGGATAGGTTAGATGGATAGGTTAGATGGATAGGATAGGATGGATAAGATAACAGATTACTAGAATGAATGATTTCATGATTGAATTGTTAAAGTATAGATATATAGTATAGAAGATCATATTCATTGAAATAAATAAATAAAAAAAAATTATTGACGTGACATTTTTTCTTCTAAAAGCATAGCACGTGTATTACTCTAAATGAAGGAAAAGAGAAGAAGAAATTAGAATATTAATGGATAATTTAGGAAAAAATTATACTACATTAATGGTCCTGAATGGATCAATCAATCAATCAATCAATCAGGATTAAGATAGTTCTTCATTTTGCTATATCTTTGTTATATTCCATGGAGATTTATGAATGGTAACCATTGAGAACTATTTATAGACCAATATGATATGTATATTTCCTATTGTATAATTGATAAGTAACTTAACTATTCATATACGTATCCCTCTTATTATAAGTTTTATTTTGACTTATAGAATATTATTATACGATTTACCATTCCTGTCAGCTACAACGTAGGACCAGGCACAAATATGAATCGGCCCACATTGCCACACCTCGTTAGCATAAGATGAATACCGAATTCAGAGTAGTTAATATAATGATGGTAATATATAAAGTTGATACAAATGTAGATATCCAAATGAGTAGAAAAATTAGATTTTCTGACGTTTCGTAACTCAGTGTAAGCCACTTCTTCAGAGAATAGACAATCAGATCAAAACAAATGCAAGTTTAAATAGTACAACGGAACAAGATAAGAATATTATGTACGATCAATCAAAAAACAGGTCTGAACAAATCAATGTCATGTTATTTCGGTCAAGGCAATTCATAAGCGGCATGTGTGTACGTCCTACTTGGACCATCTATCCTAGCCACATCAGTCAGTCACAACGTAGAACTTCGTACGTACGTACATCAGTTCGAGTTACCATACCACATTAGCACAGAGATGCAGTTGTCGATTCAAATCCCATAGTGGTAGAAGTAGTAAGAGTATAAGCAGTAAGATGACATACGAGTATAATCCAGTGAAATAAATTTGAAAAATGAAAGGGATATAAACAATTCAGAAGATTAGAATTTGGTAGAACACAAAGAGTGGATGCACCTTCGCCATTGCACACGATTTTGAGCCATGTCATTCAAGGTCTCTAACAATCGATTGCTATCATATCGCAAATCTCAACCAAGTAGTCTACACCTAACAACATGGCTCAGTCCACTTGTCAGTAACTTCATGGATTTGTGTCACGTTCTGGTCTGGCCACCCATAGCTTTCTTCCAAGCTATTCCTACACCATAAAACATTGCACGTCGCAGCAGTCGTTGGTTAGACATATGTATTACGTGTCCCAGCCATCTCAACTGAAGAATTTTCACTAATTCATCAAACGATTTGCCATCCCTATGTAGTATCCGTTTTCTAACAACTGCCCTACTTATTCGGTGGTCCCAGGATATATGAGCAATGCTTCGGAGACACCTATGATCGAATACTAGTAGTCTAGCCACCTAGTCTGATATTATTCACAATTCACATTATTATCTTACAAATTAAGCTCTATCCTTTTTCACCATAAAGGTCATACATTTTTCATCCTTAGCAGCGCACTTACACACAAATTTACTTACATGTTGCTCATGAATCACCTTGACCAAAGTGGCAGGACATCGATTTGTTCAGACCTGTTTTTTTTGATTGATGGTACATAACATTCTTACATTATCCCTTTGTACCATTTAAACTTGGATTAATTTTGATTTCGTTATTTATTCTCTGAAGAAGTAACTTGTATTGAGTCACGAAACATCCGAAAATCTAAGTTTTCTACTGATTGAGATATTAATAATCCTATGCTCCTCCACGAGGGGCAACAGGCGTAAGTAAGTAAGTTTATATTCAGTTATAACATTGAATCTTGTGATCATTTAAAATCATTAATGAAATTAGAAAAAAAAAACATTTTTCAAGGTTACATACAAGTTGTTTTTGTTGTTGTTGTAATTGATCCCGTTCCATTCGTAATTTTTCTAATGCTTGATTAGAAGTTGTATTCTTTGGAGCAGTTAATTCCATTAAAGCAATATTAGCTTCTTTTTCACATAATGAAGCAGTAAGTGATTCTAATCTGAAATGATTATACATCAGAGAATAAGCAGTCAAAATGTATATGAAGTCACATTTAAGAATTGGAATTGTTAATAGAGTATTATAATTGATATCAAAGCATTCAAATCGGTGTATATTGATATATATATATATATATATATATATATATATATATATATATATATATATATATGTATATATATATATGCGTGCTCCTGACGAGTTCCATACTAGGACGAAACGGTCGTCCAGTGCTCCTAGGTTTCCAATGATAGTCAAGCTTAGATCAATTCGTGAATTCAACTATGAAAAATACTACAATCTTCATAAATACGTAGCAAAATAACATGAATTCATTATGTTTCGCGGATTCTTATCAGCTGCTTACAACCTAAACATTATATGAATTGCGATGGCTTCAGCTATGTGCAATAGACGAGCTCGTAAACCATGTGGCAAATTTGATGGAATATATTCCATATATGGAACCGAACCTTTGTATCCAAAAGAAGTTTCTAAACATTATAGTTAAACATTAACACCGTTGGATGCCGGCTCAGTGGTCTAGTAGTTAAGAACTTGCACGCAAAACTGATAGGTCCTGGGTTCGGACCTTGCGAGGCGAGATCGTGGATGCGCATTGCTGAAGAGTCCCATAATAGGATGAAACGGCCGTCCAGTGCTTCCAGGTTTTCCATGGTGATCTAGCTTCAGTTAATTCATGATCTCAACTATTAAAATTACTATAATATCCACAAAACACCTTCTGAGAATAGTGTTAATCTTTGAAAATCAGTTTACATACTCTATATGATAACATAGGAAGAGTTCTCATCGATGGAGATTAACAAATAGAGTAACAAATACGGGAGAACAATATGATTGTGTTGCATGCTACTTATACCGACAGATATAAGTAATATGTATTGACAATCAAAAGTGAAATGCTTGCCAGCAAAAAGATTGAGAAGATTGAATTGAAGAGAAAAGGAGGTGAAACAGAGAGCGATTGTATTAACAATAGGATTAAGGGAATCATCAAGCATGCAAAGCACAACTGAAGGAAGATGTCTATATAACATGTCATGAAAAGAAGAGACTCGTAAAAATACATGAATAAATTAGTTCACCACGATAAGGCAAGATTGGCAACCAAATCCTTCTGGATATATAAATTCGGTTTGAGTCTTTTTACTGCTTCGCGAAGCAGTAGTAATTTATACGTTCTTTAATAATTAATTATTTTGGAGGGCTTTAAGACATCAACACCATAGCTACTGTTAAGCAGGTAGTGTAAGGTTGCACTGCTGAGAACGTATAGTTCTCTCAGTCTAAGCTTCTGTGAAATGTGCTCAATAATGTGGACACTAACCCCTCTTTCTGTTCTTCCATTGTGTGTGCATTAGCATATATATGTAGACTAATAAATACAACTGGAGGTAACATAAGGCGGGAATTTGTTCATACATTACTGTCTTAATGACCAAAACTTTTGACTCAGAGTGATCAGCTTGTCTGGATACGTCCTCTATATTATACCTTTTAGTATGACATCAGTCTTCCCAACAATCTCGTCACTCTTGAATTGAAGTCTTACCAAGACAGACTTTTTCTCAAACACAGGATAATACTCAAAATATAAATATTTACATTAATTAAAATCTGAACATTACTTATCGTTTCGGATCATAGATCTGATTTACAGTGGTAAATGTAAACTTGGCTAATAAATGTAGATGTAATTATTGTGTTATCCTTACATTATATCATTAGTTAGTCCCGATCTAGTACTCGAATTCCGAATCTTCTCAGTTGCGGACGAACTTTGGCTGCGTCGTCGAGATTTAAGCATTCGACACGGAATGTGTCTTCGAAACGACGAAACCAGGAATCGAAAATAATACCAGATTCGGGTTCATAATTGAATTCACAAAATAGAATTTTCCATGCTTAAACATTTTCTGACAGAGAAGTTGAAGATGAATGAAATGAGAGCTTCTGCATCAATGCATCCAATAGCTTCATTAGTTTTGCATTATACTGCGCTTGCTGAATTTGTAGAATAGTTTTAGGGTCGTCAAAAGATACAGACATTTTATTTTGGATCACTCAATATTTAAAAAAAATCTCCGTTACCACTTTTGTTAAGGCTTCTTGTTTCGCGGTTCACATCACATATTATTATCACATATAAAGGTGTACATATATATATATATACTTACTTGATTGTTAAAATTTCATCGGATTGATCTTCAACTTGTTTATTCAATGTGGTAATACGTTTGTTCAATTGTTCAATTTTATCTTTACAACCATTATGTTCAGCTTTCAATTTTTCAAGTTCAATCAATGATCCTTGAGCCTATAGTTATAAAAAAATAAACATTCATTTAATAACTTAACTCATAAAAAGTAAGTAGATTGAAATCTTTCAAGAAATAACAGCTGTGTTACACGGGATCGATTCCGTCAGGGAGCATCAGTTCCCTCAAGATTACAAGTAAACCTTGCTGACAAGTGCCAAGTAGCACAAAACCTAAAGCCAGGGTTTCCTGTTGACTATCTTCAACTACTATCTTATCTCAACATAGTGTACAAAATATCAAGTCACTTAAACTGGTGGTCACATTGCAACTTGGTAAATAGGATTCGATCTGCATATTCATGACATATATGACATTGATCACCCAGTTATAATACTTTTATATAGTATTGTTTAAGTGACCCTCAGAATGCTTTCCTCTAGTTAGACATTAATACAACAAATCCTGAACTATTGAAATGGGGTTTTATGAGGATTTTAGTAATTTTTTATACTTGAAATCATCAGTCAATTGAATCTACACCACTCGCGCGTGAGACTGATAAGTCCTGGGTTCAAATCTCGCAAGGCGGGATCGTGGATGCGCACCTAATTCTTAGCGTCATAGTTGTTTAAGATTTCTCTAATTGGTTGATAAATTGTGTCAATTTCAAAATGTTAACTGACTGACCACAGTATACAACTTTTACAAACTGTCTAATCTTCCATTTGACAAATCTCTCTAAAGTATTGAAAGCTTCACGACGAAACCATTCTTTTTAGAGTTGATCATTTCAGCAGAGTCAGAAACCGATGTTTCACAGCAATCCGATTTACATGACACTGGATGATGACTATCCAGTGCTTACAACGATATCTGTCCTATTCCAAATAACATGATTGAACTTTTAGGACTGACAATAAAATCTAAATTTGAGGTTGATTGATGAAGTTCAATCACCGCTAAACGACTAGATAAACGCGAGAGTGATCGCTACACAGTTATCAACCAATTGTAAACAACTCAGTCTTACAAAATGTTAATTATGAGATAAATGACTCAGTGGTAATATCCGAAGTGTGTGAAGCTAAGTGACCTCGTTTTAAATCTTACAAGAATTATCAGTCTCGTCAATACTTCAAGTATGACTTATTAAAGAATCCTAACTGACACGAAATCTTTGTGAAGTATGGTTTTATTTCTGTTATATCCTAGCAAAGACATAAGCACGGATAACTCCCAGGACCTATAAATGGACCGTTATTATGTATATATTCCTATTGTCTGACTATTGAGTAACTAGATTATGTATATCTATATTCATCTTATTATAGGCTTCATTTTGACCTATGGATTACTACTATACGAATTACTGTTCCTAAATTATACTCAATTTATTAATTATTGTATCCCACATTCACAGCCACATTTGGCTTGATCTTGTACAAATATTATTTTCTATTTTATGGTGTTATGCGGTCTGTCTGTCTGATATATAAACTGAGTATGCTTGAAATAATTGATTCGCATAACAGAAGCTGTCATTGGTGTTCTGGACTCAATTGGAAGAGCTAGGCGGATAAAGGACCAATAAGGACGCTAGATTACTCATACTGTTCGGACGTCATTGATTGGCACAGTGTTAAGGTCGGAAAGGTTGTATTTTAATTGGTGGATAATTCACACGAATAAAAGCCGGACATAAAAAAAACCAATAACGAATTAGGATACATCCTTTGTTAATTTAGTAAAGTCATAACATATTGACGACGGCCTTGATCAAGTCACAACAATTTCGACTACCTCCAACCATCACCTAACAATAAAATCATTTATCATTCAGTTCATAATTCAAAAAAATGAAACATAAAATTTTATGATTCAAACATTGTATATTTTTACTTGATCCGATCGTAATTGTCGAATAACACGATCTCTTTCTTCTAATCCAACTCTTTGTTCATCTAAAACTTGATTTAAATTAGCAGTTTCTTCTTCAAATCGACGTAATTGTGATTGCATTGCTTCAATACGATGTATATGCTTTTCTTGCTAATGAATAAAATGTATAACAATAGTAGAATGAAATTAATTCATTTGAATAGCTTAAGTATTGAGTTAAATTGTAACTATTGCGTAGCATGCATCCAATGCCTTGTCATTCAATAAACATGCTGTATAGCAAACTAATGGAAATTTCTATTTTATGAATGCATCATATATACATATCATAGATATTCATCATGATGACGAACCAATCAAAGTCGAAGAAGTGATTTAAATGTTACTCAATAATAATACAGAACCATGCTAACTCACATTGTGGCGAACTTCTATGAGCTTATCATAACTAAGCATTTGAAGAAATGTAAGATTAACTAAAAGCACAATATAATGATATTCCTATGCAATGTATGTTGGCATAAAAAGGTAATAATGAGAGATCATTTCTTTGTTACTTGAAGAGGGAGTTTAAATTAAGTAGTGCTATTGGTAATGCACACTGGATTATAGATATACAAATTGTATTCAACTAGAAACAAATCGAAAGAGTTCAAGTATTTTCAAAGACTAGGATTTAATCAAGATGAAGGTTTTGTTTTACCGAAGTAGATGACTGTACTGTACGGAGCTGAAACGTGGAGAACTATGAAAGCCATCATCCACGAAGTACAAGTATTTATGAACAGTTGTCTACGCAAAATACAACATTCACTGGCCGGATACTATCAGCAAGAGCCTACTATGGGAGAGGACAAACCAGTTTCCAGCTGAAGAGGAAATTAGAAAAAGACGTTGGAAGTGGATTGGACATACATTGAGGAAATCGCCAAACTGAATCACAAGGCAATCACTAACTTTTGCTTATTTTCCGCAAGTTTTTTTTCTATAGGATGGGGTTTATGACTCCACACCCAACCCTCCCTTTTTACCCGAGCTTAGGAGCTGCAGTATCCCTAGAAGAACTACAGGCGGACTTCTAACATTTAACTGGCAAGACGGATTGTCATCAATCTTTACCAAGTCTAAACATGTATCATAATTGTGGTGTTATTCAAATTCAAATATCCTGGTTAAATGATTTACAAGACGATTGGTCAATATCGTTACAAGATTTCAATATTTATCGTCAGTATCGATTAAGAAATAAGGAAAGGTAACTCATCGAAATACTTGATGTTGAGAATTTTAGATTGTACCGAAAATATTATATTTAATAGAGCCAGTAATAATTAATAATAATAATAATATTATATCTTTATACATTTAGATTTCAATATTTTAGAAGGGGTTTTGTGGAGATTTCAGTATTTCCATAGTTGAAATTATGAGTCAATTGAAGCTAGACCACCATGGAAAACCTGGAAGCACTGGACGCCCGTTTCGTCCTATTGTGGGACTCATCAGCAGCGCGCATCCACGATCTCGCCTAGTGAGATTCGAACCCGTGAATTACCAGTCTCGAACCAGAGCACTTACCCGATAGACCACTGAGCCGGCATCCGATATTTCCCTAGATCCTCGAGTCAGTACAATGGCTAGTTTTTTAAATCTATTTCGTCAGTCAATATAATCTACATCCTTTATATTTTACTAATTATCTATTAACATTCATGCTAATTAGTCATCAAACCATTTCAAAAATGATGATACTCAAAAGGGAAATTTTCATTGTTAAAATACATAAATGACAATAATGAATTATACAGTTTCTAGGTTCGATCACTGATAACTTTCAACAACAACAACAACAACGACAAGGAAGACATACACATCAACGTTATGAAACAAACATTCGACACATATGTTAATGAGAATATAACTTACACATTCTCTTTCTAAACGATTAAGTGCATCTTCACGTTTATTAATTTCTTTTTTCAGTGTATCAATCTCTATTTTTAAAGGCTATTTCAATAGAAAGAAAATATAGAATGAAATTATCATTATTGTACAGTATAACTGTATACAACTAAGAGTGAAGGTTAGCGCCTAAATACCCTGGTACGGCCGAGAGTGCGGAGGGCCCACTCTCCCTCTCGAAATGCTCTCACATGGCCACGTGCATACAACCACTGACAGAAAAAGTTCTACTCACTGCCTTCTCGCATCACGGTTGTTGTTTACAAAATTTAGAGGATGAAAAGCGAATGTCCGGCGATTAAACTGGGTTGGTGGACACGGAAAGTTCACCTAGGGGAGTTGGGAAACCCTAATTCCAAACCCATGGTGAACATGGGATCCAGGATCCTGAAAGAACTGAGGGACTGAATCTCCTCACGACCTTCAGGTTAAAGGCTCGGGGTGTAGTCCCCTAAGAAAACCACCTGTTTCGGTCTGGGAGCCCGGGCAGTATCACAACCCTCGCACAAATAAATGAAATGATGCTTTCTGCCGAAAATGATATTCTCGCTCCATGATCGTATGTATGTTAACTGCTCATACTATTCACTACATTTTGGTAACTTAATTTTACCTAACTATAAACATTGAGTCGCACTTGGTCAAAACGAACTGGATCACTCTCCTTCTCCTCTACGCATCTCTTCGTTTCGTCCAGCTTTGCTTCCTTCACTTCGTCTCTCTGATTGTCTGCCTAGATCAATGAATATATGAGGTATACGCATCGGCTCATTTCAATCCGTTATTCTCTGACTCGAATTAAGTCGATGATTATGTACAAGGGTAACCGGGATGTATATTTCGATAACAATCAGCACACGACCTAACTGAAATCAGATATAAGTCCACTGATATATATATATAATCTGTAAGATTGCTGTTTTAAAATTCATTCAATGTTGTTAATCATCTATTTTATGCTTGTTATAAATTTCTAGAAACTCACTGGTCCTCTCAATTTGGAACCTGGTTCTATAGGGCCTCCAAGCTCTTCAATTTGCATACGTGCATTACTTAGCTCTTTCTGCAAAGTGATTATTTCTTCAGATTGATTTCGAAGCTGAAATAGAAGTTATAAAGATCTCATTATCATGGAAGACTTGTAGAGGTTATTTAACCTGCAGTTAAGAACTATTGAAGTCGTACTGGATGACCTATTCAGTGTACAATGAAACGAAGAACCATGCACCTCTTTATATACGATAATTTAGATGGTTGATTATAGTTCCTTGAAAAAGCTTGGACTAGATTGCCAGGCGAAACATAGGATTTAATTCAAATTCATTCGCTGAGATTTCACAAATATATTATTCCTATTGAGGTCGTAATTAAGAGAATCTATTCACGTTGGGAATGAAACATGTGATACCAATGAAAATGGAACATTGGTTAGAAGGTAACAAGTTTGTCAACAAGATGAATGCTCTGTATGGATTAGACAGCTGTCTCGTGCTCCATGGCATTCCATACAATAAAAGTCCCATTTATTTTCTGTATGATCTTGCTTACTAAATCAAGTTAATCAGTTGGCTTTACTATAATAATCCTCATGTTTCTGAATTCCAACTGAATATGTTCCTACCACCGAATTCGGAAATCGGTCATTATCCAAAATCATGAGAAAGCTTTCAGGTTATTCATATTCCTCTGTTAAAATTTTATATCTATAAAAACCATTAGACAGTATTGTCACATTTTATGAACACTCTTAAATCGTTCCATTTCAGATGAACTAACGTTGTGACCGGAGTAGATTTTCTGACAACAGGAATCAACAATCCACTTAGAAACGTCTGTATTGTAATTCATAGCTCATTTAAGGATTAATGATGTACCTTACTCCAAAGATAAACGATTATATAACATGCCAGTTTATTACTGAGTACATCAATTATCTAACTATTTGGCGTGATATCCCTTGACTTTTTTAGTAGCATAAAGAATGATAAACAACCTAGAGGTTAAGCGCTTGGGTGCGAGACTGATGAGTCCTTGGTTCGAGTCTCATCAGGCAGGATCGTGTTTGCGCACTGCTGAGAAGTCCAACAATAGGACGAAATGGTCGTCTAGTGTTTCCAGGTTTTCCATGATGATCTAACTTCAAGTGACTCATGAATTCAACAATAAAAATTACTAAAAATCTGCAAAATCCCCTTCGGATTCAAAATATTTTAGTTTTCTATAGTGTAAGTAACTCCGCCTGAGGAGCTACTGCCGATCCCAAGCCCAGATAAAGGAGGAGGTTTGTGCATGCGGTTAGCATAAGTAAGTTCATTGAATTAATTTAAAAACTCTATAAGACCTCAAAACTTACATGAGTATTTTCCAATATATCTAAAGCTCTAGTTTTTTCATCTAATTCTTGTTGAGTTTGCCTTAAATCTTCTTGTAACGAGTTTAATTGTTCGTCAAGTTGTTGTTTAATCACTTGAGTATCTTTCAGTTCTGCACGTAATATATTCAATGTTTCCGTTTCTGATTCTCTAATTGTTTGATGAGTATCAGTAATTTTTGTTTCAAGTTCTTTATTACGTTCTTTAGTTAATTGTAATTCTTGTTTTATTTGATTTGTATTTGATTGTGTTGTACTTAATTCAATAGTCATTTGTTCCATTCTTCTTCCTTGATTTTGATATTCTCTATTCAATTGATCTAATTGTAATTGTAAATGTTGTACCTGATAAACAATTATACGCAATAGGTGATTAGTGAAATGAAACCAAAATTATATACAGTTCATGATACAAACTACCCCTCAATGCCCTGGTATGGCCGAGAGTGAGGAGAGTCCGCTCTCTCTCTCGAAATACTCTCACATGGCCATGCGTAGTACAGCCTCCGCCACGGAAGTCCTACTCACTGCCTTCTCGTGGCATTACTGTTGTTTACGAAATTGAGAGAACGAAAAACAAATGTCCCGCGCTTTAACCGGGTTGGTGGACACGGAAATTCCACCTAATGGAGTTGGAAAATCTTAATTCCAAACCAATGGTGCATATGGGATCCAGTATCCTGAAGGAACGAATGACGTATGAACCAATTGTTGGTCACCGGCTACCGTGGAAATGCATCTCCTTAAGATGCTCCACTGCCTTGTGGATCAGACGTTTGGGTCAAAGGCTCTGGGTGTGGCCCCTAAGAAAAAACCACCTGCTTCAGTTTGGGCACCTGAGCAGTATCACAACCCTCACACAAATTTCATTTGATTTATGGGGCGCATATGTATCTGGTACCCCTTTGTATGTGTATAAATAAATAAATATAATGCAAACTACTTTTGTGTTATAAGTAGTTTACTAATCTTCACGCAAATTATGTGGTTAAATGGACTTTCGGATTTTAAGTTTTGACAAATATTTCTGTTAAAGCACAAGTTACCGGTATGTAACTATGACAAACCCATAGTCACAAAACTTCGCTATTTGGATAATATTGTAACAGAGGGTTGGAAATGATAAAGTCTGACGTTAGCTCTTGCAATATTTAGTCCTCTTTAGAATTTATATAGTGTCTCAACTTTTTTCGTGGTCTTTTTGCAAACCACTTTCAATCACTCAACACCTATACAATTACTTTACTCACTAATAAGAACTCTACTTACGAGATCAATACCTACGACTTAAAATACTAATGTGTTCATATCAATTGCACTGCTGAAGAGTCCCACAATAGGACGAAATGGCCGTCCCGTGTTTCCAGGTTTTCCATGGTGGTCTAGCTTTAATTGATTCATGATCTCATTTATAAAATTACAAAAATCTTCAAGAAATCCCTTTCTGATATCAACTGTACATTGTTTGATAATGAAATCGTCCAGTATGTTTTGTTCACTCAAATGTTTGTTCTATACTTTAATCAAGTATTATTAAATTCAATTTATTTCGTTCAGTTAGCCACAGTTTCAGATTAAACCTATTTCGTCGAAAACAATTATTGGTAAGATTTTCTTAGAATCATACTGTTTATGATATCAACACTGACGTGACCACCGGGCAGAAGTAAAGTTTGGATTGAACAATTAAGAGGAATTATAAACCCCTCATGTTATAACGATAGATAGATAGTGGTCAGAAGTAGAATCCAAGTCGCGTGTTTCGTCTTATTTGAGACTCGCCACCTGGATGTACCTGAATCTTGGAGTTGATGTTCATTCACACACGCACACAGTATGTACATATGTCAATAAAAGACTGATCAATTGCAGTTTTAAAAATCAATAGGAAGACATAAGTAAACAATACCAAGTGAATTTATAGTTCTTTTCAACCATATATATATATTCGGAATCGAAATATGATACTCTTTATTCATCTATCTTTTATGAAATGCTGCTGAAGATCTGGGATTGAACTTATTATCATTCGTAAATTTTAAAAAACTGAATCTCACCATCAGTATTACTCAAATGATAATTCTGCTTATATATTCAAACACATCATAAATATCATGAAAAATACATAAGTATAATGCAAAATTTGATAAAACTAATTGTAGATAAGCAAAGATGGATAGTGGCTAGCAATGGAATCCAGGACGCGCGTTTCGTCCTATTTGGGACTCGTCAGCTGGATGTACCTGCATCTCAGAGTTGATGTTCACTCTGGCACTCGAACCCAGTACCTTTCGCTTCAAACGCCATCTCGTTGCACAAGCAAGTGGCTATCAGGACTCAGTAGCTGAGTGGATAACGCGATGGCGCTTGAAGTGAAAGGTACTTGGTTCGAGTCTCAAAGTGAACACCAACTCTGAGGTACAGGTATATTCAGTTAACGAGTCCCAAATAGGACGAAACGTGCATCCTGGATTCCACTGCTAGTCACTATCCATCTTTGCTTACAATGCTTGTGTAATAAGGCTATATCGAGTCAATCCTCACAGTATGAACATATGCCAATTAGAGACTGACCAGTTACAGTCCTAAACATCAATGGCAATCATCAAACAAACAATACTAAATGAATCTAACTGTAGATAATTACAATAAATTCACTCACTTCATTATGACTAGCCTTTATTTCATTACGTAATTGATTACATTCAAATTCTAATTGTTGACAACGTTTTAATTCATCTGCTTGTTGTTGAGTCTTTTATGAAAAAAAGAATGGCAACATATTAAATCGTCAAACTATCATATTGCTTAAAAACAAAAAAATCTTTATTTACTCATGAATAGAACTGGTAGCTTTAGTCAAAAAAAAGATTAGTGCTCGCTTGAGATGCTCCTTTATCACCTCCAAATAACCGCCTTAGTAATCTTACGTTGATTGTTTGGTGACTGTGATTAAATATAGTAATTCTTATTGCTTTCCTATCTCCTTGTCTTTTGATTATGATATTCGAAAGAGCACGGTATCTGAGTTGTCTAATTCTGTAACATCTTTTAGTTACTAGATTAGTCTTTAAACAAACTAGATTGACTGAATATCATTCTTTATGTTTTGTCTACATTGATCGATGTATCATTTTATCTGGTGAAATCTTACTTCTATTTAATCATATGACGAGCTAATTCTACTTGATCAGAACAGCTTAGCTTTTTGGCACTGATCACTAGGGTGTGCCTGATATGTTGAATGAACAGACTTTCTTTGTGGTCTAAATAAACCTGTGGTGACGCCCAAGAATGAAAATTCGTGTGACAGGATTTTCAATAACAGACAAAATCAGTCCCCTCAAGATTCACTATACCCCTTGGTGACGAGTCCCAACTAGCGCGAAACCTAGGTTACGGGCGTTTGCTATCGGCTTTATTTAATCAACTAAAATCACAATATTCATGGTACTACCATTAAAGAAGATATAGAGACAAATTATTTGATGAATGGATGCTAAATAGAATCAAATATATTCATGAGATGACATTAATAGTAAAACAGTGTTATATCCCGATAAGAATAGTGAATGGTAACTTTGGGATCCATTTATAAACCAATACTATGCATATATTTTTATTCTATAAGTGTTCACTAACTAAACTATTCATATTCACGTCCCCTTATTATAAGCTTTATTTTGACTTATGAACTATTGTTATATGATTTACCATACTTGAGTAATGCCCAGTCTATCAATTACTATCTCCCGCATTAACAGTCTTATTTGGCTAAATCTTGTACAAATGTTGTTTTCTATTTTATGGCATGATGTGGTCTGTTTGGTTGGTATAAAAAATCGGTATATTGGGGCGTTTCGTCCTATTCGGGACTCGTCAGCTAGATATACTTGCATATCAGAGTTGATGTTCACTCTAAGTGAATAACGCGATGTCATTTGAAGCGAAAGGTACTGGGTTCGAGTCCAAGAGTGAACATCAACTTTGAGATACAGGTGCATCCAGATGACGAGTCCTGAATAGAGCGAAACGAGCGTCCTGGATTCCATTGCTAGCCATTTCCGTCTTTGCTTACAATGCATGTCAATTAAGGCTATATCGAGACAATACGCAAAGTATGCACATATTCAAATAAGAGATTGACCAGTCGCCGTCCCAAACATCAATTGGAAGATTCAAACAAATAATACTAAGTAAATCATTATGCGAAACCTTTTAAGAAACAAAACATTTCCTTACATGTGATTCTGCCATATTTAATCGTTGTGACATTTCATTAATACGTTGTTCAAGTTCAGAACAATATTGTCGTACATTATTCAATTGGTTTGCTGCATTTTCAAGCTAAAATGTAGCAAAGAGTAAATATTTGATAAATGAAAAATTCTAAGAAGAAAGTGAATGGAGATTATTTTCTTAATGGAAAAATCTTGAATTATTGAAACGGTTGATTGTAGATCATTCAGTCAGTTACAACGTAGAACTTCGTACGTACGTAGAGTTGCCATACCACATTAGCACAGAGATGCAGTTGTCGATTCAAATCCCATAGTGGTAGGAGTAGTAGGAGTATATGCAGTAAACCGATTGTTGATCAAAGTTGTCTGACTAATTCATGAAATGTTATTCTGTTTTGTTGAAAATGATCTATGATCATGAATGCTATATTGTGCAAGATCTTGGATATGAACTACTGTAAATGCTAAAATAGATGAAAATGGGAAACTTTGGAAGCACCATTAAATAATATGTTTACTATATATATTTCTTAATTAGTTAGTTTATGATATTCATGGTCCATTAGGGTGCTGGGTATCTGTATGGTTGCGCCATAGGAATGAGCTTTGCTATTCAGATAGTAACGTTAAAGCCTATATGGTGTCTGATTATTCTGTGAAGCAAGGTTGAGTTGTACTGCTCGGGTTATAAAGTTTAAACCTGGATGGTGTCTAGTTCTCCTAGAAACGGGATTGAGCTGTACTGTTTGGGTTGTGGATTTGGCACACTTTGAGGAAATCACCCAATCGCGTCACAAGACAAGCCCTCACATGGAATCCTCAAAGCCAAAGGAGAAGATGAAGACCAAAGAACACATTACGCTGAGAAATAGAGACAGACATGAGAAGAATGAACAAAAACTGGAAAGAAATAGAAAAGAAGGCAGAGGACAGAGTGGGTTGTAGAATGTTGGTCGGCGGCTTATGCTCCATTGGGAGTAACAAGCGTAAGTCAAGTAAGTAAAGTAAGTTTGGGTTGTCACATGAAAGTTTGGATAGCGTCCAGTTCTCCTGAAAACCAATGTAGAAGTACCCTAGCCCATATGGGTATATTATATTATATAACTTATGATATTCAGATATTTTTTCCTGGTTTTAAACTTCTGTCTGACGTGTTAACTGTTTCCATAGCTTTTTTCCATTCGAAAATTACTTTAAATTATTAATTAACCTACTTGTCTATGCTCCTCCACGAAGGGTAACAAGCGTAAGTAAGTAGGTAAGTAACTTGTCTACTTAATGCACATTAGGTTTTGTTATTTATGTTCCATCCTGGTCTAGTAATGTATATATATACTAAGGTCACCAAGGTTTAGAAGTCTGGTGATTACAAAGTAGTGCATGATGCATATTTGGTCTTCCTAACTTTTTAACTGATAGTTTAAAGAAAGATTTAGAATAAGATATGCAACGATATATGGTAACTATGTTAATTAATTATTGATGGGTCTAGCAATAAAATCTTGAGATGGTGGAGAGGATTTGTAGTTCAGGTGGATGATCTAGGTGGAATTCATTGAGCTAGATGGTTTAGTCATGGAGTTTTCATTGTTCTTCCGTACAACATCATCAGTAAAAACTTCAATTGAAAGTAAAGTGTTCGGATTTCTGCACATATGACTCACGATTATAGACACACATTCGACTGGAAAAATATTGAAATCTTGGATAGAGAGAATACTAAAAGCACCAGAGAGTTCAATCAAAAATCAACAAACAAATTGCAATCGATCCAATCTGTCAATCAATCAGAACAATCATGAACAAATATAAGACCAAGAATCAAAATAAATAGGCAGATAATGACAGGTTAAAGGTCAATGATAACCAATCAAGATCAATGTCAACAGGACAAGCTGTGATTCATATGTGGAAAAATTCGAATAATTCACTTCTACTTGAAGTTTATGCTGATGATATTCTTCGGAAAAACAATGAGAGCATGGTAACCAAACCATCCAACTCAATGAACAATACTTCACTTAGAAATTAAATGCATGATAACATAAATAATTAATAAACCTTTATTTAAAGGATGACAGCTGAATAATGCATTTCCAGGAAGGAGCGGAGTCAGACAAGGCTGCCTACTCTCCCCATTCCTCTTCCTTCTGGTGATTGACTGGATTATGAAGATTTCGACATCTGAGGAGAAACACGGAATACAATGGACATCTCAGAGACATTTAGTGATTTGGACTTCGCAGATGACCTAGACCTCCTATTTCATACACACGAACAAATACAAACGAAGACAACAAATGTAGCAGCAGTCTCTGCATCAATAGGCCTCAATATACAAAACGGAAAAAGCAAAATTCTCAAATATAACACACAGAACACTAACACAATCACACTTAATGGCGAAACTCTGGAAGAGGTGTAAAGTTTCACTTAACTGGATAGCATCATCGATGAACAAGGAGGATCTGATGCAGATGTAAAGGCGAGGATTGGCAAAGCAAGGACAGCATTCCTAAAATTGAAGAACATATGGAACTCAAAACAACTGTCAACTAATTTCAAAGTCAAAATCTTGAACACGAACGTCAAGACAGTCTGTTCCACTGTACGGAGCTGAAACGTGGAGAACTACTACATTCATCGTCAAGAAGGTACAAGTATTTATAAACAGTTGTCTACGCAAAATACTCAACATTTACTGGTCGGATACTATCAGCAACAGCCTGCTATGGGAGAGGACAAACCAGCTTCCATCTGAAGAGGAAATTAGGAAAAGACGTTGGAAGTGGATAGGACATACATTGAAGAAATCACCAAACTGCATCACCAGGCAATCCCTGACTTGGTATCCAGAAGGGAAGTGGAAAAGAGGAAGACCAAAGAACACATTACTCCTGGAAATAGTAGAAGATATGAAAAGGATGAATAACAATCGGAAAGGATTGTCCAGGACAGAGTTGAATGGAGAATGATGGTGGGCGGCCTATGCTCCTCCACGAGGGGTAATAGGCGTAAGTAAGTATTTAGAACAGATTAGATTGTTACTTATTTCAAGAGATGATAATATAACCATCATAATGTTTTCTAAGTTTTAAAAGAAACAATCACCTGACTTGTTTTCTCAATTAAAAGTTGTTGTGTATGAGTTAATTTGTCTTTTGCTACATCAGTTTGAGTTTGAAGTTCACGTTGAGTCTTAGTCTAAAGATGACAAAAACAAAATGAATGTAATTATAGACATTTATATACATAGATATACATATATAGACTAGATTCGATGTACCACCTTGAACTCAAAATGTTGAAGATGATGGAAGTTGGCACATTATTTACGAGTACGAGTTTTGTCATCTAATTACAGTAATGTAACTTAGAAATACGAAGTCGAATTCCAGAGTGCTTTCGGCAGTTTCTGCTCATCAGGAGGCAAGCGAAACCTATCTTGTCGACCTTTTCGAGGACACTAACTTGTGTGCTATCCATGCCAAACGTGTCACCATTATCAGCCTTCCGGCTTTCGGCCTACCGAGGGATCCACGTCGATACCTGGCACGTAATCTGCCTGTAGTGATGATCGTAGTCAATTGCGACTCCACGCCATCTACATCTGGTGAGGCCGACGTGAGTTGCTTGTACAAAAATAAATTGAATAAAAGTATGATAAGAAATGAAAATGGATAAGTAAGTGTTGAGGTATTCACCTCTAGCTTTGCTCAATCTCCTGCAACACCTGTCCCAATCAACACAATCAATGTAGGTTGACAAGATCATCCACTGGTGTACTCACTGTGTTTAACAACTCAACTTCAGCATCAAACACACATTAGTTTCGTGACATTCTGCCAATGCTTTCAAAACATTCATGATGGTATACTATCAACATACATATATCCTCAACCAATAAAAAGCTGTATATCATGGTTACAAGTCATACAATAAGAACTGGTAAAGATTATGCTCTTCTTTTGATAGGTAGATATGCCATTCATTATATTGGGTCGTTTACTAATTAGATTCACTATGTCTTACTAAACAGTACCCAATTCAAAAGGTATCAGATGTAAAAATCTTTGTTATTAAATTGTAATGATGAAATTTTTAACCGATCTGATTCGAGTGGATTAGCCTAATTAAAATGACTTCATCATTGTAATAATGATCATTTGGCAACCCCCCACTAGTGACTTACTCCATGAGGTATTTCCTGGAGTTCTAGTGAGAAGCCATGACCAGTGGAGTTCAACCGGGTTTGTTGTGAGATAGTAACTCAATGAAGACATTGGTGAATGGTTGCTTGATTTCATGGATTGATTGAATTTAGACATTAACACCGTTAGATATCGACTCAGTGGTTTAGAGGTTAAGTGCTCTGGTGCAAGACTGATAAGTCCTGAGTTCAAATAACACTAGGCAAGATCTTGAATGTGCACTGCTGTGGAGTTCCACAGTAGGACGAAACGGCCGTCTTCTGCTCCCAGGTCTTCCATGGTGATCTAATTTCAATTGACTCATGATCTCAACAATATAAATATCAGATGAATACTTTACCAAGTTATAAAAAAAATCAACTTACTAATTCATTATTATATTCCATTTTTTGTTTTTCTAATTCTTTAATTTGTTCCTTAAATTGTTCTATCTCATTTGTAAGATTCTTTATATCATTCTTTAAATTATCAACTAAATTACGAGATTCTTGTTCTGATTCTTGACTAATTCTTAATTGATTTTGTAAATTTTCACATTCTCTATGTAAACGATCCATTTCTCTAGATAGATGAGTTGTTCCAGATGTTGTACTATATAATGGAACATTATCATAATTTCCTGGACCAGCAGATGCTGGACGCATTCCACCAGTTGAACTACTTATACCAAAAATACTAGTTACTGTAGCTGAACCACTTCGTCCCATACTACGTTTTAACTATTTAATGAAAAACAAAATTAAATAACATAATGATAGCAATCAATAGATATTGGACATTGATGGAAATTTAACTAAATAAAAGATTAAATTTAATTAACATTGTTTGTTTGAATCTTTCCATTGATGTGTTAGAACTGCAACTGGTCAGTCTCTAATTGGCATATGTGCATACTGTGCGTATTTTCTCGATATAGCCTTAATTCACAAGCATGATAAGCAAAGATGGATAGTGGTTAACAGTGAAATCCAGGACGCCCATCGCACAAGCAAGTGGCTATCAGGACTCAGTGGCCGAGTGGATAATGCGATGGCGTTTGAAGCGAAAGGTACTGGGTTCGAGTACCAGAGTGAACATCAACTCTGAGATGCAGGTACATCCAGCTGACGAGTCCCAAATAGGATGGAACGCGCGTCCTGTATTTCATTACTATCCACTATCCATCTTTGCTTACCATAAATAAAAGATTATATCCTAGTGAAAACATAAGTACGAGTAACTCCCAGGACCTATTAATGGACGATTATTCTATATATATTCTTATTGTACAACTATTCAGTAATTAGACTGTGTCTATCTATATTCATCTTATTCTAAGCATTATTTTGACCTATGAATTGTTATTATACGAATTACTGTTCCTAAATTGTCCTCAGTTTGTTGATTACTGTCTCCCACGTTCACGGCTACATTTGACTTGATTTTGTATAAATAGTATTTTCTATTTTATAGTGTGATGAGGTCTGTCTGTCTGGTATATAAACCGAGTATACTTGAAATAAATGATTCGCATAGATTCGCATAGCAGAAGCTGCGATTGGTGTTCTTGACTCAATTTGGAAGGGTTAGGCGAACAAGGGATCAATAAGGATGCTAGATTACTCATACTGGCAGAAAGTTATTGTTTTGGCACAGTGTTAAGATTGGAAGAGTGCTAATATGTGCAGTTATTTGTTTATATGTTTAAATCAACTGTTGTTTAGATCCTATTATCAATTCAAACGGTACTATCCCAGTATGTTTGAAAAGTTCTTAACATATTGACAAGTTAAACATCAGTTTCATTATAACTAAGTGATTATGTAATAATTCAGTAATGTAAGAGCAGTAATAATAATAATTGTAATATTACCTGATCCAATTGATCTCTTAAATTATCTCTTTGTCGAGCAATTGAATCACAATTTGATTGTGTTTCTTGTAATTGACGACTAAGTTGTTGAACACGTGAACTAGCTTGTTTAAATTCTCTTTGATAACGTTCTGATTCATTTGTCATATTTTGTACTGTTTGGGTTAAATTGGTAATTTGTTGTTGTAAACTTTGCTAGAGGAAAAAATTTTTTCCCAAAGGAAAGAAGGTAAATAGGGAATTGATTTATGTTTCGTAGTTGAAATCATGAGTCAATTGAAACTAGACCACCGTAGAAAACCTGGAAGCACTGGACAGCCGTTTCATTCTATTATATGACTCCTCAGTGGCAGTGCGCATTCACGATCCCACACTCGCGAGATTCGAACCCGGGACCTACTAGTCTCACGCCAAAACACTTAACCGATGATGTATGATCATTAATTGTACTACATTTTTACAAATCGAATATTGAATAATAAAAGTTTCAGTTAGCTTAAATAATGAACCTATCTCTGACCTATCGTAGGAAATTTAGCTTCATAGTTAAGTTAATCAACTCGAATTGATCGAAATCACTTTATTAGGTTGCATAATGTGGGTGTGGTGTGGGCTACTTATATCCACACAAGTAATATGTGGTGATGGTCGAGCATTGAATGTATTTCAGTAGAAGATTGATAGGGAAAGAACTGGAAAGGAACGCAATTGATATGAAAATGCATGTACAATGATAATGGGAGACGATGAACTGATATTTGCAAAAGGAATGAGCAAGATTCAGTGCTCAAATACATTCGATTGTCCCCACTCGTGTTCTTGTTCACCACAGGGTAGTGGCTATATATGATCATGTTTACTCTTAATTCTAAAGTTTTATAAAATAATCCCATGTGGTTGTTGTTAGCTTGCATTATTGGTCTCAACATATGAAGAACTGGTTATTGAATGTCTCCTTGTTATCACTGAACCTCAAGTTGATGATAGTTAACAAAAGAAACTTTTTCCAAAACAAATACAACCAGTTGATACGCCTTAACTTCTTAATTCATCCACTCTAGGTATTATGTTAAAAACATGAGAAAACATGTTAAGGTATTTCCGGCGAGACTATCATTCATAGACGGACCAATCAGGTATAGGATAACAGGTCTCGGATTTTGGCGCGAAATCCACTGATCCATTTGGCTAAATAGAATAGCTGATGTCATTTCGTGATGAAAAACCCTAAGTCTAATTCCTAACCTTAACCATCAACTGTAAATGATAATTCCAATTCCTCACACAGGTTTATAACCCTCATTTGGTCCTACTTATTAGGTGGACACTCTCAAGGTCAGTCTAACGTTGCTTCAAGGTCATCCATACATTATGGTCTCACCGTATCATAGTGATAGGAATGTAAGAGATTCATCATGCGAATGTCAAGTCCTGATTTTGATTTTAGATGTGAACATGAGTTTACTTTCCTGGTAATCCATCTAACACTAGGATAAAACAACTAATTATAATCCTTTCCTTTTCTATAACTAGTCAGCTAAAATCAACCCAAACTTTTAGGAATTAAGGCGAAAATTTATACAACAACGCCTTTGCCATAGTTCCGAATTCAACCAGGTTAGTCAATAATTGTTTAATTCCATCGAGTTTAACTGTTTTGTTCCTGACATATGTGAACTTCTCACCATACATTGCAGTCTGTCTACATTGTTATGCTTAAGGAGTCATAGATGTCCACTGACAAAACGTCTTACATAAGGATGAAATGATAGTCCAGCGTGTTTCCGGTAAACTCAACCGAGATCAGTATATGATAAATATGACTCAAAAATTAGGCCAACCTCAACAAAACATTTTTGACGAACTTAAATTACTTAATAAATGTGTGTGAAAGACCAATTTATATGGTCAGTTGTTACCTTACTTACTTTATCCAACATATATTGTTGTTGCATATCTAATGTAGATGTTTCAGCTCTAGTTAAATTAGTTGTCAGTTGTTCACGTGCAATATCACGATCTTCAATAGCTTGACGAAGACGAACTTGTAAATCAGCAATTAATAATTGTTGATTAGTAGAATCAGTATGACGTCCATCTGGTGTAGTTGATAAAGATGTATATTGACGATCTATCTGTTTATTCAAGCATATAATCTGTAAAGGAAAGAATTTCAAGTGAATAGTAATAATAATAATAATAATACATTTAAGCACCTTATTAAATACTTATAATACATAACCCCAAATGCCCTGGTACGGCCGAGAGTGAGGAGAGTCCGCTCTGAATCTCCAAATGCTATCACATGGCCACGCGTATATAGCCTCTCCCACGGAAGTCCTACTGACTGTCTTCTCGTGGTGGGGGTGTTGTCTACAAAATTGAAAGAACGAAAAGCGATTGTCTGGCGCTTTAACTGGGTTGATGGATACGGAGGGTCCACCTAGGATAGTTGGAAAACCCTGATTCCAAACCAATGGTGCACATGGGCTCCGGTATCCTGAGGGAACAAATGGCGTATGAACCAATCGTTGGTCATCGGCTACCAAGGGACTGCATCTCCTTACCATGCTCTATTACCTTGTGGATCAGATCTTTAGATCAAAGACTCGGAGTGTGGCCCTGTAAGAAAACCACCTGCTTCGGTTTGGTCACCCGGGTAGTCTCACAGCTCTCACACCAATCAAATGAAATTTGTATGGTGCATATGTATCTGGTGCCCCTTTGTAACAATATTTATGTTTAAACAAGTATTTTTTCGAGGAATGATCTTATTTGAAGTATCAATGAAAAGCAATGAAACGTAGAAAGCTATTTCTTCCTAGTATAAAACTTTTAAAGCAAAGGATATTTGCTAATTGATATACTTATGTTCTGAACAGATTCATTTGAATAGATGAACTTTTATAGAAAAAGATATTTCAAATTTACTAAAAGGTTGATACTATAATCTTTATGTAATTATCTACATGTATGAGAAGATATCGTTGTGATTGAGAAGTTATAAGGTCACTTGTCAGTTTCAGTGTAAGCATATTAGATAATGATAATATTACTATATTCCTTAAATGACCACTTATGTGATTTTATTATTTTTTAATCATTTTCATAGTTGAATTCATTAGTCAATTGAAGCTAGATCACTATGGAAAACCTGGAAGCATTGGACGGCCATTTTGTCCTATTGTGGGACTTCTCAACAGTGCGCATACACGATCCCACCTGGAGAGATTCGAACCCAGGGCCTACCAGTCACGCATGAGAGTGCTTTATCTCTAGATCACTGAGCCGGCATCCAACGGTGTTAATGTTTAACCAATCCAAGATTAAAGAAAATTGACAGCTAGTTCACCCAAAGTGACGAGAAAACGGAGTTGATTTGAGAACCATTGATAAATCAATATAGGACTTGATTGCTTGAGGGACATTTCATCACGTTATACAACATGTTTTCCCCATCAACTCCGTCTTTCCACCTTGCATTTGGATTTTATAAAGAGAGAATAAGTATTTTAAGTATTTCATCGAGTCGGTATCTCTTGAGATGTTTCATATAAACCATTGCTACAAATCAAAAACACGATTTTGAGCAACTGTTCATCAAATGTCTTCAGTGAGCTGATATCTCTACAATAGACTTGGTAGAACTCTACTGGTCACTGATTCCCACTAGAACTCAAAGAAATATCTTTTGAAATCAGTAACTAGTGAGAATATGATTATAGATCAGAAAGGGTTTTTTAGAATGCGCACTGCCGAAAAGTTCCATAATAGGACGAAACGGTCCAGGTTTTTGATGGTGGTCTAGCTTCAATTGACTCATGATTTCAACTATGAAAATACTAAATTCTCCACAAAAATCCCTTCTGAACAAATGAAAAACATCAAACAGACAAAAATATAAATTAATAAATATGCACCTGAGCTTCTTTACGTTCCAGTTCTTTCTGAAGTTCCTCGATTTTCAACGTCAACTGATGAGTTGGTTGGATTAAAGTACGCTAAAGATAAGAAAAAAATATTAACTTAAAAATATACAATTAGATAAAGTCATCAATCAGTATAAGTAGTATACTAGGATTTAAATGTAGCCATCATTGAAGTCCCATACTTTTAAGTAATATATTAAGTTTATCGTCTAAGATTTGATGAAGTTTAGGTGTCTCAAGTAGATTTTAATTATAATCATCGCATCCGTCAATCAGTAATCAATGTTTACGTATGGTATAATGCATAATGAAGCTGAAGTACAAAGGTAGGCTTCTGTGATTCTAGGTGACCTTTGACAACTTTTAACCCGCTCAAATAAAATACATTATAAACGAATAAATGATTTGTAATGGGAATTTAAGTTTTATTTTTTTAAATTTTTCTTTGTGACATTCCTCCATATAGATTTAAAGTATTCTTCTAAGATACCTAGTGTAATTTCGTGAAGAGAACCTTAAATCAAACTCTTACTTTGTTTAATCAGTCATAGGGAGACGAGCTACTCTGATAGATAAGCGTACGTTGTGACTTTGGAGTGGTTTGTATGTTTCGGGTTGATTCGCTATTATAGCTCAGCTTCATGAAGTTTAGAATACAAAATTACAGAATTTACAATAAACATGTAGTTTTAGTGTAATCAATGAACTTTCCTCGGTCGAAAATCCGTTTATTCGTTGTAGAATCTGAAAATGTTCAGTAAACAAGCTGTTATATCCCGTGGAGAAATATGAAGGTAACCTTTGAGGACTATTTATGGACCTATATGATATGTATATTTCCTATTCTATAACTGTTAAGTAACTAAAGTATCCATAATAATGTTCCCTTCATTATAAGCTTATTATACGGTTTTACATTCTTGAGTTATATCCAGTCAACTGACTACTGTTCCCCCTATTCACAGCCACATTTAGCTAAACCTTGTACAAATGTTATTTCCCATTTTATGATACGATATGGTCTGTTTGTTTGGTATATAAACCCATTATGTTTGAGAATAATGATTCATATTGCAGAGGCTGTTATTGGTGTTCTGAACTTAACTGACTGGGCTAGGCAGATAGTAGGACCGACAAGTGTTCAAGACTACTCATACTGCTTTAGTGTATCACTGGTTCGATCGATAATTCACTCCTCTGTGATTGCTGATCTTATCATGTACATATAACACAAGCTTATTTATATGACTAAAATATATTCTTTCTTGAGAGCGTTTGTATATCTGTAATTATTACTTCAAACGACCTTAAATATCTTCTGTGGTATTAGTGTGAACCCCTTGTGATATGTAATTCATTATTAGTCTATTAGAATGTACTCCTCTTAAATGAATAGTTCGAATATAGAAAGCTATAAAAAAAATACTTAAGGGTTTGAATTGTTTTACTGTGCCGAAGAAATAAGTATGTAGAATGTAAATTCAAGAAATCAAGCAAACAACATTAAATAGGCTGTGAATCATAAAATGTACACTGTTCCATTTTAACAATTATTCAAACTATAGATGAAATCATATTTATAATAATCATTACAACAGTACTTTTTCTTCTCTTTATAGAATAACGGAGATAATTGAGTTTTATTTGAGATAATGAATTGATCAATGTTCTAGCGCGAGACTCATCAGAAGTGTACATCAAAAGTTCCGTACGCGAGACTGGAATCCAGAACCCTTAGTTTCGCACGTGTGAGCTCATTTTGTTTTGTCTAATCTTATTTATAGTTTTACTGATATTTATTTTTAAATCATAGAAAATGTCAGAAATGGTTTTGTGGATATTATAGTAATTTTACTAGTTGAGATCATGAATCAATTGAATCTAGATCGTCATGGAAAACCTGAAAGCATTGGATGGCCGTTTTGTTCTATTGTGGAACTCCTCAGCAATGCACATCCACGATCCCACCTCGCGAGATTCGAACCCAGGACCTATCAGTCTTGCACAAGAGCACTTAACTGATAGACCACTGAGTCGGCATCCAACGGTGTTAATGTCTAACTTCAACCAATTCACGAAATTGAGCGACATATCCATCATTGCGTTAAATGAGTTACTATGTCACTACAGACCTGGTTGAACTCTACTGGTCAAGGCTTCTCACTAGAACTTCAGCACATATCTCTGGAAGTCAGCACTAATGAGCATATGATCATTATCAGAAGGGTTTTTTGTAGAGATTTCAGTAACTTTATAGATGAAATCATGAACCAATTGAAGCTAAACCTGTATTCGAATCTTGCGAGGTGAGGTCGCGGATGCGCACTGCTGAGGAATCCAACAACAGGACGAAACTGTCGCCCAGTGCTTCCAGGTTTTCCATGGTGGTCTAGCTTCAATTGACTCATGATTTCAACTATAAAATTACTGATATCTCCCCAAAAAACCCTTCTCATAAGTGAATAATAATTAAAAGAAAAGAAAAAAAACAAGCAAACAAACACCGGATAGTTACCGTTTCTGAAGTTTGTTCATTTAATTCATTGATTTTATTACGTAGCTGTTCTTCTAATTTTTTACATTTTTCATTTTCTTGTTCATATTGTACTTGTAAATTATCATATTGAATTTTCATTTGATCATACTAACAAAAGTATTTTTAGGGGAATTAAGTAGTATATAAATATGTATATTATCAAATAATTGTTCAACGTTGTATTATTTTATCAGAAGGGGTTTCGCATCCATGATCCCGCTACATGAGATTTGAACCCAGGATGTACCAGTCTCGTGTCAGAGCACTTAACCGATAGACCACTGAGCCGTCGATTAAGTGCTCTGGCGCGAGACTGGTACATCCTGGGTTCGAATTTCATGAGGCGGGATCGTGGATGCGCACTGCTGAGGCGTCCCACAATGTGACGAAATGGCCGTCCAGTGCTTCCAGGTTTTCCATGGTGATCTAGCTTCAATCGAATCATGATCTTAACTATATAAAATTTGTATTGTTTATTCAATACTTCCTATTGATGTTTAAGACATAAGTAAATCCTGTATGAACTGCTTCGATAGTGCCATCTAGTCAATCAGTAGTTAAGTGGATAACACGATGGCATTCGAAACGAACAGTATTGGGTTTTAGTTTCAGAGTCGACATCGATTCTGGGATGCTGGTATTGTAGTAAATGAGAACACGACTGGGGACAATCGAATGTATTTAAGCACAAATTATAAACCATCTCACTAAATTCTGATAACCATACAATGCATAGTTAATTTGCAAAATAACAATCAATTGTCGCAATCTTGACTGTTCCTTCTGCAAATATCTTCTCTGATTTCATTGTTCATGCATTTTCATACCGATTGTACTTCGCTCCTGTTCTTTCCTTATCGATCTTCTGCCAAAATACATTCTATGTCTGATCATCACCATATACTACTTGTGTGGATATAAGTAGACCACACCACAGTATATCCAGCTGACGAAACTCACATAGGACGAAACGTACGTCCTAGATTCCACTACTAGCCATCATCCATCTCTGCCTACATCAAGTAATTGTTGTATTCAATTTTGATAGTATACGTTAAAACGATCACACACATGTTTAAACTGATGATCTTTTCTTTTCAGTGTGTTATCTACTCACTAAATAGATATTCATTGGTTGATATTCTTCATAATGTCACTTTATGGCCAACCGATCATTCTATATAGCTGACAAGATTATTTTCTTACTGTTATATCTAGAGCTTTGAATTTTACTATGCCGTGTACTACTACTAGATTACTTGAACGATCGAACCCGCAACGTCACAAGAGAGAAGACAGAAGACTAGTAAGTAGGAATGTTATACTCAACACAGTGTCAAATATAGTACAAAAATCTCATGTATTTATAGTTTTTGGCTGAAAGCAAATCATCATTTAGGATAGCCAATAGGCACATAGGGGGTTTTTCTTATTCATCGGATAGTGAGGCTACACGTAGAATGTTCCCCTAGTGGTGATTGGATGGAATGTCTTCGGCTCTTTCTGGGCTTCTTGAGCTCACCAACTAGCCATCCTTACACGTACTTTTAACATTATTAAAACTTTCAAGTCATTATTATTTGGTAGAACATTGAAAATTCATTTTAATGCATTTCAATTTGACGGAAGATTGATTCAGTAGTTTTTTGCTATTAAATAGTTGTAAATCTGATATATCCCAGTGAAGAAAACATCTTTGAAATGTCTTTAAAAAAATACTGTAATATCGCTTATTTACATGAAGAAGAATAATCTAAATAGTAGAGAATATTTCAATGTAAGTATATTGGAAAGCAAATACTACTACAATCGATTACTTATTTGATTCAAATTGATCATTGTTTAGCAGTTTGTTTGCCATGAATATAAATTTAATCATGAAGTAATAGTGTCTGGAAGACCAGAAGACAAAAAACGCACTGAAGAGTTTTCTACCACGGAGTGATAGTATACTGTGTTGAACGAAATAAAATCCTATTTCGGAATAGGGTTGGTAAAGATGTGCTATGGATAATTGTTTCAGTAACTAATTGTTATCTCCACAAGAATCTGAAGTACAAGACTCATTTCTATAATAATTTCTCAGGCTATGAGTATTTTTTGATTAGAAACACAAGAGATAGGGAAATATTTTTCAATCTCCCTCGATTTTCACAGTTACACTAACTGGAAGCAATCTTATCTTAGTACAGGATTTGTCAGCAATGCACATCCACAGTCCCTTACGAGAGACTCAAACTCAGGATCTTAGGCCTGGCGCGTGAATGCTTAACCTTTAGATCATGGAGCCGATATCCAACAGTGTTGGTGTCTAACTTCAGTCAATACATGCTCTTGCGCAATTCTTCATCCATTATCTGAGGTGGATAACTGATAACGGGCAGAACACCAATGGTTATGGCTTTTCACTAGAACTGCAAGGAATCCATCTTGAGACCAATCACTAGTGAGCAAATGATGATCATTATCAGATTGGGGGTTTGTAGAGATTGTAGAGACTCATCATCCAGCTAAATAATATCAGTAAATTTTCGGTTCGAAACCACCAGGTCAAAATTTGATAAATCTAATCTCTTTTTATATATCGAATTGCATAACTGATCGTGCATACTTCGATAAATATTAACAGATCAGTTTATTGAATCATTTATGAAATCCTTATTATATGACTAGGAGTGTGAATTGATAACCCCCAAATGCCCTGGTACGGCTGAGAGTGAGGAGGGTACGCTCTCCCTCTCGAAATGCTCTTACATGGCCACGCGTATACAGCCTCTGTAAGGGAAGTCCTACTAACTGCCTTCTCGTGGCAGGGGTGTTGTTCACAAAAGTGAGAGGACGAAAAGCGAATGTCCGGTGCGTGTATTGATACTACAGTACTTAGATCTTTAGTAGTAGTAAAATAGAGTTGATTTAAATTACAAAAGTAAGTGTTTAGTATCTAGTCTTTCATTAGTTTTTAACTTTGAATTGATGAAAAAGATGTTTCACTCAAATGGATGCCTTTGATTGTAATGTACTTTCCGAACATAGTAATTTATTTGAAAAGCTTTCGTTGTTATTTCGGATCAGTCTTCACAATTGATTGATCACCAGGTTGTGATCAATCTCATACGTGTCAAGTCCTTCTTAATGCTGATTGAATGCTATCGATCAATTTGCAATGTGACCACTAGTCTAGATGGCTCGACAATGAGTACACTTAATTGAGATAAGATGATGGTTGGAGGTGATTAACAGGATCAGTCTTGTTATACGTGGAAAAGGACTGTTTAATTACTTTTCACAAGTCCTAAAATAATCTGTTCTAACAGTATTATTAATCTTCTCTTTTATCAATGAAACGAAGTTCAATTTAAACTCACCTGTATTTGAGCTTCTTCAAATGATTTTTGTGCTTGTTCACAAGATGTTTTCATTTCACTATACTGTTTACGTAATCTATCTAATTCTTGATTAGAAGTTGTAGATAATCCTAAACTTGGCTAATAAGATATTAAATAAAAAAACAATGAACAATTTTAAAATGCATTCAACGATGAAACAAATGTTCAGTGTTATTAAGATTCACTTTGTTATAACTAAATAAATAGATTATGTAAGCAAAAATGGATAGTGACTATCAGTAGAATCCAGGAAGCGCGTTTCGTCTTATCTAGTACTCGTCAACTGGAAGCACCTGCATCCTAGAGATGATGTTCACTGTGTGACTCGAACCCAGTAGCGTTCGCTTCAAACCCCACAGCGTTGTCCACTCAGCTACTGAGGCTTGACAGCCACTTGCTTGTTCAATGAGGTGGAGTTTGAATTCATTTGGTATTGTTTGTTTGAATCTTCCCATTAATGTTTATGACTGCAATTGATCAGTCTCTTATTGACATATGTGCATACTGTGCGTATTGCCTCGGTATAGCCTTAATTCAGAAGCATTATAATTCTTGGATTTTTGTAAACAGTAGAATGAAGTTTTAAGTTTTAAAGTAGCGTATTCTAATCCAGCACTCCAGTTGGTTGCGGTAACACAGCCAGATACATGGAATAGTATGAATAAGTTTTTAAAGTCGTATTATATATTTTTAGGTTCGACGCTAGTGAGCACTAATGAGCAAGGGTTAAAAACCACTTGGAAGGAATTAATACCTCATTGTGGTTCAAGCTTGCTTAAATAAGTATAACAGTCAGAGATATTTCCCAAAGAGCATCCAAAGTCTCAGTAACCCTCTTGCAGTACCAAGATGCTCACGGTGGTCAGTGAGCAGTGCGATTAAAAAGAATGTAAAAAAGTTTGAAAAAATTCCCTAAATTACCAACGAACTTTATTTTGCTTGAGTACAAACTAGCTTTAGTGTTATGTTTGGTGAAAAATGGGTACAATATCTATGCTGATGGAACCAAATTACTCCAAAATAGCGTTTAATCTTAAGAACAAAAATTCAACTACATCATATATTTTCATAGTTAAATTAATCATGAGTCAATTGAAGCTAGACCACCAGGGAAAACCTGGAAGCACTGGACGGCCGTTTCGTCCTATTATGGGACTCCGCAGCAGTGCGCATCCACAATCCCGCCTCACGAGATTCGAACCCAGGACCTACCAGTCTCTTTCCAGAGAACTTAACCGATTGCTCGAACTTCTTGGATTGGTTGAAGTTAAACATTAACACCGTTAGATGCCGACTCAGTGGTCTAGGTGTTAATGCTCGCGCGCCAGACTGGTAGGTCCTGGGCTCGAATATGGTGAGGCGGGATCGTGGATGCGCATTGCTGAGGAGTCCCATAATAGGACGAAGCGTCTGTCCAATGCTTTCAGGTTTTCGATGGTGATCTAGCTTCAATTGACTCATGATTTCAACTATGAAAATACTGAAATATCCACAAAACCCCTTCTGATTACATTATATATCTAAATGAATATGTATGAATTTAAATAATATTAGTAGATGAGATTGAATTTAGTTATCTAGAATATTGGCAGTAAATAACAAATAAACAAATAATATACATCTGCTTATCCTACATCCGTTTGTATCGTAAACATAACAGACCTAACCAAAAGCACTGACAATAACATATTTTTAATTTTAAATAAAATGTGATTAGAATTACCAGTGGAACTTATTACGATCATTTCGTCCTACTTAAAACTCATCAACTGGATATGATCGTAACGCATTGTTGATATTTACACTCAAAATAAAACTCAGCACTTCTCTCTTCAAGCTATAACTTGTTTATACTTATCTCACCAACCGGTGACTATCTAGACTCTGTAGATCAGCGAATAAAATGTTGGAATTTAAAATAAAATCTACTAGGTTTAAGTCTCAATGTTAATATCAACATTAAGATCACGGTACATCAAGCTGTTAAATACTAACTAGGATAATATGTGTCTTGAATTCCACTACTAGCAACTTTTTAACTTTGATAATAACTTGTGATGAAATTACAGTATCTAGGTTATTCACTTAGGATGGAAATCTGCTTAAAGAGTTTGACCAACTGTAATACTTTATATAAGCAAGCCATCCAAGCTCCACAAAAAGTTCGACCCTTCTGTATCAAATTAAAATATATGATTTGATCCCGACTATAGCTTTAATCTGTGGATGATCACTGCATTTCAAATAATTATTTACTACAATTTTAATACATATGGCAAAAAAAAACATGATTTAAATGGTTTAAAACCATATTCCTTACTTGATATATTCTAGTAGATGTTAATGGTACTCCAGTAACAGATTCGGTCGATTCTTGTCGATCTAATAAACGTTGTCTTAAACTATCAATTTGACTCTCCAACTCTGTGTTACCTTTACGTAGACCATGAATTTCATCTAATAAATCATGCTGTATTCAAATGGAAAAAAATCGGTCAGTTTATAAAAGCATTCTTTACAATCGTTCAGGGTTAAAAAAAATTTAATAAATAACATTTTGTAGCCAAGTGGATAATGCGATGGCGTTTGAAACGAAAGGTACTGGGTTCGAGTCCCAGAGTGAACATTAACTCTGAGATGCAGGTACATCCAGCCGACGAGTCCCAAATAGGACGAAATGTGCGTCCTGGATTCCATTGCTAACCACTAACATTTTGTTCTATACAAACTGATCTCTTTCGCCTATCGTACTAAAATATATACAGTAACAAGAAACCTTGTAGAATAGTGTAACAGTTTTAGATGATTGTTGAAATATTCAACTTTTAGTCAATGTCGAACAGGATTCAATCAACTTCACATCTTTTATTTAAGACAATACGGTAGGAATACGGTATGAAACTGTTTACCATTTAATCAGACATCATATAATCTCATTTGTGAGTAACTGAACTCTACTTATTTATCATGAAATTTCACTAGAACCTCGTTAAGATGCCCATCCAAGCTAGTCACTAATGTGTTTTCAATCACGTGTGTTTGAAAGAATGTGTATAGATTAGTTTATCAACGCTCAGATGGACGTTCGCAACAGCATGTGATTAAGGAATCTATTACTTTAAACATTACATAGGTATAAATAAGACTAATAATGCTACAGAAACAAACTTATGGTCTGAGACTGAACAAATGCTACTGAATAAGTTATGAATTGATGTACATAATACGAACGTAGCGCTAATACCAGAGAATAAATTCTACAACCACATATAAGCAGTCATGATGAACTAACAGACTTACATTTTCATTTTCAAGTTTTCTTAACCTCATTTCACGTTCTTCTGCACGTTTCTGATTAACTGATAGTCGATTATTGGTTTCTTCGATTGTAGACTGTAGACGAGTAATTTCATCAGCTTGACAACGCTTTACATAAAAAAAAATGATTTCCAAACAGAATATACATAACTTATTGAGGCCTGACATTTATAAATTCATAGTTATTGTATGGAATTGGATAAAAAATGTAAAATTATGCTTACGAATGTTAGGGCTGAACCAATCAGTCACGAATTGAAAATAATGTATGTCACGTTGAAGGAACCACAAGTGCAGACAGGCAGACTGGAAAAAAGGATACCTCATCAAGATACCAAATGAAGGAGACCTGAGCGAATGTAAGAATTACAGAGGCATTACACTACCGTCGGTTTTCAAGGGAATGTTGCTGAACCGGATGAAAAACTCAGTAGACGCCCGAATTCGAGATCAACAGACCGGATTCCGTAAAAATTGGTCGTGTACTAATCAAATCGCAACATTACGTGCCTTTGTGGAACAATCAATTGAATGGAACTAGCCAGTATAGATCAACTTCTTTTATTATGAGAAAGTATTTGACAGTGTGGATAGGAGAATATTATGGAAACGTCTTCGACACTATGCAATACCTGAGAAAATCGTCAATATCATACGGAATTCATACGACGGACTACAGTGCAAATTCGTTCATGGAAGACAGCTGAGAGATTGATTACAAGTAATGACTGGAGTCAGACAAGGCTACCTAATATGCTCCTTTTACTTTCTTCTGGTGTTTGACTGGATTATGAAGACCTTGACTTCTGAGGGCAAGCACGGAATACAGTGGACGGCTGAGAATCAATTAGAAGATTAAAATTCTGCAAATGACCTAGCCCTTGTATCCCATACACACGAACAAATGCAAATGAAGTCAATTAGTGTAACAGCAGCCCCTGCATAAGTAGGCCTCAATGTACACCAAGGAGAAAACAAGGTCCTCGAAAGCAACATAACGAGCACCAACTCAATCACACTTGATGGAGAAACTCTGTATTAAGTGTTAACTTTCACATATTGAAGAGTAGTATCATCGATGAACAAGGAGGTTCTGATGCAGATGTAAAGGCAAGGATTGACAGAGTAAAAACAGCATTTCTACGGTTCAAAAACAAATGGAACCCAAAACAACTGACAACCAATACCAAGACGAGAATCTTCAATGCGAACGTCAAGACAGTCCTACTGTACGGAAATGAAAGTCAGAGAACTAATACAACCATAATCAAAAAGGCAGAAGTCTTTATAAACAATTGTCTTCACAAGATACTCAACATCCGTTGACCGGATGCCAGCCTACTTTAGGAGAGAATAAGACAACTTCCAAGTGTAGAGGAAATTAGGAAAAGATGTTGGAAGTGGATAGGACATATATTGAGGAAATCATCAAACTGCATCACGAGGAAAGCGTTAGCTTAAAATCCTGAAAGGAAATGGAAAAGTGGAAGGCTATAGAACACATTATGTCGGGAATTGTAAGCAGTCTTGTAAAGGATGAATAGGATTACCCAGATCAGAGTTAGATGGAGAATGCTGGTGGTCGGCCTATGCTCCTCCATGAGGGGAAACAGGCTTAAGCAAATAAGTAAGTATGTATCCCACGTCGATTGAGCTAACATTGAAATGCCGGATAAATGAATAATTGTAAAGTCAATGATGAGGTTAGTTAAAAATCTTTTTACGCAAAATGCCCCTAACCACGTAAGCGCCCATCAACGCATCCAAACACAGTTTTTTTTTAGTTTGGCTCAACAATAGGGATGTACAATCCCTAGTTCACTCTCGTCAGTACATTATTACTTACTTACTTACTTCATGAAGGAATTATCAATAATAACTACTGTTTCAAATATTGTTTGTTTTTGAAGGATTTTGTAGGGAGATTAAAAAAAAAGAATCGATTGACTAACCACAATCATAAATCAGATCATTTCAAAGGAACTGAACCGATTCGAATGAGAGTGATTTCAATACTTTGTTAGTTAGTTTTATAAATATATTTCGTAAGTATATAATGTAAACAAATCTTTATAAAGAACTAAAATCAATTGAAGAATCACTGTTCGAAACAGTTGGATAACCATTTTATTTTCATTTAAAAATCAATTACAATGTCCACTCATATGAGTCCTACTTTCACGGTGTTGTAAATTACTGATTTCATTGTTTGCTTGAATCTTCCCATTGATGTTTAGGATTCCAATTGGTCAACCTCTAAATGGCATATGTGCATACTGTGCGTATTGACTCGATATAGCCTAAATTCACAAGCATTGCAAGCAAAGATATATAGTGGCTAACAGTGGAATCCAGGACGCGCGTTTTGTCCTATCCGGGACTCGTCAGCTTGATGTACCTGAATCACAGAGTTGGTGTTCACTCTGAGACTCGAACCCAGTACCTTTCGCTTCCAACGCCACTCGACCACTGAGTCCTTATAGCCACTCAGTGGCCAAGTGAATAACGCGATGGCGTTTGAAGTGAAAGGTATCGGGTTCGAGTTCAACAGTCCTGAATTCAACTGCTAGCCACTATCCATCTTTGCCTACAATCAATATTATTGTTTGCTTGAAGGTTTTTAAGTGCTAAAGCTTCGTCTTCTCTGTTTAACAACCTTCTATCAAAATTGTTTCAATCATTCACTCAATAGGATTTATTAGCTGAAGTGTTTTAGCAGTGGATTTATTGATATTGAAATGTGAACCATTAAATGTTAACTCAATAAGGCGGTTGCTTCAGGAGTCTCTTCTTTCTAGATCCATAATCTGTTAATTGATGAGCACTACTACTGCAAATTTCTATATTGGGAAGAAGCAGTTGTATAGTGCTGCATACGGTTCTTCAATGAAAATTCTCTTATAACATACAATTATAAAATACACATGATTTTTTCGAAAGACAAACATACAATTTCACTTGTTTGACTCTTTAATTGATGTCCTTTCTCATCTAATTTCATTTCCAAATGTCCAATACGTGTTACTTGTTCTTGATTAGTACAACGTAGTCGTGATAGTTCCTCAGTCTGAAATGTATAAAAATGAAATTAACAATTACAATATATTGTTGCATTGGTTATTCTGAATGTTAGTTACGAAAAATAAATGCGCACTGCTGAGGAGTTCCATACTAGGATGAAACGGCCGTCCAATACTTCCAGGTTTTCAATGGTGATCTAGATTTAATTGAATCATGAATTCAAGTATTAAATAAACAATAGTATGAGGTGGTGACATTGAAAATCTAACAAGTGAGATCAGTGGTTGATAAGGTTTAAACGACCTTCACTTTAGATTCTAATTTATACTGCTACGTGATCCTATTAATCCTATCGGACCAATCAGCATAAATCAGTTAATGCTTTTCCACTAGTTGCCTGATTGATTTAAAGTATATATGAAGAATTTTTTTGTATTTTTGTTACATTAAAGCCGTAATAAGTCAGTTACTAAGTCTTATCTTCTGATGTTTTTGAGGCTCAGTAAAACATAAATAACTAAGGATATCAAATGGTACTTATTGTCGATTGATGTGTTGCCAGTGTTAATTCAATCCAATAATACAAAGTAATGTCGGTTGTGATAGATGAAGACACTTATTTGGGTGAATCAAGTTATGATCTATCGTTTAGGTGTTATTAATCTCTTCAAAGGTTTGATCTTTTAGTTTTTAACTAATTTCATTGAAATTATTCATAACAATAAATCACTCGAAATTAACATCACTTTGAATAATTGGAACCTTGAATTGAATATAACATAAGTTTTATAAGCTAATAGAATATTGAAAGCCCAAGAATGCCCTGGTACGGCCAAGATTGGGGAGAGTCCGGTCTCGTTCTCGAAATGCTCTCACATGGCCACGCGTATATAGTATCTGTCATGAAATTCCTAGTCACTACCTTCTCGTGGCAATACTGTTGTTTACGAAATTGAGAGGATGAAAAGCGAATTGCTGGCGCTTTAACCGGGTTGGTGGACATGGAAAGTTTACCTAGGGGAGTTGGAAAACCCTGATTCCAAACCGATGGTGCACATGGGCTCCAGTATCCTGAGGGAACAAATGGTGTATGAATCAATCGTTGGTCACTGGCTACTATGGGACTGCATTCCCTTAGCATCTTTCACTGATTTATGGATCAGATTTTTAGGTCAAAGGCTCCGGGTGTGGCCCTCTAAGAAAAGCACTTGCTTCATTTTGTTCCATTATACATTTGTAAGTCATTATCTCTATATCTAAATATTGAGTTATAAATATTTATGACTTACATATTGATTTTGTATTTGCTTTATTCGTTCTTCTCTATAAACTGCATCATCACGTAAACTTTTCACTTCTGCTTCAGCAGTTGCCAATTGTTTACGTATATTATTTAGTTCATCTCTTAGCTTAAACTATAATTAAAAAATAAAAAAAGTACTAAAATGGTGGATGGTTGCTCAATTTTGTGGATTGATTGAAGTTAAACATTAACACTTTTGAATACTGGCTCAATGATCTAGAGGTTAACAGCTCTCGAGCTAGACTGATAAATCATGGGTTCGAATCTCGCGAAGTGATATCGTGGATTTATACAAAAATCTAACTAAACAATTCATATACTTTTCTAAGCAACTAAACTAAATAATTATAAGAAAAATTTGCTTGTAAATGATAAAGTTACAGAAAGAAATTATTGCAGTACTATTGAGAGATCATATAAAGTTGAAATTAGTTTAGATTGAGTGAAATATCATTGATGAGTTCAGATGAACTCTACATTACAGTTTCAAATAAAGGAAACATAAAATATATAAAACCTTTATTATATTTCAATAATTTAGATACATCATGCATTGAATATGATCTTTGTAAAGTTAATGAATTTGAATTGTTAAGAAATTTCAGTAGTAGTATAGTAAACAAGAAGACGATTGAGGACAACCGGATGTATTTGAGGATGAAATTATAGAAAATCTCATTAAAATCTGACAATCATATAGTAAACAGTTAATTTGTAAACTATCAATCAATTGTCTCAATGTTGACTATTCCTTCTGCAAATATTAATCCATAGTCTCCGATTATTATTGTTCATGCATTTTCATACCAATTGAGTTTAGTTTCCGTTCTGTCCTTATAGATCTTTTAGTGAAATACAATCTCTACCTGACCATAGTCATATACTACTACTTATGTGAATGTAAGCAACCCACACCACAGTAGGATAAATTTATCATTCATAGTCTGTTAGATTTTTATAATCTTCATTCAGCATCATTACAGAACCATCCAGATAGCTTCGAGCCCACTAAAATTTGTTCAATTTCTCAGTACTGGAACCTTTTTTTTGAGATATCTCCGTTATAAAGTTTGATAACTTTTAATGACCTCATTGTTTATTTATTTATAATAGTAATAATTATAAGAAGGGGTTTTGTGGAGATTTAGTATTTTCATAGTTGAAAGCGTAAGTCAATTGAAGCTAGACCACCATGGAAAACCTGGAAGCACTGAAAACGGCCGTCCAATGCTTCCAGGTTTTCCATGCTGGTCTAGCTTCAATTGACTTACGCTTTCAACTATTAGTAATAATTACTTTATTTATCCAGTGAAACTAATTCATAATGAGAAGATTGAATAATCCAAGTATTCCATTATGGATAATTCTTTCATACAATGCTTTGAGTAAATGAATAAGAAAAGTGTTATATTTTGTGCCAGTAATTGTTATTATCTTGTACCCGCCTATTAGAGAGCAGTGATTTATTGATCAAAACAGTGACGCACGAAACCTATAAGAGCAATCTAGAGCACTTGTCGATCCTGCTATCTGCCTAGCCCAGCCAGATAAGTTCAAAACACCAATAACAGCCTCTGCAATATGAATCATTATTCTCAAACATAATGGGTTTATATACCAAACAAACAGACCATATCGTATCATAAAATGGGAAATAACATTTGTACAAGGTTTAGCCAAATGTGGTTGTGAATAAGGGAGATAGTAAATAATAGACAGGGCATAACTCAAGAAAGGTAAATCATATAACAATAGTTCATAGGTTATAATAAAGCTTAGAAGAAGAGCGAACGAATATGAATAGTTTAGTTATTTAGCAGTTATACGATAAAAATATATGCATAGTATTGGTTCATAAATGGATCCCAAAGTTACCATTCATTACCCTTATCGAGGGATAACAATACCCTGTTGGTCATATATATATTAAATAACTTGATATTATAGATAAGTATTGTTAGTGAGGTTATATGAAATATGTAATGTAGATTTATGAGTTCTTTTCCATTATATCTAACTAGTAAACAAAGAAAATATTATAAGCAAAGATGGATAATGGCTAGCAGTGGAGTCCAGGACGTGCGTCTCGCCCTATTTATGACTCGTCAGCTGGATGTACCTGCATCTCAGAGTTGATATTCACTCTGAGGCTCAAACCTAGTACCGTTCGTCTCAAACGCCATCGCGTTATTCACTCAACTACTGAGTCCTGATAACTAAATGCTTGTGTGATGGGGGGAAGTTTACATTCACTTGTTATTATTTATTTTATTCTTCCCATTGATGTTTACGACTGTAATTGATCAGTCTCTTGTTGGCATATGTACATCCTGCTAGCCGCTATCTATCTTTGCTTACAATGTTTATGAATTAAGGCTATATCGAGTTAATCCTCACAGGATGTACATATACTAATAAGAGACTGATTAATCACTGTCCTAAACATCAATGAGAAGATTTAAACAAACAATATCAAATGAATTGAACGGGAAATATCATTAATTTGTCATGGAAACAAAATTTATTTACATAAATATAAGAATCTATTACAAACTTACAGATTCTTTCTCAGTTGTCTCAATACGAGTTTCACGACTTTTTATTGTATTTTGTAAATAGTTAACATGATGTTTTAAATCATTTAATTCAGTAGTTAATCTTTTAATTTCATCAATATGAGATTTTGCCTAAATAAATAATAATAAAAATAATTATAATCTAAATTGATATTAACTAGAATATTAAGTGAATATAAAATATATATGTTGATGGCGGCCTGCTTAAACATCTGGGCTACCTGTTCCCCGTCATCTATATATTTCAACAAGTTATCTAATATTGTTTGTTTTAATACATCATTATGGTTATTAAGCACACAACCTATTCCGGTGCGTTTCTGAAAATTGTACAACCTTTCGCTGTAAAAGTTACAAAAGGCCTAATCAGAGATGTCGTGTTTGCTGGGAACATGTAGCAAAAAGAATATACATTATTCATATGTCGATTGACTTAACTGCTGACATCCAACTGGCGATCACTGAATGTTTATCATCAGGAGCAACGAAGAAATAAGAAAAGTAAACATGTTGAAATACTTTATGCTGAGAATTCGATTTTGTACTAAATAATATAATATTGAATAAAGCTAATAATAATAATAATTAAAAAAAAAAGGAAACATTAAACAGATAATAACATAGATGATTAGGATTGTTCTATTAATACTACTCAAAAGATATAATTTTGAATTGTTTATCATTTGAAATCGATAATTGGATACTGACTCAGTGGTTTAGCGGTTAAGCGTTTGCGCGAGAAACTAAAGATCCTGCGTTCAAATCCAGAAAGTAGGATTGTGAATGTTTACTGTCGCGAAGTCTCACAATAGGATGGGACGGTTGAACAGTGCTTCTAGGTATTCCATGGTGATCTAACATCAATCAATTCATGGTTTTAATCAAAAATGAAATAACAGTGTCGGTTATTGGTAAAAAGAAAGTTTACATTAACCAAGATAATAAAATTGATTGAACTTACACAATCTTGTTCGATTTGTTTAAGTTTTTCAGATTTTTCACTTAATTGACTTAAAACTGATTCATATTTCTTTTGTAAAGCATCTTTTTCTGAAATAAGTTTTTCCTTTATTAACAAAAATAAAATATACTTTAAAAAGCTTTTCATTTATGGAAAGAAAATTATTGAACAATTAATGAGTTATGGTAAGCAAAAATGGATAGTGGATAGAAGTGGAATCCAGGACGTATGTTTCGTCCTATTTGGGACTCGTCAGCTAGATGTACCTGCATGTTAGAGTTGATGTTCACTCTGGGACTTGAACCCAATACCTTTCGTTTCAAACGTCATCGCGTTATCCACACGACCACTGATTCCTGTCAGTCACTTACTTGTGCAATGGGGTGAAGTTTAAATTCAACTTAGTATTGTTTGTTTGAATCTTCCTATTGAGTTAAATTCACTTGATGTTGTTTGGTTGGATCTTCCTATTGTTATTTAGGACTGCAATGGATAAGTCTCTTGTTAGTATATGTGCATCTTGTGTGGATTATCTTGATATTGTCTTAAGTAATAAGCTTTCTTAAATTACTACTCTATTCTTACGGATAAAATATCGGTCATATTATTCACTCTATCAATCCACTTTGATTGAAAAAAAGAATAAACAATCAAAGAAACAGACAATTCGTAAAAAGGAGAGTAGTTCTATCATGGTAAACTCTATTTGAGTCAATTAGAAGATGATAAATGTTAGAAAAAATATTAGAAAATCAAATGAATGTTGTAACCATAATCTGATATCGGTTATACATGAAATATTAGATAGATGGTTCAATTTGATATCGGACTCCGCAAAAATAAGTATATATGATCTCATTAGGAAGGGAAACCAGAAGCTTTCATGCATCACGACGGTCCCTTAAACTTTAGACTACTTAGTTAAATAAATAATTTCAACAGTACATCACATTTATAATATTATTACATGTAAGATTTCTTAAATTTTCATTTTTGACATTCAGGACGTAATTAATCACTCCTAAACGGTGTATTCTGTCTATGAACGATTGGTTTGTCATCAATTACATCTCAAGCTTCATTTAATTTTGGACAATAGATATCTGTGAAATACAGAAGTTGCATTTTTCTATTTTAAGGCAATTATTTAAGATTAATTACATCTCCTAAACGTCACTTTTAGCCACAATCTCCAGTGCTATTAGAGGTATAATTGAAGTTATCACTTCTCGGTTGCCTACTCCATGGAAGAATTCTTATAGAGGCACCTGAAAATGAAATTGGATTAGAAATGATTTTAGTGACCTGAGAGCGTGACCGCAATGTTCAAGGGACAACGGCTTGAGGTCGGTCAACAACACACACGCACAAAATACATGTCTAGATACCAAGACATTAGATCCTTTGTACTCATAACATATGAACTGAAGTTATTTTTTCCACAAAAATGGTATACAACAAATTAATATTATGAACATATTCTTACTTTCTCGGATTCCAATGTACGTAGCTGATGAATTTTCTCCGTGAGATCAGTTTTTGTTTCATTAAACTTTTCATTGAAATCATCACGTTCACGTTTGATTAATTCCATTTGACTGTTTAAACTAGCAACCTTATGTTAAATAATAGGAAAATAAAGAAAAGGATCTTGACAAATGAATGATGACTGCCAAGTAATACTGAAAATTGAATGAAGTTGGAATTACGTTATTTAACATCTCACCAATCGCTCTTACGGTGAACCTATTTCCTTAGTTACTTGATGGTTCTTATTTCAACCCTTGTTGAGAGCGTGATGCACACCACATCAGAAAGTAGTATTAGGAAACATCAGCTATCCATTGCTTTCAGGTTTTCAGCGGTAATCTAATTGAGATCAATTAATCTATAATGAATGGAACATAAATACTTCAAAGCTGCCAGATTAAAAAATAACTTATAACGATAAAGAGTGGATTGTTGACGGAGATATACATATTTATTATTAGAAGGGAATTTGTAGAGATTTAGTATTTTCATAGTTGAAAGCGTAAGTCATTTGAAGCTAGACCACCATGGAAAACCTGGAAGCACTGGACGGCCGTTTCGTCCTACTATGGGACTCCTCAGCAGTGCGCATCCACGATCCCGCACTCGCGAGATTCCAACCCATGACCTACCAGTCTCGAGCCAGAGCCCTTAACCTCTAGACACTGAGCCGGCCTGCATCTAAAGGTGTTACTGTCTAACTTCAACTGATTCACGAAGTTGATCAACCGTTCACCAATTGCCTTCAGTAAGTTACTATCTCACGACAGACGTGGTTTGAACTCCACTGGTCACTGCTTCTCACTAGAACTCCTGGATGTACTTCTCGAAGTCACTTGTGAGCATATGATTATATTAATTATTAGAAGGGATTTTGTGGAGATTTAGTATTTTCATAGTTGAAAGCGTTAGTCAATTGAAACTACACACATATTTACTTAGATGAAAGTTGATTTGGTAACTGACTAATGAGATTGTTTATGTATTAGGTGAAAAGTTACAAAGTAAAATAAAGGTAAGTAAGTATTATACTTCAATAGCTTTTAGTTGATTAGCCAATTCTTGATTATAATCTTCCTTCATTTTGTTTTCATGAATGGAACTGAATATCTATGGGTTACTTTGTTACTATTAGTTTCATCTTTGATTATTCGTTTTTTAAATGATGTTTAACTTAAAGTTACATTCAATTAACTGAACAACATTTAGTCTAGATAATAAGGTATGTTGTTTTTATCTGCACTACATCGCTATTCTCCGATCCTGATTTATCGCAGTCAGCCCATGAAGTCATAAACTGTCAGTCTTAGCCAAGCTGATGGATGCCGACTACCTAATCGTAATCAATGACTTGCGACTTTGCGTGTCATGGTTTATAACCGATAACAGTAATTCAAATGTCTTTACTCTATATTTTCCTCTTGATCTTGAATTACAGCATCCCTTCACACACATTGTTCTTAGCTTGTCATTTTAACTATATTTTCAATGGTCATTCTTTCAAATTACCATTGCTACGATGATATTTCTATTATTTTTACTACTTCTCTCGCTAACGTTATCTCGTTGTGTCACTATGGCAGGGTAACTTGGGATCTTTTAAATCTATGATATGCTCTTCGTTGATGATGACTAACTAACTGCGTATACTATGAATGAAGTTACTTACCGTTAGATCGAAGCTATACTTTACTGCTGAGTATTAAAAACATTTAAACCTAGGAATGGAACTTTTGTTGGCTGTTTGCTATTTCATCATTGAGATCATGAACTGATCAGTGGTAGTCTAACGTTGATCATTTCATGATTTCAATGAAACTCAAAAATCTCCACAACTCTATACTAGTAAATATTGAATCAAATTACAGATCGATACATGTAAATGTAAACAAAACGAAGTACCTCCACTTCACGTTCAGCCTTAGCAGAAGCAAGTTCTCGTCTCAATGTAGCCATTTCTGTAAAGTCTGTTGTATGTAATCCCTAAAAGTATAAGTAACAAACATATATATATCATTAAAAAAATTCAAAAATTAAACATCTGTACTACTGATAACAAAATCAAACTGCTATATCCTATTGTAGTATGGTCTACTTATATCCATATAAGTAGTATATGGTGATGGTCACACATAGAATGTATCTTGGCAGAAGACCGATAAGGAAAGAACTGAAATGAAGCGCAATTGGTAGGAAAATGTATGAACAATGGTATCAGAGAAGATGGACTGATATTTACAGAAGGAATAGTGAAGATTGAGACAATTGGTTATTATTTTGCAAATTAACCGTTCAGAACTTAGTGAAATAGTATGTAGTTTGTGATTGAATACATTCGATTGTCCTCAACTAGTGTTTTGTTTACTACACTACAACCAAACAATAAGCATAGATGACCTTAAGCAACTAGTACGCAGCAAGGACATGGAAGACTATTACTCAATAACAACTAGCCCCGAATGAAGAGAAAAAAACGTAAGACCAATGTCCACCTTTCCAAGATCGTTATAAAGTTTCAGACATATGTTTATATATATGCAAGACCAGACCACTCAAAAGCCCAAATGGGTAACAGTATTAGCGCCGAACAACATCAACATTGGGAAAACGGAATACTGGGTACACACGCAATCGATTCTAATATGTGAGTGAAAGATGCTATACCAACAAATTATGGTTCAACTTAAAGCTTGAAACTAGAATAATCAAAATACCTTGGAAAAATCTAATCAATATACATATAAATAGGATATTATAACTTTCGCATTTTAACGGTTTCTTTATAGCTTCATTAGTAGCAGGTGTTATACCATATATATCATTAACTGAGATCATGAATCCATCGATATTAGACAACTATTGAAAACCTGCAAACACTAGACGGCCGTTTCGTCCCAGTATGAAACTCCTCAGCAGTGATCATCGACGATCCCAACCTTTTGATCCGAACCTAGGATCTTCAGTCTCACGCACGAACACCTCTAGATTACTGATCCGGCATCCAGTGATGTTAGTGTCTAACGTCAATCAACAAACGATATTGTGCAGCCATCTTCTTATACCAGGACAAAAAAGCCCAACTGTGCTCACAGGTTTTCAATGTAGGTCTAACATTGATTGGTTCATGATGAAAATTAAAACTCAGCAATCTCTACAACCCTATACTGATATATATTATTAGTTAGTACTGAAAGTGAGAAGGAAAACACAAGTGTAGAAATGATCAAATTATAAAAACGATATGAAACCAAAAGCAATATTTTCTTTTAATTAAACATCACACTTACGCTTGATTGATCACCACTCATTAATCAATCAATTGTAAATACATCTCAGTGCGACAGGTAAGTCACGGCCCGAATAGCCCAGTGATAACGTTTCTGACTGAGAAGCTTTGTGACACGGGGTGGAATCCGTTAGGAAGCATCAGTTACACCAAGATTACAGGTACACCTTACTGATGAGAGGCAGAATAGCACGAAACCTAGAACCAGGGATTTCTGTCGACTACCTCCAACACTCCCTGTCTTCCCTTAAACTATGAGATTGAAATTGCTCCATATCTTTCTTTCTTCCTGTACTATATCCTTATATACAATTACCACCATTAAATTAACTACTTCTATGAGTTCGGTGTTCATCTTGTTGTGCTAATGAGGTATAGCAACTTCGACCGATGTATATGTGTGACTGGTCCTACATTGTAGCTGGCTGACTGACTGACCTCCAACCACCATCTTATTTAAACATTCTACTTGTTAGTCAAAATTCCGAAAACTATTAACTTAAGACGTTATTAAAAAATGACATTAGAATGAAGGATAATAGCTATTGTGTTTTAGTTTCCATTCCAACTTCCTGATTACTTCTTCAATCAAACTGTACAATTCGAAAGCATATTATCATCTCCTTTTTTAAATCTTACTAATTGATTGCATAATTCGCCTTTTTTTTAATTTCTTACAACAATTTAGAGTTCAACTGTACCGGATGTGAAGCAGTTACTCACAGAAGACAATGAACGATGATCGATCAATATTATGAATTGATTGGTGTTGGATGACAGCTCGATGGTCTAGGGGTCAGGTGTTTGCATGTCAGACTGAAGGTTCTGAAGTCGATTCCCGCGTGAAGGATCAAGGATGCTTACTGCTGAAGAGTCCCATACTAGAAGGGAACTGTCATCCAGTGGTCCTACGTTATCAATAATGGTCTAACATTGAGTGGCTTATGATCTCAGTCGAAATATCATTTCTATCTGAGCGGTATTTTTATTATTGTCATCATAATCATAACAATGATGATAATTTCGATCTGGAGATTTTGTTCAACTCAAAATTATTACTAACAATTCTAGAATTGTAAGCAAAGATGGATAGTGGCTAGCAGTGGAATCCAGGACACGCGTTTCGTCCTATTTGGAATTCGTCAGCTGGATGTACCTGCATCTCAGAGTTGATGTTCACTCTGGGACTCGAACCCAGTACCATTAAAGGATTTCTATTAGTACAGTTAAAGAAGGTACATTAATGTTTTTTTTCATCTTATCAACAAAATAAGAACTTACCATTGACGACTTCAATCTATCATAAGCCCCAACAGTTGATGTTCCACCACGTGAACGTTCATCTAATTCCATTTGTAATTGATTAAATTTAACACTTAATTCTTGATTTGTTTTACGTAATATAGCTAATTCTTTAGATAATTGATTACTTGATGGGGATCTTGTACTTAAATCATGTATTCCAGTAGATGAATTAAGCTATTTTAATATAAGAGAAATTATATTAGTTTCAATGAATCCATGTATATAGAGAATGAAAAATATTGAATGTTAATTGAATATAATCAAGAAGTAGTTAGACGTTAACACCGGTTGGATACCGGCTCAATGGTCTATCAGTTAAGTGCTCTGGCACGAGACTGGTAGGTCCTGGATTTGAATCTCTCGAGGCGGAATGGTGGATGCGCACTGCTGAGGAGTCTCACAATAGGACGAAACGGCTGTCAAGTGCTTCCAGGTTTTCAATGGTTATCTAGCTTCAATTGACTCATGATTTTAACTATATATAAAAAATAACCAAGAATTGTTAGTTATCGATTTGTATCATTCTACCTCTGATGTATGGTAAACATTGAGAAAAGTCAGAATAGTCTCTAGTGATTATATACAAAGTTCCATAGGAATAACTATAAAGTTTATTGTTACACATTTTCAAACAAAATTTAGGATACGTTGAGTAATGAATAAAACGTCAAGATCACAGTGAAAGCTGATAATTTTGTTCTGAACTGAACGGGTTAAGTTGGACAAAACGAAAAATTGCTATACAGAAGACCAATAAAGACTTGGAATTGGATCAAGGTTGCTAGTGCTTGTTGATGTGCATTTGGTTTAGCACAGGTATAAGGTAATAGAAATCGATCTCGATCAGAAGTCGTTCTTTCCAGTCTGTTGGTACTCCGCCTGTAGCTCCTCAGGGGGCTACTGCCAGTCCCAAGCCCGGGTAAAGGAGGAGGGTTGAGCATGGGGTTAGCGAGGCCATCCCGTAGAAAACCAACTCGCTTAAAAAACGATGACCAGAAAGAAATCCATTTTAACTCTTAATATTATAATTACAATTAACTTACATGAGTAGTTTCAAGAACATTTAATCTAGCCGCTTTTGTATCTAATTCTCGTTGTGTTGCTTTCAAACGTATTTCAAGTTCAGAATTTTGAAATCTTAACCGAGTTAATTCTTGTAAATGTTGTTGAAGCTAAAATAAAAATAATCAATTGAAATGATCAAATTAAGTTCATCTATCAGAAGGGACTAGTGACTGGCTACATGAGGTAATTCCTGAAGTTCCAGTGAGACGTCGTGACCAGTGAAGCTAATCCATATCAGGTAGAGACAGGTATCTACCTAAGTACAATGGAAGTTGATCGCGTAATCTCGTGGATTGGTTGAGGTTAGACATTAACATCGTTGGATGCCGGCTCAGTGGTCTACCTGTTAAGTGCTCTGGCGCGAAACTGGTATGTCCTGGGTTCGAATCCCGCGAGGCGGGATGGTGGATGCGCAGTACTTAGGAGTCCCACAATAGGACGAAACCGTCGTCAAGTACTCCCAGGTTTTCCACAGTGGTCTAGCTCTAAATGACTCATGATTTTAACTAAATAGATTCTTCTATTCAAACTACTCAATAGTTCATTGATTCCATATTAAATCGCTTTGGTTTAAATGCATATATTATAATACTTACCATGTTTTCTTTTTCCTGTAACATTCTCGTTAACATAATAACATCTGGACTAGACATTAATTGTCCAGGTACTGATGCCCTACCACCAACTGTACCTACGCCACCACTAGATGAAGTATTGCCAATGAATTGAAATGCACTTCCTGCTAAATGTGGTGATAATGATCCACCACTACCTGTATGATATGGTGCCAAATAATCTGTTCTTCTTGTACCAGATGTTGCACCAATATTTTCTAGACCACCAGACATTCCTGACCATGTTCCATGAAGTGATATATTCGGGAAAAGAGGAATGGTAGACAACTATTTAAAAAGAAATAATTAATAGAACATTAATGAGAAGTAACTTTCAAACTATAATCATTATATGATTACGTGTTCAGCAAAAGTACATTATTACTATTCAAGCAATCATGAGTAAGAGGAGAGCTTTCAGTGTCTTTCACTAAACTCAATAAGTTAATATCAATTAAGATTCAACTGACAAAGAGCTTTGGAGAAATACTTGTATGACATAGAACGCAAGAACATGTTTCAATTCAGTTATATCTAGAGCTTTCATTCTTGCTTTGCAGCGTACTACTAGACTACTTGAAATATCGAGTCCGCAACGTCGGAAGAAAGAAGACAGAAAACTAGTAAGTAAGAAATTTATTCCCCAAAACAGTGTCAAAATATAGTACAAGAATCTCATGTATTTATTGTTTTTTAGCTGAAAGTAAATCATCATTTAGGATGGCCAGTAGACATGAAGGGGGGTCATTCTTATCCATTCAATAGCGAAGCTACACGTCGACATTCTAGAACGTTCCCCTAGTGATGATTGGATGGAATGTCTTCGGCTCTTTCTGGGCTTCTTGAGGCTTCCTATAGTTTGCTAACGAGCCATCCTTACAAATTCAGTATTATTATTGTTCAGCGAAAAAAAATCATTGAATTAATTCAGTCATTCAAAGTAATATGCCGGGCACCTTTTGTACTATTTCAGTGCAACATCTAACTTTGTATTACTCCTATTTTGCTTATCTAACTGGGAATCTTGAAGGGAGGCGGAAAAGACGAAGATAGAAGAACACATTACATCGAGGAATAGAAGCAGATATGAAGAGGATGGATGTTAACTGAAAGGATTGTTTAGGACAGAGTTGGATGAAGAGTGCTGGTGGACGGCCTATGCTCCTCCACGAGGAGTAACAGGCTTAAGTAAGTAAGTGAGTAAGCAATTTTGTTTATATGTGAAGTCCATGTATAAATGAGTACATAATGATTGTTAAAGTGGTTGTCTTGTTTTGTTTTAGATTATGAATAAGATCTCTATCTACCATCATTCATTATCTTTTTATTTGTCACATATGTTCCTACTTTTCACGTCAGTTATCACAGCTATAACAAAAGGACATTTTGAAAATGGCTTAGGATTGATAAGAACAAAGTATTCATTCAATCATAAAATGAACATTATATCGTAAGAAGAAATCATATTTCATAGTATGAGTATTTGTATTGAAAGACTGAAGAAATCGCATATATACTTACTTTCTGTAACTGATGTAGCAATATATCTACAATTGATGAACTAAGTCGTGTCTAATGCCATGTGCATCAAATTCTCCTTGGTGTTTGTCGAATTCTATTTTGTTTAATCGCAATGTGACCAGTAATCTAAGTGACTCAACATAGCATGTACTATATTGAGATGTATGGTCTATTGTACCAAATAATACAAAGCCTAAGTTTAGGGTTTCTTGCCGACTAACTCTGAAGACATAAACAGAAAAAAGACAGTAGTACTGTCATTGACCTCTATTGTGAAGTATGTGCTGTAATATCTCGAGTTACTACGGTTTCGCGAGACTGGTAGGTCCTGGGTTCAAATCTCGCGAGTGCGGGATCGTAGATGCACACTGCTGAGGAGTCCCATAATAGGAAGAAACGACCGCCCAGTGCTTCCAGATGATGCAAAAAAAGTAGAACACTACTATTATCAATACTACTTATCAATCAATAACATATGTATCTCAATATAATAGACTACATAAATATGTATGTCATCAGAAAAATGAATAATACAACTGAACTTGAAAACATACAGCAGCACGATCTTGATCAGTTAAAGTATGCTCACGTCCTTGTGTTAGTTTAATCATAGCTGCTACACGTAAATTAGCTTCATGATTTGAACGTCGCAATTTTTCTAGTTCAGGTAAATAATTCTGGAACTAAATTATTGATTAAAAACAAAGATTTATTGTAGGATACATAATAACTAAATATAAGTATTATATTTTAATGAATATTTAATCACTATGGTAGAGAATTTATTTTTACAGGCCTTTGATCATTTACATGACAATCACTTGAAGAAGAAGAAGAAGAAGGGGCATAAGGACAAAACTATTTTGTAAATATCAAATAAAACTGATCAGTCTCATATTGGCATATGTGTATTCGGGTATAACTACATCTCAGAGTTGATGTCTACTCTAGGACTCGAACCCAATACCTTTCGCTTCAAATGCCATCTTGTTATCCACTTAGCTACCGAATCCTGATAGCCACTTGCTTGTGCAATTGGGTGAAGTTTAAATTCAATCGGTATTGTTTACTTGAATCAAATCTGATATGCAGGTACATTCATCTGACGAGTCCCAAATAGGACGAAACATGCGTCCTGGATTTCATTGCTAGCCACTGTCCACCTTTGCTGAGGGATTTCATTCTAGTATGAAAGTGCCGTCCAGTGGTTCCAGGTTTTTAATAGTGATCTAACATTGATCAGTTCACGATTTTAATGAAATTCAACAATCTCCAGAACCACTTACTGACCACTTATTATATTGCTTCACTTTCTCAAACGTATAAGATAAGTGTTACTAGTATATTCAATTATATTTGATCATACAAATTACAATCAATTTTTGATTTTACAGATAACATATTTCTATATGTATAATTTATTTATGATTCATCAATCCCACTAGTTTTAGAATAACCATCCTTTTTTCGAGTAATTTTCAGTTCATTTAGTCTATCTGTGATATATATAAGTTGAAATCATGAGTCAGTTGAAGCTAGACGACCATGGAAAACCTGGAAGTCCTGGACAGCCGTGGATGCGTACTGCTGAGGAGTCCCACAATAAGACGAAACGGCCGTTCAGTGCTTCTTACTATCTATCTTTCAGCTTGTTTCTACTCCAGTCTCCATTACGTGTCAGAGTAGGCAGTGGAAGTTATTATTCAATAGACGATCTCCGTACATTTTGAAATACCAACATCAAGAAGTAAGAATAAGATTGTTTACAAACGAGAATGAATCATAATATCTAAACATTCTAGCTACATGAATAAATCATTACAGTAGTCAGTCAAATAACATACACATTCTTGTTCCAATGTTTTAAGTTGATTTTCACGATCAGTTAATTCTTCTTGTGCTGAAGCTAATTGAGCTGAAAGATTATTTCTTTCACGTTGAAAATGTTCTAGATTACTTCGTAATTCACGTACCTACAATTAGACGTATAAATAAATGAAATGGGAATGTACTTTTTTTACTTGGTATATGTTATCTAACAAGAATAAGCTCAATTTAGTTTTTGTTTGTTTGTTTGAATCTTCCCATTCATGTTATAGGACTGCAAATAATATTAAGTGAATTTCAACTTCACCCCATTGCACAAGCAAGTGGCTATCAGGACTCAGTGGCCGAGTAGATAACGTGATGGCGATTGAAGCGAAAGGTATTGGGTTTAAGTCCCAGAGTGAACATCAACTCTGAGATGGAGGTCCATTATGCTGACGAGTCTCAAATAGGACGAAACGCGCGTCCTGGATCCCACTGCTAGCCACTATCCATCTTTGCTTACAATGCTTGTGAATAAAGGTTATATCGAGCAATACGCACAGTATGCACATATGTCAATTAGAGACTGACCAGCTGCAGTCCTAACACATCAATGGGAAGATTCAAACAAACAGTACTAAATCAATATATCATATGTTCTTATTAAATCAACTTTATCTTCTTATCATACTACTAACATGACTTTTTAGAGAATGGTACTATTTTTGTAAAAATAAACAATTTTTATCATTACTCTCATCAATTTTATTGTCCTGCAGTTGTGCTTTTTCAATTATTAGAGTATCAATGTTCAAACTGTCTGTAGTTGACCACACTGACAGACTACAGCTAGAAAACCACTGGTTTACCCAAGCATGACGCTTCTCTGCAACTAACGCCCGCAACATGAACCGTCTCCAGGATCTTGTGGTTTCTTATTAAGTGGGTTACTCTTTTAAACCATTGAGTTTACATCTAATAATTCACATTTCCAACATCAGGTAGGTCATGATATTTCAAAGGTATCATTAGTTGACACTGGTGACGCAAACCATAAACATTAGAGAATTAAAGCTCCCTAGTTACAACTTATTAGAATTTTAAGTACATAGCTACTACTGCTAAATGTAGTTTGTAGATATGAAAGGGGGTTGGAGATAATTATTAGAATACTCTACATAACTTGGACTTCTTGCTTGCTGAAACTTATCAACAAGGCATAGCTTCCGTATTCAGGAAACTAATGCTCCTTGTGGGATTCGAACCTAAATCATCTACCTTCACAATCTGAGAAGTTATAATAGTGATATTTGAGCAGTATAGTTAATAGTAACAAACTGTACAATCTTCACAACACTTCTTTACTACTTTTATCAGGACTCTTTTATAGTTAGTTGCCTTGTAACTTCATGATTTGTTATTACTGTGGGAACCACTGAAAACAGAGAATACTGAGCAGTTGATTCAAGTGAGGATTAAAAAGCTAATTTATTCTATTAGGATTATGCTATATAAATCACATAACAAAAAGATAATCATGTACTTTGAGATCCTACCTAGAATTGATGTTGTTAGATTGTGACTGCTGGAGTAGAATCATATCCTGTAAAAATAGATAAGTGCCCTTAATCGTAATGAATAATTATTTAACTTCATCTCCGGATGACTAAAGTCGAACATGTCAATAGGCCATCTACAACGTAAGACCAGGCACATATATGTATCGGTTCAAGTTGCCATCACTCATGTCGAACATGTGGATCACTGGATTTCTACTAAATGTTCTAATAGTACTGTGTTTAGTCTGTAGAAAGCACACTTGACCTATCTTGCCGTGAACTGATAACGTGTGTAGAGTGAAGAAGTCATTTTATTTACATCATTCAGTTTACTGGAATTCTGACATTTGATCAGGTACAATATATTCATGTGTGTGAATACGTAGATGTCTATTATGTATTACGATCTTATTCCTTTATTAGTCGTAAATGTAGACATTCAATAGTTTATGATTAATAGACCCATTCATGTTCATATCCAGATGAAGCTCTTCATGATGTCTTCCCTTCGCTAGTCTGATTACCAAACGTGTGGTCTGTCGAATCAGTATACATGAAAAATAAATGACTACCTAGTTTGTATTTGGCTTCTGAATTTTTCGAATGGAACACAATATAACTATACCACGAAGATTATCCTAAGGATATAAATGAAGTCAGCTCAGGTCGATTATAGACGGAGTCAAAAGCGTAAAACTTACAAGCTCGTCACAATTTCTGAAGCTATTCTACTTATAGTCGACATGTACCGTAACAAAGATTGAGAACTAAAACCAACCAACTATTCATAGTTTCGTGTATTTTAATGAATCTACAGTTAGTTCCACTTTATGGGAAAATGTCTCATTATAGCATTATCATTACTATTACTATTATCAGTAGTCAGGATACTCCAGAATCTAGTAAAAACTGATATACCTGTTGCTCTAAATGTCTTGTTTCATCATCACGACCGGAAGCGTAAATTTCACGTTCTGCAGTTAGACGTACACTTTCACGCAAAGCTTGTTCTAGTTCACGAATTCTTCCATCTTTCTCTGTTATAATACCCTGGAAATGAAAAATAATGATGATGCAAAAACCAACAGTGTGTTGATTCTTTTTGTTATTTATCTATTTATTAAGAATTGTTATCAAACAAATGAAATCAAGGCAAAAATAGATAGTGGCTAGAAATGGAATGCAGGACGCGCATTTCGTCAGCTGAATGTACCTGCATATTAGGCTATATCGAGGCAATATGCACAGTATGCACATGTGCTAATAAAGGACATCCATTGCAGTCCTAAACATCAATGGGAAGATTCAAACAAACAATACTAAGTGAATTTAAACTCCACACCATTTCACAAGCAAGTGGTTATCATGACTCAGTAGATGAGTAAATAACGCGATGGCGTTTGGAGCGAACGGTACTGGGTTCGAGTCCAAGGATCAACATCAACTCTGAGATGCAGATACATCCAGCTGACAAGTCCCAATTAGGACGAAACGTGCTTTGTCCTGGATTCCACTGCTAGCCACTATCCATCTTTGCTTATATTGCTTGTGAACTTAGATTATATCGAAGCAATACGCACAATATGCACATATGCCAATAAGAGACTGATCGATTGCAGTCCTAAACATTCAAACAAACAATCACTAGTGAATGTAAGTAAAATGTAGAATTCTCAAAAACAAAAACAAAAACTTGGATGCTCTGGACGGCCGTTTCCTTCCAGTATGGAACTTCACAGCATTGCGCATCCATGGTCCTGGACGCCGGATTTAAACCCAGGACCTTCGGTCTGACGCGTTCACGCTTAACCCCTAAATCACTGAGCCCGCATCAAATGGAGTTGATGTCTAACTTCCATCGATCCATGAATGGCTGCGCAAACATTCATGCATTATGAATTCCCGGAGATCTAGTAAAAAGCCGTGACCGTTGGAGTCCAATCCGTGCCGGATAGAGATAGATATCTATCTCAGATAATGGATGAAAGTTTGCGAAAGATATTGGATCAATTGACAATACTTTCAGGTTTACAATGGTTATCTAACATCATTCGATTTATAATTTCAATCAAAAAACAAAATTATTGTGAATTCAACCGTAACGTTGATAATAACTAGCTTAATGAAATAACAACAATGCTGAAGCCTATTGATTGAATGAAATATGAATTTCTCTATCTGAATATTCCATTCATATTGCTACAATGTGATCTGAATAATTATATTGGTTGGTTTATTTTGTTGTTGTCAAAGGATTCAATTATTTTCAATTTGAAGTTGTTCAATGCGTTTGTTGTTTGTTTATTAACTGAATATTGATCCCAATCCCGGTTAAAGAAGAGGAGTTGGGTAAGGGGTTAGAGACCCCACCCTGTGGAAAACTAATTCGCTAATAAAAAACGCTAACTAGAAAAAATAATTCCAATAGGCGTAAGTGAAGAAGTAATTTCAACAATTGAGATCATGAGTTAATGGAAGCTAGACCACCATCAGTGCTTGAAGTCACTAATTTCTAGTCTAAGCCATGTTGGTAGATGCAGACTACTTGGTTGGGGTCCGCGTGACTATCGTAACCAATGGTTGGAGACTCTAGGTGACACGGATCAGAATCGATCACAATCGATCACTTTATCCTTATATACAGCCTTTCTTTTATATACTACCACCCCTAAATTAACTACTATGAATCCGGTGTTCATTTTATTGTGCTAACGAGGTATGGCAACTTGGACCGATGCCTGATCCTACGTTGTAGCTGACTGACTGACTGAGACCACCATGTAAAACCTGGAAGCACTAGATGGCCGTTTCGTTCTGTTGATTCATGATCTTAACTATTGAAATTACTATCATATCCAAAAGACCCCTTCTGATATTAAATTAGTAATCTCAATCATCTAGAAGAAATGAGCAGTATTGAACCTAGTGTTAGTGATTAATTTATTGGAATATAGTACGGATATATTTTCCCTTCCAATCATAAAAATGTAATTGTGAATAATTTGTCACATCAGTTGCCTTAATGGTTATGCTATTTCTAAGCAAATAGATTAGTATATATACTGGGGAATAGATCAACCGTGAAAAGTAAGAAAAGAGTGAGTAAACAATATTGAAGCTATACTTTATTCGTTTTTAACAGCTGGATACATTAGTCCAATCGGTCAACTAGGATCTGTTTCTGGTTTAAATAAATAGATGTTACTTCTGAACAGTATTAACTCCGCCTGTAGCTCCTCCGGGGGCTACTGCCGGTCCCAAGCCCGGGTAAAGAAAGAGGGTTGAACATGGGTTAGCGACCTCATCCCGTAGAAAACCAACTCGCTAAAAAAACACTATCCGGAAAAAAACGTTGAACAGTATTCATTCCGAATCTTTCTAATCCATCTGTTGAATTATTTAGGTGGATTTAGATTTCTTTAATAGGATAGTTTAATTCTAAAGTACTAATTGACTTATAAGACAATATTATCAGTACAAGGTTTATGAGGAAATCTATAGTTTGTACACTTTTGACTAAGCGTTTATTCTTTGGAGAGTGAGTTTGACCGCTTACCATTTTTCGAGTTAGTTGATATATTAGGTACATTTTAGTATTTTCATAGTTAAAAGCATGAGTCAAATATAGCTAAACCACCAGGGAAAACCTGGAAGCACTGGAAGGTCGTTTCGTCCTATTGTTGGACTCTTCAACAGTGCTCATCCACGACCCCACCTCGCGAGATTCGAACCCAGGACCTACAAGTCTCGCGCCAGAGCACTTAACCGATAGACAGATTTTCCCTTGTGGTCTAGCTTCAATTGACTCATGCTTTCAACTATGAAAATACTATGTCTCCACAAAACCCCTTCTGATAATAATATTTTAGTATATTTATTGAATCCCAAGTAATTTAGGTGCTAGGCCACTACCACTGAAGCAGTATGACTGATTTGTATAAATGACCCAATTCAACTTTGGTACTCATAAGAGTACCGTACACTTTACTGAATAGTGTCTTGTTGACAATTAACAATTACAAAGAAACGTTTTTTTCACTGTTTAATCGTTGAGTAGTAACAAATATCTTCTTTGTTCAATTGTTAGTGTTGATCCACGTACCATTTGACCACTAGTCCAAGTGGTTTGACATCATATGTATCATGCCGAAATGTTAGGCTGTCAACAAGAGACCATGATACTAGATAACACGCCAGTACACATTCTCCAACAAGATGTACTTAAAATCTTGAAAGAGTTGATGCTCTGTGTGTAATTTGAAATCAAGTCTCTATTTGATGTGAACATATCAGACTGTGATGTTGGGTGCTCCATTTCGAATCATATGAGAAGTGTCAAATCTATGAAGATTAAAGACATGCCTTGTCAATAAGTGTTGACTATCATGAAACCTAAATAAATCAAGATTTAAGCGAGCCACTTCCAGTTGTCTACGCAAAATACTCAACATCCATTGGCCGGATACCATCAGCAACAGCCTACTGTGGGAGAGGACAAATCAGCTTCCAGCTGAAGAGGAAATTAGGAAAAGACGTTGGAAATGAATAGGCCATACATTAAGGAAATTACAAATGTGCATCACGAGGCCATCCATAACTTGGAATCCAGAAGGAAAGAGGAAAAGATAAAGGTCAAAGAACACATTACACCGGGAAATTGAAGCAGATATGAAAAGGTTGAATAACAACTGGAAAGAACTGGGAAGGATAGCCCAGAACATAGTTGGACGGAGAATGCTGGTGAGTGGCCTATGCTCCTCGACGAGGGGTAACAGGCGTAAGTAAGTTAAGTAAACTTCCAACAAACTAACGTCAGATATTATATTTTTTAAAAAGAATGCTAAAAATGTAAACTACCAAGGTGAAATCAACGTCTACCTTTAATATTTCATTATCAGATTGTGCATTCTCTTCACGTTGTCTTAATTCTTCAAGTTGTTGACTTGATTTTTTTCGTTCATTTTGTTGACTACGTTTTAAATTATTCAAATTATTTTGTGCTTCACGAAGTTCTCTATAACAAAGTACCAATGGGAATAAAGAATAAAATAAGGGCTCGTTAGAAATTAATATAAAGGAATATTCGTAAGAACATGTCATAGTTTAAGAGATTTTTCTTACTTTATTTATTTAAACAAAGGGGCACCACACTTAGATGCTCCGCACAAATCTCATTTGGTTTGTGTGAGGGCTATGATACTGCCCAGGTGCCCAAACTGAAGCAGATGGTTTGCTTAGGGGCCCACACCTCGAGTCTTTGACCTAAAAATTTGATCCACAAGGCAATGGAGCATCGTGAGGAGATGCAATCCCATGGTAGCCGGTGACCAACGATTGAATTATACAACATTTGTTCCCTTAGCAGGATACTGGAGCCAGTCAATGTGCACGATTGGTTTAGAATCAGTGTTTTCCAACTCCCCTAGGTGACGGACATTTGCTTCTCGTCCTCTCAATTTCGTAAATAACATCCCCACCACAAGAAGGCAGTAAGTAGGGTTTCCCTGACAGAGGCTATATACGCATGGCCATATGAGAGCATTTTGATAGGGAGAGCGGACTCTCCCCACTCTCGACCGTACCTGGACATTAATTTATAGATCGTATTCTTCACAAATTAATCTTATTCGAGGTGCCATGAAAAACAAGAGAGTAACGGACAGCTATTTCTTCCAGGTATGAGACTTTTATGGTATGCGCTCACTAGGTAGGGAATATTTTGAGAGCTTCTTCAAAAGACTTGCAGGTTTTGGGTTTTGTACCCAACTGAAACATCAGCCTGCATTACTGAGGAGTTCAATTCTAGGAGAAGAATGATGTTTCGTTTTTCCCAATGATTAACGGTATCTTGATTAAGATCAATATGTGACGAATAAAACTAACGAATAGATATTTTGTATAGGAATTTTCTCCATCATCGTCGTTTTTAGTAAAATTTCTGTCATTTTAAAATAACCAAATCTCATTTAGATTGTAAATTTCATTTATATGCTCATAGTAAGTATACGAACAATACACTAATTACTATCCAGTGTTATACTCATTTTTGAACAAAGATATTTGGTAAACATTGAAGAAACTACAATGAAACACTGATTACTATCCCATGAGCATTTGCTATTCCATACTCAGGATTTGTCTATTAAATTATTATTATTATCAGAATGGGTTTTGTGGAGTTAAGTGTTCTGGCGCGAGACTGATAGGTCCTGGGTTCGAATCTTGCGAGGTGAGATCGTAGATGCACACTACTGAGGAGTCCCACAATAGGACGAAATGGCCATCCAATGCTTCCAGGTTTTCCCTGGTTGTCTACCTTCAATTGACTCACGCTTTCAACTATTAAATTAATATCAATTGTCTGTACATATACCTCAGCTTTGTAAAAAAAAAAGTCAATTATCTTAATCTTATAGAAACATGGCAATCGTGTACTTATATGTAAATGTAACTCCTTTGTAAATAAGGTACTGATATTCCAGTTTGTTATTATTATCCTAATACAACCATACAAAAGCTAACCGTTCAATAATGAATATGACACCGATCTTTACTTTACACTAAGGTTCAAACATATTGATCCTTTTAATTAAATTGAAAACATGGTGAGAGGTCAGGCAAAAAAAGTTAGTGTTATATCACTCCCGTCAAGCTGATTAGTGTGAGACATGATTTTTTATTTCTTTGTGTGGTAATGAGTAAAAAATATGACCTTTGTAATGTGCAAGGATAGAGTCTAATTTGTATACATGATAATCGTATGAGATGGGAGTAGAATCAGAAACGGCAGTTCGAATAGATGTTACAACTCCGGTGAATAATAAAGCCATCTTTTCTGTGGATTGCTGTAAGATTTAGAAATATATTGAAAGCTTCAACTACTCGCCTTTCTTTATAGTTAGAAAAGTCTTTTTGTATTATTTTGATATTCTTAATAATGATTTGATGGTTATTGAAGATGGCATGCACTGCTATTGTCAATCTAATTTGAAGTCTTTCATGTTCTACAAGTTTAGTAGGTGGCTTTTGTGTACCGAAGATGTTCTTTGGCTTAAGTTAAAATTTCACAAGATGACCTTCCAAAATAGAAGACATCATATTAGATATTCGTAGGCCACTAGTATTCGATCATAGGTGTCTTCGAAGCATTACTCGTATATCCTGGGACCAACGGGTAACTAATGTAGTTGTTAGGAAACGGATACTAGGTAAGGATGGCAAATCGATTGATGAAGTAGTGAAACTTTATCAATTGAGATGGCTGGGACACGTGCTACGTATGTCCAACCACCAACTGCCCCGACTTGCAATGCTTTATGGTGTAGGAGTAGGTTGGAAGAAAGCTAGGGACGGTCAGACCAAAATGTATCACAAATCCATGAAGTCACTGAAAAGTGGACTGAAGCATGTTGGTAGGTGTAGACTACCTGATTGGGGTGAGCGAGATGATAACAACCGATGGTTATAGACCATGAATGACATTGCTCAAAATCGCTTGCGATGGCGAAGGTGCATCCACTATTTGTGTTCTACCAAATTCTAATCTTCTGAAATTTTCATGTCTCCATCTTTTTTCTCTTTACAAATTTATTTCATTGGATTATACTTCTTGAATAACATCTTCAAACCCTAATCCTTCACATAATGCTTATACTCTTACTATTTCTAGCACTATGGGATTTGAATGGACAACTGCATCTCTGTGCTAATATGGTATGGCAACTCGAACTGATGTACGTACGTACGTACGAAGTTCTACGTTGTTACTGACTGACTGAGAAAGTCATCTCATGGAATCTTGACTAAAGTTAAAGTACATCTTCAATACACAAGTGAATGTAATAACAATAATAATGAATAAGATTAAATTAATTTCAACATTAAAACTTACTCTTTTAATTCATTCAGTTGATTTTCTTTATCAAATTTTTCGCTATCAATAGTACGCAATAAACGATCTACTTCTGTTTGAAGTTTAGATGAATTTTCCATATAGTGATTTAATTGACCTTCTAATTCAGCTGTTCTTTGTAAAAATTTCATATCCGATTCAGTAGTTAGTTGCTTTTGTAACTAAGTGAGAAGAAATTAAAATTAAGTAAATATATGTGAGGAGGGGGAAGGCGTGCTTAAACATTTGGGCTGCCTAAGCAAAGATGGACAGTGGCTAGTAGTGGAATCCAGGACAAAGTACATTTCGTCCTATTTGGGACTCGTCGGCTGGATGTATCTGCATCTCGGAGTTGATGTTCACTCTGGGACTCGAACATTATTCTATGTAATTTTAATTTCTAGGTAAAATTTAAGTGTCTAGATCTTTTAAGATCGAAATTATATTGTGAAAAAGTTATCAGAAGTGGGTTTTTTTGTAAAGATCTCAGTATTTTTCATAGTTGAAATCATGAGTCAATTGAAGCTAGACCACCATCAAAAACTTGGAAGCACTGGGCGGCTGTTTCGTTCTATTGTGGGACTCCTCAGCAGTCAGCATCCACGATCCCGCCTCACAAGATTCGAACCCAGGACCTATCAGTCTCGCGAGCGAGCGCTTAACCGATAGACCACTGAGCCGGCATTCAAAGGTGTGAATAACTAGCTTCAATCAATCCAAGAAGTTGGGCAACTATTCAATAATGTCTTCAGTGAGTTGATATCTCCCAACAGACCTGGTTGAGCTCCACTGTTTACTGCTTCTCACTAGAACTCCAGAAAATACCTCATGGAGCCGGACAAAACTTCGTGGATTAGTTGAAGTTAAACATTAACACCGTTGGATGCCAGCTCAGTGCTCTAATAGTATTGTCATCAAAATGTTCGTCAAGACCCAATGAAGCCATCAGTCTAAGTAATTCCATATTATGGGCAATATGAATGATAAACTACTGGAAGTTTACCCACAAGAAGGTTCTCTTGACCTAAGTTTTGTGTTAGTTGGCGCTTATCAGTGAAGGTTACTATAAATCTTGAAAACACGGATGCTCTTTGTTGAATTCGGACCTACATTAATCACTGTCATTATGTGAAACATAACCATGTATGATTAGCTGTAAAAACTGAGAATAAATTCATCTGAACGCATAATATTTCCACATTCAAATTCCTTCTCATTTCAAATCAATAATTAATGGAATTTGTATATGAAACAGGAAACAAAATAGATTTTGATGGAATTTTGTTCTCTGAGCTGGATGGTTTGGTTGTGTTTGTGTTTTCTTCTATAGTTGGCTTTGAGATTTTGATGATTTTCTTTTTAAGGATGTTTCTTCTTTTTTTTCTCTGTGTCGTTTGCATGATATTTCGATGGCTGTTGTCAAGGTTTCAAAGTGTTCTCATGTGAGTGTCCGTTGTAGTTTCATCTCTTGATCCTCTATGAAATGTTGATATTTGTGGATCCTGTGATGTGCATTCGTTATCACTAGGTGTACGATTTTTCTTCCACTTTGCTCAGTTATTCTCCATTCTAATAGGCAGTTGATTGTAAGTCTGTATCTTGCACTTGTGTGGTAGAACATGCGGGCGAGGACATTCATGGAGAAAATATAGTTGTTCTCGAGTAGAAGCTTGTCAAACCATCCAGCTCAGAGAACAAAACTCTATCAAAATCACCCACCTCGGCTACAAATCTTCTCGACTGCTTCACTTATCTTGGGAGTCTCATCAGCCCTTGTGGTCTGGTGTGTGACGAAATCTCACCATGGATACAGAAGGATTGACTACCTTTCGCCAACTTGCGTCATTTATAGAGTAGGCGAGATATCCATCTAACAACAAAAGGACAGGTTTACTATGCACCAAGTCGTTCCGTTCTATTTTATGGCAGTGAAACATAGGCTATAAGAGTAGAAGATATTGGTAGGCTACTAGTATTCGATCATAGGTGTCTTCGAAGCATTACTCGTATATCCTGGGACCAACGGGTAAGTAATGCAGTTGTAAGGAAACGGGTACTAGATAAGGACGGTAAATCGATTAATGAAGTAGTGAAACTTCATCAGTTGAGATGGCTGGGACACGTGCTACGTATGTCCAACCACCAACTGCCCCGACTTGCAATGCTTTATGGTGTAGGAGTAGGTTGGAAGAAAGCTAGGGACGGTCAGACCAAAATGTATCACAAATCCATGAAGTCACTGACAAGAGGACTGAAACATGTTGGTAGGTGTAGACTACCTGATTGGGGTGAGCGAGATGATAACAACCGATGGTTATAGACCATGAATGACATTGCTCAAAATCGCTTGCGATGGCGAAGGTGCATCCACTCTTTGTGTTCTACCAAATTCTAATCTTCTGAAATTTTCATGTCTCCATCTTTTTTCTCTTTACAAATTTATTTCATTGGATTATACTTCTTGAATAACATCTTCAAACCCTAATCCTTCACATAATGCTTATACTCTTACTATTTCTAGCACTATGGGATTTGAATGGACAACTGCATCTCTGTGCTAATATGGTATGGCAACTCGAACTGATGTATGTACGTACGTACGAAGTTCTATGTTGTAACCGACTGACTGACTGTCTCAAAGAATATAGATCCTTAACTTTTCAATTTCGGTACATCAAAAAAAACGTTGCTCAACTTACTAATTGTTTCTCCATTTGTAATGTGGTCACTTCTGAATTTCGTTGACTTAATTGTGTTTGTAATTGACTTATTTCTGTTTCTAATTTAAAACGTGATGTACGATAATCACTTGTTTCATCACGTATTTCCATTAATTGTGTTGTCTTCTCATCTAGTTCTTTTTGTAAAAGATCTAAACGATTTTTAAATTCAGTATTTAGACGTTTTTGTGTTTCTAATTCTTCGGCAATTTCTGATTCATTTCGTTGACGAGCTTCTTTTAAACTATACAAAAAATAATGATAACAGTTATAACCATTGGGGGTATAGAACGGAAATATATTAAAGAGTGATTGATTACTTTTTTAATTATTAAAGTTAATAAAATCCAAGTGCTCGTCATAAGACTTTGCAGTTTTTAGTTCAATTTCGGAGAGGTCATGAATGCTTCCTGTTGAGGTGTTTCATACTAATGACTAAATAGTTACTTACTGTTTCAACAGTTGTCTAGCCAACTTTAATTCGAGATCTGAACCATAAGTAACCAATGTAACTTGATGGTCAAATGATAGTGTATTAATTTGGAAGTAAACCATGTTTTATGTAATGGATATTTACTGTGATGGAGTTTTGTTCTTTGAGCTGGATGGTTTAGTCGTGGAGCTTTCATCGTCCTTCTGAACGACATCATCAGCATAAACTTCGGTTGAGGGAATAAATAATCTTTAACTTCATGATATCTAGTACTAAATTTGCTAGTGACAGTTTTCTTTCGAATACAAAGACATTATACTAAGCGAACAGATACTAAAATCTTATTTATTTTAATGATAGGTAGTTGGAAGTGGTTACAGGAAAGGTTTAGATTTAATGTTGTTACTACTTGTGGAGATTATCTTCTACCTTGAGACTGTAGTATATACCACCTAATTCCTGTTGTGATGGTCCAGAAAATTTCTCGAAATAGACAAGAAAGGCTTAGGAAAACACTAAGAATCATTTTCTGCATTCAGCATTCAGTAGAAGTTTTGTTAGAAACATCACGAAAGTGAAAAGTCACATATAGAGTTTCTGATTGGCTGATTACTAAACTGCTGTAGTGAACAGAACACTAATTGGGGACAATCGAATGTCTTTAAGCAAAATTACAGACTATGTCAGTAAATTCTGATAACCAAACAATGAACAATCAATTTGTAAATTAACAACCAATTGTTTCAATCTTCACTGTTTCTTATCTAATTCCATTGCTCATGCATTTTCCAAACGATTGCGCTCTATTTCAGTTCTTTCTTCATCGGTCTTCTGCGAAAATACATTCTATGTCTGACCAACACCATATACTACTTATATAGATATAAGTAGACCACACCACACTGCTACTATGTTTAGTAGTATTCCAGAATTTTCAAAAAAACCTATGGACTTCTAATATACAATAAAAACCCTACAGATTGACTTTGTTATGACTGTGTTGAATAAAGTATTACCCAATATTCACCATGATTCTCTATTCTTGGTCGTCAATTGTGTATTTGATATAACATGATCTGATCACTATATTAAGTATCATTCAAGTATAAAGTCCAGCATAGCATAGTAAATGACAGAGAAAGAAGAATATTGAAAACTAACTGTTACATATAGCATTCGTTTATATAGTTGAAATCATGAGTCAATTGAAGCTAGATCACCATAGGAAACCTAGAAGCACTGAAGGCCGTTTCATCCTGCTATGGGACTCCTCAGCAGTGCGCATCCACGATCCTGCCTCGTGAGATTCGAACCCAGGATCTATCATTCTCATGCACGAGCGCTTAACCACTAGACCACTAAGCCGGTATTCAACGGTGTTAATGTCTTACTTCAACCAATCCACGAAATCGCGCGACCAACTTCCATTGTACTCAGGTAGATACCTGTCTCTACCTGACATGGATTAGCTCCAGTGGCCACGACTTCTCACTAGAACTCCAGGAATTACCTCATAGAGCCAGTCATTAGTGAGCATATGATCATTATCACAAAGGGGTTTTGTTGAGATTTTAGTAATTTTATATAGTTAAGATCATTAGTCAATTGAAGCTAGACCACCATCATTTATATCGGTTCAATTAGTCAAATCTAACAAACGATAATTAACTTAGAATGAAAAGATGTTCTGAAGTGAAACAATTCATATCAAAATTACTATCACATTTTTCTTACCGTTCAATTTGTCGATCTTTATCTTTTAATGTTTCTTCCCATCCAATACGACTACCATCTGAACTGACACGTTCTGTACTGATACGTGAAAGACGAGCTTGAGCTGTTGCTAATTGTGTTTCTTTATCATTAAGTAAATCTTCTATATTTTCAATCTAATATATAATGTAACATAATATAGACTTTTTAGTTTTAAATATTCTATTTTAATTAACTTATACTACTCACAATAATTATCAGTAGACTTACAATGATTTTAGTGTGATGTAAGTGCATTGTCATGAGAATACACGTCATGTCTTCTTAATATTACCTTTACGAGGGCTCACAATACCTTATATCAAAATTAAATGTTTTAGGAATTATGAGAACAAATTCTTCAAACGACTGTAGGGTATCTAAACGAAATCTTAAGTAGGAATGTATTTTTTGGTATATCTAGGAATTCACCATGACATGATTAAGGTTTACCTGTTGTGAAATCTCAATAGAACCTTGAAACTGCTCTTTAAATTGATTCCCTAGTGAGTTTTGTTCAAGTTGGAGCTAGTTTCTGTTGTATCCCGAAGAGAATTGTGAATGGTAACTTTTGAGGACTATTTATGGACCAATGTGATATGTATATTTCCTATTGTATAATTGTTAAGTAACTAACCTAATCGTATTCGTGTTCCTTTTATCATTAGCTTTACTTTGACCTTTGACCTATTATTATACGATTCTTGAGTTATCATTAGTCTATTGATTATTTTCCCCCTATCCACAGCCACATTTGGTCAATTATTGTACAAATGTTATTTTCTATTTTTATGTTACGATGTGGTCTGTTTTGTTGGTATATAGACCCAGTATGTTTGTGAATAATGAAACATATTTCTGAGGCTGATATTGGTGTTCTGGACTTAACTTGCTGGGCCAGACAGAAGAAGGACCGAGTAGTACTCAACACCGCTCATACGGCTTCTGTGTATCATTGCTTCGATCGATAATTCGCTCTTCTCTCATTGAGGGGAATCAGCATGTTCATATAATAAGAGGGCACACATACACACTTACATGTTATAACAGTTTCCATCAGAAGCATAATTTGTAGCAAAATGCTGTTATGTCGCCAATTCAAGAACCTCAGAAGTATATACTCATAATCCTGTAAAGAATCGAATCCAAATCTCTTACAAATGCCAATAAATGAGTTCATTTCAAATGATGTGGTTAGTTTAATGATCAATAATTCAGTTGTTTTTTTTTACTTTAACCTACTTTTACCGTATTAGAATAAACAGTTTGACCTATTCTTATGATTACTACAATTTTACTCTGACAAAAAATTTAAAAAAATCTTTTTTTTTCTTTTTTCTGCTGAATTTGAGTTCCTTTCTAATATATTTTGATGCGTATGCCAAAAATAATCTACCTTTATTACTCATATTGACATCATATATTGAATTTGAAAAAACAAAAAAACTGTGTTAGGACAAAAAACGGTTATGGTTTCTGTCATGAATGATTGAAAAATAATTTTATAAGTCATTTCCAATTTTAAATTAAACTTGAATAATCTCCCCCACCCAACAACAGTTTACCCCACCTTAACAACAACAAAAACTAATGAAAGTTCAATACTTTTGGATCAATTTTAATTTAATATCAATAAGGTTAATCAATTATTTTTTTTCAATAGGCGAGATCATGAGTTAATTGAAGCTAGATCACCATGACGTCATAAATCTTCATCGACTGAGATGGTTGGGCCACGTGTTGTTACGTATGCCTAAACACCAATTACTACGATGCGCTATGTTGACTGGTATTGGCGATGGTTGAAAGAAAGGTAGGAGCGCCCAAACCAAAACGTGACATCAGTGCTTGAAGTTACTATCTTGTAGTCTAAGCCATGTTAGTAGATACAGTCTACTTGGTCGGGATACGCGCGACTATCGTAACCAATGGTTGGAGACTCTAGGTGACATGTCTCAGAATCGATCACAATGGCGTAGGTGTATACACTCTCTGTCTTCCCCTAAATCTTGAGAATAAAATCGATTCATATATGTCTTTCTTCCTATACTATATCCTTATATACAACCTATAATACCACCACTAAATTAACTACTGCTGTGAATTCGATGTTCATCTTGTTGTGTTAACGAGGTATGCCAACTTAGACCGATGCATATACATGTGCCTGATCCTACGTTGTAGCTGACTGACTAACTGATAAAACATATTTCATCTTATGTATAATATCAAGTTGATGATATCCATCGTTGAAGCATATCAGTTCTATCTAAGTCATGGTATCAATCAACCTTCAAAAATATTAACCGCTAGAATCAAAATAAATCCATGCTTACCTTTTTTTGTAATAATGATATTTTTCTATCTTTTATATCCATTTGATCTTTTAATTCATTTAATTCTTGTTCAATTTGTCGTTTAGCTGTTTGTGCATTAGTTAATGCTTTTGATTTTTTCTCTAAAAGATTTTCTTTCTCTTTAATTCGTTTACGAAAATCTTCAGCCTATTTTAAAAGTATCATGATTATTAGTAATAATTTGAAAATTAAAAAGAAATATATTCAAAGAATAAGTAAAGATGGATAGTGGCTAGCAGTGGAATGCAGAACGGGCGTTTCGTCCTATTTGGGACTCGTCAGCTAGATGTACCTGCATCTCAGAGTAGATGTTCACTCTGGTACTGGAACCCAATAGCTGAGTGGATAACGTGATGAGGTTTGGAGCGAACGGTACTGGGTTCGAGTCCAAGGATGAACATCAACTTCGAGATGCAGATACATCCAGCTGACGAGCCCCAAATAGGACGAAACGTGCTTTTTCCTGGATTCCACTGCTAGCCACTATTCATCTTTGCTTATAATGCTTGTGAACTTAGGTTATATCGAAGCAATACGCACAATATGCACATATGCCAATAAGAGACTGATCAATTGCAGTCCTAAACTTCAATGAGAAGATTCAAACAAACAATACCAAATGAATTCATACTCAACTAAGACTGAAATTGTATATATACACAAACAATTATGTAGTTGTAAGTACTAGAATTAAACACTATTCATCGGTACTATACTTCACCTACTTTTCTAATTAACTACTATTTTAACAAGTAAACAATTCAGGGAGTAAATAAGTGAGTATGTGAGTGAGCAAGTATGTAAGTAAATAAGTGAGTATATGAGTGAGCAAGTATGTAAGTAAATAAGTGAGTATATGAGTGAGCAAGTATGTAAGTAAATAAGTGTGTGTGAGTTAACGGTAGATAAATGGGTAAGTAAGTACGTTACGAAATAAAGGAGGAAGGAGAGAAGAAAGGTAAGAAGAGGAAAGGGAAGATGTAGATAAATGAGTAAACGAGTGGGTGAGTCAGTCAGCTAGTCCAGAAGAATACTGCAATAATTAACTTGGTTTTTAACTGCTAGCAACTGATTATTCTTACTTTATATAGATCACAAACCAATCACCATTGAAAATCTGGAAGCATTGGACGGCCGTTTCGTCCTAGTGTGGATTCCTTAACAGTGCGCATCCATGATCCGGAACGCGGGACTCAAACCTAGGACCTTCGGCCTCGTATGTGAGCCCTTAACCTCTACGCCACAGATACTAAATTTCTGTAGTGTCTATCAAAGCAGTTCATTTACATCAATATAAAATCATATATACATGCACAAGAAAAGAAAGAAACTTACATCAGCTGTTAACATAGAGATTTTATGTTCACGTGTATTCACTTGTTCTTTTAATACATTAATATGATGATTTTGATCTTGATGTTGTTTATCCGTCATTTCTAAACGTGATTGTAATGTGTATAATTCACATTCACGTTTTGACATTTCGCTATTTAACATTTCAATCTGAAATAAATTATGAATTATGTTTTTTTGTATATGAAAATGAAGCTAGACCACCAAGGAAAACCTGGAAGCACTGGACGGCCATTTCGTTTTTGTGAGACTACTCAGAAGATCGGATGCCGGCTCAGTGGTCTATCGGTTAAGTGCTCTGGCGCAAGACTGGTAGGTTCTGGGTTCGAATCTCGTGGATGCGCACTGCTGAAAAATCCCACAATAGGACAAAACGGCCGTCCAGTGCTTCCAGGTTTTCCATGGTGATCTAGCTTCAGTTGACTAACGCTTTCAACTAATATCATTAAGCCATTGAAAATCAGAACCGAAAAGTTCATTCATCCTAGTATGCGACTGCAATCAATTTTGTTTATGGGTAGTTTCGTCGAGCCCTTTTATTGACTTATTTAACAGATAGTGTTATTCGAATAATAATAATAATAATAATAATAATAATAATAATAATAATTCATCTATTCTTTGTACTTTAATGGTCACTATCATATCTGTATAAATGTGTATGCGTAATCACATATGGCAGTCTACTCATTTATCTCTCTCTAACCTAGAGGGTAATCACTTAAACATTGCTCGATGAGTCATTCTCTTCCTCATGTATATATATGTACGCGAATCCCATTACTAGCCTTTGCTTTGCTTTGCTGTGCCCTTACACGATTGACCATTAATTCACCACCGTATTTGCTCGCATGTACACAGTCGCCTCTCTGCTTCAAATTCACTCGATGTGCTTATAACTTTGTCATATGTGTTATCCTCTAATAAACTGTAGTTGCTGCTTCTTATTGCCTTCTGATTTCAAACACCGTTCAGATTTATGTAACGACGATTATCATAGTCATCGATTAAAGAAGCTAAACCACTAAAACGTTCCCTTCATTCAACTCCAATATATATGATAGGTCTTTGAACAATTAACATTTAATAAGAAATTGTTAATATTAATGCTTTAAGAGTGATCATTTACTCTAAAAGTAGTAGTCAGGTTAGTTGAAGTAAATTGAGCATAACCAGTTTAGAAAATTGCTAACATCAATTAGGTAACCAATTTTCCGAGAAATAATTTCAGTCTACTATTATTTATAAATAGGATCAGTCGCCGCTATATCTAAATCTCCACAGTTAAGTGAAGGATGGGTTTTACCGCTGAGATATCCTATGCAAATATGAAACGCAAGTCGAGCATCCCATGTTTAAAAATAAACTATCTAGTTTAATTGAGTTCGTCATGAAAACTAACGTTTACTAACATAATCTTTGGTTTTAAATACCGTCAAATCAATCAAACGAGCTTGATCTATCCATTGTTATGACTTTATAAAAGAATAGGAAGGCCGTCTGCCAACTTGTTGTTGATTTTATGTCCGGCTTTTTATCACGTGAATTATCCACCAATCGAAATACGACTTTTCTAATCTCAAGACTGTGCCATTCAATGACGTTCAACTGGTATGAGCAGTCTAGCGTCCTTATTGGTCCCTTGTCCGACTAGTCCTTCCGATTGAGTGCAGAACACCAATTACAGCTTCTGTTATGCGAATCATTTATTTCAAGCATACTTGGTTTATATACCAGATAGACAGACCGCATCAAACAATAAAATAGAAAATAATATTTCATACAAGATCAAGCCAAATGTGGCTGTGAACGTGGGATACAATAATCAATAAAGTGAACATAATTTGGGAACAGTAAATCGCACAGTAATAATTCATAGATCAAAATGAAGCTTATACTAAGATGAATATAGATATACACAATCTAATTAGTCAATAGTTAAACCATAAGAATATATATAAAATAATCGTCCATTAATAGGTCCTGGAAGTTACCCATACTCATGTCTTTGCTAGGATATAACAAATTATTACAGATAAAGATTTATCTTAAGATTGTAGTTATACATAGTCAAACTTGACAATCAAAACACAAGCATTTTTCACTGAAATAATGATTTGTTATATGTTAGACTACCATTAAAAACCTCAAATCACTAGTCATCTATTTCGTCCTGGCATCCACGGTTCCGCACGCCAGATTCGAACTAAGGACCTTTAGTCTTACATGAATGTTTAACTTCTAAACCATTGAGCAAGCATTGAACAGTGTTAGTGTATAACTTTAATCAATCATGATTTCCACTTCATTCACTCTTATGAGTAAAACTGGTTTTAAAGCTAATTCACTTTTCTATCCAGGATTATATTGCTACTTATTGTTTTGATTTCGATATTCATTTTATTTCAAGTGATATAAGTCACGTGTCACCTTTCAAATCGATACGTGTTGTCACCATCTTCTTTCCTCTTTCTCTTACTCTTTCTATATATATACAAGCTTTCGAATAATTACCCCATGAGAAATCATTTCAAAACAAATAAAAACGGATTATAATAATAAACAAAATAAAAATGCGAAGAGCTTAAAGTAAGATTTTTATAAAGCTTAAATTGTATATAAACAAATGAAAAGATTTCTATGGAAAACAAATTAATCAATTAGAAAACAATACATTGGTTTATAAACATTCACTGCTGAGGAGTCCCATAATAGGACGAAACGGCCGTCCAGTGCTTCCAGGTTTTCCATGGTTGTCTAGGTTCAATTGACTCACGCTTGCAACTATGAAAATTCACATATGAGTTTATTTTGGGGTTCGGGATTCGTACTCGAGAAACAATTTCCTCAGTTTGTTCCTTAATATCGCAGTAATTTATATATTCACTGCTAACAAGTCCTATGTCAACACAAAAGAGTTGTCAAAAGGCCAGTAAGAGACTGATCAAATGCAGTTTTAAACGTCAATAAGAAGATTAAACCAAACAATAACAAGTGAATTTAAACTGCACCCCATTTCACAAGCAGGTGGCTATCAGGACTCAGTAGCTGAGGGGATAGCGTGATGACATTTGAAACGAACGGTACTGGGTTCGAGTCCCATAGTGAACATCTAGCGGACGAGTTCCAAATAGGACGAAACGCGCTTCTTGGATTCTACTGCTAGCCACTATTCATCTTTGCTTATAATGCTAGTGAATGAAAGCTATATCGAAGCAATACACACAGTATGCACATGTGACCAATAAGAGACTGATCAATTGCAGTCCTAAACATCAATGGGAAGATTCAATCAAACAACAACAAGTGAATCTAAAAAGATGAATTGTTTGCTTCATTGTTCATCTGGCTTGGAAGGAACTATTCTTCTTAAAATACTTATGATGGATTAATCAAGTGTACTTTTTTCATGAAAAATGAATTTAGAAGCTTTCCCCTTTTCCTTTCCTTAAAGATACTACATCTTATATGTATTAAAGCACATTCAGGAAAATATCTCCATATTATATAACTTAAACAATACACATTATATTCATTTAGGATTGTTTGTTTAAATCTTCCCATCGATGTTTAGAACTGCAACTGGTCAGTCTCCAGCTGACGAGTTCCTGGATTTCACTGCTAGCGACTATCCATCTTTGCTTACAATGAACATTATAATATGAAATATCTACTGAATTTACTCATAATTAGTTAGTAGTATAATTACAGTCTTGTCTGACAAAAAACATTCATTCATTACTTACTTTAGATTTTAGAATACGTTCATTACTACGAAATACTTGTAAAGTTTTATCTAAATCATCAATTCCACTACTTGTAGATGTATTTGGAGTAATTAGACCATCATCACGAAGACGTGTAATTTCATCTTCTAAAAGACGTATTTCATTTTCTAAAGTTAAAATTTTCGATTCCTTTAGGATACAAAAAACAAAACAATGATGTAAATGATCAATATGAACTAGATCTAGAATGAGTTCGAATATAACAATGATAGATCTTAGAAAAGTTAGGAATCTGACAATTTGCTACACAACAAAACACTAGAAGATATACTAATCATAAGATAGATATCCTCTGAAAGAACATTCTGGAACAAACATTGAGGATCTATAGTATTCAAATACAAGGAAAGTTAAACTGGAAATAAACATAAGACCTAAATATATCTTCTACATAAGTCAGATCCATATATAATAATGAAAGATTTCTAATGGGTAATTACTATGGTCGTAACAAACAATATAAGTAGATTGTTACTTTAATGTTCCGTATGAATAAATATCTAACCGACGAACTGATTTGAAATCTTACTTTTATGACGATATCCACTTCAGAATACACTGAGTACGTAACTATCATATTTTTAATCAAATAACCTGATCCTGTTATGTTCCCATTTGTTTGGTATTCATTAGCTATCTACATTTCACTTTACCCATCTCAAATCAGAACAAAGATGAAAAGAAAACAAGATATTCATTTAGTATTGTTTGTTTGAATCTTCCCATTGATGTTTAGGACTGTAACCGGTCAGTCTCTAATTGACATATGTGCATACTGTGTGTATTACCTCGATATAGCCTTAATTCACAAGCATTGTAAACAAAGGTGGATAGTGGCTAGCAGTGGAATCTAGGACGCGTGATTTTGGGAAGATTCAAACAAGTAATACCAAGTGAATTTAAACTTCACCCCATTGCAATAGCAAGTGGCTATCAGGACTCAGTGGCCGAGTGGATAACGCGATGACGTTTGAAGCGAAAAGTACTGAGTTGGAGTCCCAGAGTGAACGTTAACTCTAAGATGCAGGTATATCCAGCTGACGAGTCCCAAATAGGACGATGTGGCGCGCGTCCTGGATTTCACTGCTAGCCACTATCCATCTTTGCTTACAATGCTTGTGAATTAAGGCTATGCACATATGTCAATAAGAGACTGACTAGTTGAAGTCCTAAACATCAATCGGAAGATTCAAACAAGTAATACTAAGTGAATTTGTTCTTCATATTTGTTTACTCTTATTTTCATTTCTTCTTTTAATTTTTATGCTCTTTGATATAACTCTTACATTATCCGACTATTCAGAGATCAGTCTTCTATATTAAAACCTTTATATTATCGAAAAGTATATGGACAATATGGTACGTCTTGGTGTAAGTACTGACCAAGTGAATTTCCCTATAGAATTCTGTCTAGTATCAGTTCCCAGTTTGATGCTTGGAGTGAATACGTTGAACATGTTGGTAATGTCAATTATGTTAACAGTGTAAATAGCCATAATTAAGGAGGAGATCCGAATATGCATATAAAATGCTCTATCATCATTGCCTAAGTTTTGTTGACAGTATTTAAATATTCTTCCATACCTTTTAATTATCTCAATCTCATTCATTCCTTTTCCGACTATATCCCTTTCATTTTGATTGTAATAGATCTTACAAGTTCAAATCTTTTATAAAAAGAAAGGCTTTAAAATTTTAGATTAAGCAAGAGCTCCTTAAACTATGAAAGTAAATCTTGATGAATGAAATGTCAAATGATACATGAAATGACTAATTTTGATCAGTCCTACATCAGAATGGCAGTCTGCTTGAACATCTGAATTACCAGTTCCTGAAATCTCTTTCCTTGTTTGTTTTAATACATTGTCGCATAACCTATTCAGGTGCGTTTCTGAAAAGTGTATAGCCTTTCGTTGTACAAGTTACAAAAGGCCCAATTAGAGCTATCGTAGTTGCTGACAATATGCAGTGAAAAGAATGTATATTATTTGGATGTCGATTGACCGGATGGCAAATTTCTAACTGACGATCACTCAATATTTGTCTTCAAGATCGATCAAGAATTGAAAAGCGGAAACTTGTTGAAATACTTTATGCTAAGAATTCTATATTGTATTAAAAATATTAGTCAGTCAGTTACAACGTAGAACTTCGTACGTACGTACATCAGTTCGAGTTACCATACCACATTAGAACAAAGATGCAGTTGTCGATTCCAATGATAATGATAATGATAATAAGAGTCACAGAATGAGACTGACTACTTTCAAAACGTTGACCTATATATCTCAAAGAAAGTTTATCTAAGTTTCTACCTCTCTTTAATCATAAGAAATTCTACTAAACAATCATTCATGGTTGATGACAGTACAGTAAGACAGACTGAAACGCTCAATTCAACTTCCGGTTAAGTCTGTACCCATATTGATATTGTTAAAAGTACCGATTAAAATTCAATATAGATTATTTTTCTTTTCCTCAAAATAGTCAACTTAGTTATTAGATATATCAATCAATAATCAAGTCATTCAGGAAGAATACGTTTCGCCTAACAATCTGATCCAAGCTTTTTTAAGGAAATATGTTGGATTTACTTTATATTCATTCGCTAAGATGTTTACAATTACATATTCTTCTTCCTATTTTAATGTGTCTTACATCAACTCGGCGCCCGAATACTGTTGGAACCAATCGTTCTAATTTAGACGAAAGTTCTTATATACACCAAAACTATTCCTCAAAATAGTCAAATTAGTTATTAGACATATAAATCTATGATCAAGTTATGCAATTAGTTGATTTATTTAAAATGAATTAATCATTCAGAATAATAATAATAAATTCATTTAGTATTGTTTGCTTGAATCTTCCCATCGATGTGTTAGGACTACACAAGCAAGTGGTTATCAGGAGTCAGTAGCTGAGTGGATGAAGCGATGGCGTTTGAAGTGAAAGTTACTGGGTTCGAGTCCCATAGTAAACATCAACTCTGAGATGCAAGTACATCCAGCTGACAAGTCCCGAATAGGACGAAACGCGCGTCAAACTGGATTCCACTGCTATCCATTATCCATCTATGCTTACAATAATAATAATAATAATAGTAGCAATAATAATAATAATAGTTGTCATAGCAACACTTTACTACTGTCTAATCATGTAATAAAAGTAATGTATCATATATCTAAATTGACTATCTATTACCTTGCCTACTTGAAAACTTATTTCATCCAATCAAATAATTATAATTTAGGCTTTTCTGATTGGTTCATTTATTTTATTATTATAATAATATTGATTAGAATGATTAGGGTTTCTTTTTTTGTTTTTCTTTTTTTTCTATCTTAAGCATCAAAATGATTTCAGTAGTATATTTTTTTGTACAGGCGACTAATTCTCAAAATGTAACGTTAGATAAGAGTCTTAATATGAAAAAGGATTAGATCATCAGTAAGTACCTTATATTAAACAATTCCGAATAGAAATTTGAGTTGATAGGTTAAGATTAGTGATAACAATTTTTGGCAATCATAATATAAATCTGATGCCTGTTACCCCTCGTGGAGGAGCAAAGGTCGCACACCAACATTCTCCATCCAGCCCTGTCCTGGGAAATCCTTTTCATTTGTTATTCATCCTTTCATATCTGCTTCTCTTTCCCGGCGAAACGTGTTCTTAGACCTTCCTCTTTTCCGTTTCCCTTCCGGATTCCAAGTTAGGGATTGAGTCGTGATACAGTTTGGTGATTTCCTTAATGTATGTCCGGTCAACTTCCAACGTCTTTTCCTAATTTCCTTTTCATTTGGAAGCTGGTTTATCCTATTCCACAAAAGGCTTTCGCTGATGGTATCCGACCAGTGAATGTTGATTATTTTGCATAGATAACTGTTTATAAATACTTTTACCTTCTTGACGATGAATGTGGTAGTTCTCCACGTTTGAGCTTCGTACAATAGAACTATCTTGACATGTGTATTGAAGATTTTCACTTTGAAATTAGTTGAGAGTTGTTTTCAGTTCCATATGTTTTTCAATTTTAAGAAATGCGGTCCTTGCTCTGTCAATCCTCGCCTCTACATCTGCATCAGATCCTTGTTATTCATCGATGATTCTCCTCAGGTAAGTGAAAGATTCCACCCCTTCTAGAGTTTCGCCATCGAGTGTGACTGAGTTGGTGTTCTCCGTGTTGTATTTGAGAATCTTACGTTTTCCTTTGTGTATGTTAAGACCTATTGATTCAGAGGCTGCTGATTCACTAGTTGTCCTCGTCTGTATTTATTCGTGTGTATGGGATAGGAGGGCCAGGTCATCTGCGAAGTCCAAATCTTCTAATTGTTTCTGAAATGTCCATTGTATTCCATGCTTCCCGTAATATATCGAAGTCTCCATAATCCAGTCACTCACCAGAAGAAAGAGGAAGGGGGAGAGTAGACATCCTTGTCTGACTCCGGTCCTTACTTAAAATGCATCTGTCAGCTTATATATATACCATTATTAACTATTAAAGTGGAATTTCCTCTATTATTTGAATTTATGAGTCGATCTAAGTTAGAGCACTATTGAAAGCCTGTAATCACTGGACGTCGGTTTCGTCCTAGGATGGGACTACTTACTCATTACGCACTCACGATCACACATACTGGACTTGAACTCAAGATCTTTGACCTCGCTCTCGAATACTTTACCTCTAGACTACTGAGTCGGCATTCTATGATGTTTCTAGGCTTTCAATGACGGTCTAACTTACATTGACTCATGAATCAATACAATCTCTCCAACTTCCTTTTTCGTCTATTACATAAAGTTAGTAAATGCTGTATTTAAATTGATATACAATCTTTTCAATATATACATGGTTTTTAATAATTTACTTTTGTATCAACCAATGATTGTAACGTTTGAGTTTGTCTTGTATCATGTCGAAGTGTTTCACACTCTTGTCTAAGTTGTCGATGTTCTTGTAAAAGGGCATCAAAATCCTGTAAAAGAAAAGAAAACGAAATTTACTCAATGTCCAAATGGGGATTCTCACTACAACAAAACGAAATTCACAGTGTCTATGTGACTAAGTTACCTTTAAACGACTAAAAAATCACATTCAGTAAATAAAAAATGGAAATGTACTTTGTTATAACTCGAACTTAGATTACTTAGTCTGTTGCGTAATACTTGAACACTCGAACGCTGGAACCCTCTCGTGTAACAAATAAGAAGACAGAAGACAAGTAGAAGGAATGTTATTCCAAAACCAATATTGATTATGGTACAAAACTAACAGTTATTTATAGTTTTTAGTAGAAACGAAATCATCATTATAGTTATCCAATCCGCACATAGGGAGTTATTAGCATTGTACAATACGGAAGCTACATGTAGTGATTCTAGAATATTCTTCCAAAAGTTGATTGGATGGAATATGTTCGGCTCCTTCTGAGCTTTTTAGAGCTTCCTCAACTTCACCTGTGTACTATCCTTACAGCTTATATATTGAAACTTACCTGACCAGTAGTATTGTAGTGAACGAGGACACAGATTGGGACAAACAAATGTATTCGAATACATAACTATCGAATCTCTTAGTAAAATCTGGGAACCATACAGTAAATACTTCATTAGCAAAATATATATCAATTGTCTTAAACTTTATTGCTCCTTTTATTTCCATATTAATCACTTTCTATTCTCTTTTTCTTCTCGATTGATAAGGCATACTACTTATATCTGCTGATATCAGTAGCATATACCATAGTATGATTATTATTAACTAAGAAGTCAGTGAGCTCGTTCAGTATGAATAATTTTTTAACATGACCGGATACATCAGTCCTACGTGCCATTTTCTAAATGTTAACTTTTCTATCTTCTGTTAACTTTTATGAGTTCCTGTCTAGTTTTTAAACATCCACTTCAAATTCTTTGACTAAAGTATGAGTCGAAATTTTCTTCGTGATGAAGTCAGCTTAATTTGTACATTTTTTGTCCCCTCTGTGCTTCATCTGTTAGTTAGTTATGAATATCTTCTAATCTGAAACATATGTGCATCACTCTTGGTTAGGATAACACATCAGTTAATCCCAGAGTAATAGAAATAGTCAGTCAGTCAGTCACAACGTAGAACTTCGTACGTACGTACATCAGTTCGTGTTGTCATACCGAATTAGCACAGAGATGCAGTTGTCGATTCAAATCCCATAGTGCAAGAAGTAGTAGTAGTAAGAGTATAAGCGGTAATCAGAAAGATTAGGGTTTGAAGATGATATTCAAGGAGTATAATCCAATGAAATAAATTTGGAAAGAGAAAATGATAGAGACATGAAGAATTCAGAATATTAGAATTTGGCTGAACAGATACAGTGATAGTAGAAACATTAAGCATAGATTGCATGAATCATAAAAAATGAATTCGTAGAATGAAATTTATAAGACAGTCTTCAAAGTCCGAAATGTAAAGGAAATACAAAAAGCGAATGCTTCTGTACCATTGAAAATGATTCTTAGCCAAAGTCTCTAAGCACTGGTTATTATCATCAAATCGAACCCAACTAGGTAGTGTGCACCTTTCAACAGAGTGTAATCCAACATGTAACAACTTAATGGACTGAATACATGTCATGATTCGGGATTCCTTAGCTTTTAATCAACTTATCCCTACCACAGTAAATATTCCTCACCGAGATAAGCTGTTATAAGACATACATAATTAGAGGGGCTTTTATGGAGATTTCAGTAATTTCATAGTTGAAATTATGAATCATTTGAAGCTTCATGGATTGATTGAAGTTAGACAATAACACCATCGGATGTCTGTTCAGTGGTCTAGCGGTTAAGCGCTTGGGAGCGAGATTGATAGGTCCTGGGTTCAAATTCCGTGAGGCGGGATCGTGGATGCGCACTGCTGAGGAGTCCCGCAGTAGGACGAAACGGCCGTACAGTGCTTTCAAGTTTTCCATGGTGGTCTAGCTTCAATTGATTTCAACTATCAACATACATAATTCTCTAACCATTTTGGGTGATAAAAATTCTCTTTCTTATGAGCCAATTTATCGTCTTTACTCGAAACCATTAGTCTAATCTTACCAATGCGTACTCGATAGTTCAAACGTACTTCAGTAATTCTTTGAATAGTAATTACCTACGAATATCTTTTTTTTAAGTCAACATTCCATAATTATCACTGAAAATAATTTTATAGAATATGTCCTGTCTATCTTTGTTTTTAGCATAAATAATAACTAACTAACTCTGCTTGTAGCTCTTCTAGAATTACTGCCGGTCCCAAGCCCCGGTAAAGGAGGAGGGTTGGGTATGGGGTTAGCGACCCCATCCCGTGGAAAAACTAACTCGCTAAAAAAAAGCTAACCAGAAAAAAATATATACATTATAACTGACTCCATGAACTAATTTCTTTTTGTACTGCCTGTAACTTATTCATAAGCTTTTTCCAACCAGTTAAGATTACTTTACTTATCTCGCATGTAGAGAAATTAGAAAAGTAGATTGCTTGAATACATCTTAAATATCATTATAAGGTTGTGGAGATTGTTGAGTTTTAATTGAGATCATGAATCGATCAATGTTAGATCATCATTGAAGACCTAGAAACATTGGATGACCGTTTCATCCTAATATAGGATTCCTCAACAGTGCGCATCCACTATTTACAAGGAATTAAAGCCACTGATTAGTAATACAGTAGCTCGCTGATGCATTGAATAAATGTTTTAAAGTACATCTTGTGGACTGAGAAAACAAAACGTATCAATCTTTTCACATATTTCCGGTAATTCTATAATCACTAGGATTATTTACCCTAAACATAAGGTTAATCTTTCAGTTACCTGATAACAAAACTAAAGTTATTTTTATTATTTTGATTATATCTTTCAGATTAGACCTTTATTAGTTTGTTGTGCATTTGAATATAGAAGTGGAATAGTTTTAGTTAGTTTTAGTTTATGCCTGTTACTCCCAATGAAGCATTGGCCGCTGACCAGCATTTTCTAACCCACTCTGTCCTCCGCCTTCCTTTCTAGTTCTATCCAGCGTTTGTTCATCCTTCTCATGTCTGTCTCTATTTCTCGGTGTAATGTGTTCTCTGGTCTTCCTCTTCTTCTTTGGCCTTCAGGATTCCATAAGAGGACTTGTCTTGTGACGCTGTTGGGTGATTTCTTCAAAGTGTGCCCTATCCACTACCAGCGCCTCTTCCTGATTTCTTCCTCCGCTGTAATCTGGTTTGTTGTCTCCGACAGTACCTTATTGCTGATAGTGTCTGGCCATCGGATCCGAAGTATCTTGTGCCTGTAGTTAACTCCGCCTGTAGCTCCTCTGGGGGCTACTACCGGTCCCAAGCCCGGGTAAAGGAGGAGAGTTGGCATGGGGTTAGCGACCCCATCCAGTAGAAAACCAACTAGCTAAAAAAACGCTAACCAGAAAAAATTATTCAAACATAAAAGTGGAATAAGTTCGTTGAAATTAAGTTCTCTGACCAGGATAGTCTTTCAGAAAAGAAGCTTTAGTAAGAAACCAACCATATTTTCATCTTGGATGCCTTTATCATATTCAGTTAGCTATGATCGTATTGCTAAATTATACATCTCAAAAAAAACTCAATTCTAATAATTTTTTCTCCCTGGAGTGAAAATCATTTCGATCAACTCCATTGAAATGGTTCCCATTTCTTTGGGAGCTATTGTCTATTCGTCTAGTGATTCATTTAAAAACTAAGGAATTTCATGAATACAGTGATCTTGAGTGCTGTTAGAAGTATGAGGGCAGTTATCACTTCTCGGTTGCCCACACCGTGGGAGAGTTCTTCTAGGGGTACCGGAAAAGGAAATTGGGTTAGAAGTGGTCTTAATGACATGAGAGTGTGACTGCAGTGTTCAAGGTACAACTGTTTGAGGTCGGTCACATACGACCTTTTTGTGGGTAATTTTTGTGTTAGCTACTTACTTGTTGGGACCTTACCGCCGGAGACGGATATATGTGAGATAAGGCGAGATGTGCATTTTTAGGGTCGACCTTTTCTGATCTAAGCAACTACCTATTTCATACTGCATGAAATTGTCATTAATATCTTTGCTAATTTACTCAAGTCTACTATTAATCATCATTAACATACATTCACTATGTTATTTGTATTGAATGAATGAATATCACTTTAGAGTAACAATGATAACCAGAGAACAGCGGATAGCCACGCTACCATAGTTTTAGGCTCCTTAGCAGCGTCTAGTTTGAACCAGCAACGTGACAGAATCGAACTCCACCAAATCTTGGCTGTTCAATTTCCGATGGCTAACCCGTCAAAAAGTTGACGGCAATATCAGTGAATAGCGATCTTACTGCTCCGCAAATTATTTAAATTGGTTAAGTTTCCTTTTATCTATTACCATAGTTGCTTGAATATACTACCGGCAATTTTCTTCTATATAAATCATACTAAACTCCACCAGTCATTTCAGATTTTGAATCTCATACTTGACAAATAGGTGATGAGAAAACAAAAGACTCAATTATTTATTTACCTTCAAATCATATATGACTGTAGGATCGATCAATTAGTCGACTGTCTGTACTTTATGTTCATTACATTTGAACTATTGAAAAAAATTAATTATAGTGAAGTCACTAAGAATTTTGACTATTTGTAATAATCAGTATGGGAGTCCCATACTAGGACGAAGTGGCCGTCCAGTGCTTCTAGGTTTTCAATGGTAGTCTAGTTTGCATCAACTCATGAATTCAACTAATAAAATTACTACAATCTCCACAAATCCTCATTCTGATAATAATCATCATGGGTTCACCGCTGACTGACTTCAAGATGATTTCCTAGAGTTCTAGTGAAAAGCCGTGACCAGTGGGTCACAATCCGTGTCAGGTAGAGACAGTTATCTACCTTAGACAATGGATGGATGGTTGCGCTACCATCCATGGATCGATAGAAGTTGGACAATAATACCGTTGAATACCCGCTCAGTGGACTAGAGATTAAGTATTTGCTCGTGAGACCGAAGGTCCTGGGTTCGAGTCACGTGTACGGAATCTTCAATGAGCACTCCTGAGGAATCCCATACTAAGATGAAACGAGTGTTTAGTGCTTCTAGGTTTTCAATGGTGGTCTAGTCTAGATCGACTTCTAAATTCAACCATTAAATTACTACAATTTAATCAAAACCTCATTCTGACAAAAATTTAGGTAACAAAGTATGATAAAAGTGATTTGTTTTCATAGTAACTCTGTTTATCTACAAGGAAAAAAGGTTGACTTTCGATTACTTAAACAAAACATCGAACCCGGTAACTTTACTGGTTACAATATCGACTTTTCCATTGTCAAACTTTTTTCAGGAAATTATATCATCAATATTCATGTTCAGTTTAAAAGGAAAAACTACGTTTTATAAATTTAAGAAAGTATAAATAAGACTAGGATAATCTAGATAACATATATACATAAATTTCTTATGGTATTCTTTTCTTGAATCTTCCCATTGATGTTTAGGATTGTGTGTATTGTCTTGATACTGCTGATGAGTCCCGAAGAGGATGAAATACGCATCCTGGATTCCACTGCTAGCCACTAGCTACCTTTGTTTATAATGCTTGTGAATTAAGGCAATTTCGAGACAGTTCACATAGTATGCAGATATCCCAACAAGAGACTTATCAATTGCAGTCCTAAACATCAATGGAAAGATTTATGTAAACAAAACCATATAAATTTAAATTTCATCTCATTGCATAAGTAAGTGGTAATCACGACTCAGTAGCTAAGTAGTTAGTGCAATGACGTTTGAAGCAAAGGGTACTGTGTTCGAGTCCCAAAATGATCATCAACTCTGAGACTCATTTATATCCAACTGAAGAGTCTAAAATAAGACGAGACGCGTATCCTGGATTCCACTGCTAACCACCGTTCATCTTTACTTATTATATATATACATCATGCGTCGATTGGGACTAAATTTGTAATCAAGATTCTTTCTATATAAGGTCAATCATAGAAACTTTTCATTAAGATTATTTTGTCTAATCATTAAAGTATGTCTTAACTTATTTCAATCTGTCTCTATTATGATAGACAAACATGTAAAAATCAAAAAAATAGTGAGATAGACATATATACATATATACAAATAAGGGGGGGGGTATATTTTGAGTAATTTACTTTTAGTTGATAGGTAAACAGACTAAATTAGGGTTACAAAAATTTTTTTTAGATAAACAAACAAACAGCTAACTTTCTTTGATGAAACAAAAAAAAATATTTAGATACTAGTATTTGAGTAGGAAAAAGAAACCCTTGTCTTACTTAGCTCTCTCCCCTTTTCACTACCTCCCTCCCCTCCCCAATATCATTCGTTAATCGATTATTGAAGTATCTTTTCTTTTTGGTTTATAAATATTGTATTACATAAATATTTAATTGGGCTAAGGCTATAGATACTTCTCGTTTTTTTCTTCTCTTACGTTAGTTACTTCAACTTGGCAACGTATTTTTACGATCTAGGTTATATATTACATTGCTAATAAGCGAGTATCTGAGTGTTCTATGTTATTTCTTAAATTGAATTAATGCTGTGAACTGTAAACAGTTTTGAAAAGAAAATAGTTAAGTGAAAAGGTTATTCTAGGAGTGTGAAATCCGGAAAATAAGCTTCTTTTTCGGAGATAGTCTTATTTTTTCTCAAGAAAGTCGTAATTACTGACTTACGCCTGTTACTCCAAATGGAGCATAGGCCGTCGACCAACATTCTCCAACCCACTTTGTCCTCCGTCTTCCTTTCTAGTTCTATCCAACTTTTATTCATTCTTCTCATGTCTGTCTCCATTTCTCGTTGTAATATGTTCTTTGGTCTTCCTCGTTTCCTTTGGCCTTCAGGATTCTATGTGAGGGCTTGCCTTGTGACGCTGTTGGGTGATTTCCTTAAAGTGTGTCCTATCCACTTTCAGCATTTCTTCTTCCTGATTTCTTCCTCCATTGGAATCTGGTTTGTTTTCTCCCAAAGTATGATGTTGCTGATAGTGTCTGGCCAACGGATTCGAAGTATTTTGTGTCCCATACTTCAGTGATATCGATAATACACTATCAATTATTCAATTTAGTTGCGATCTCTTACGATAGATGTACATCTTCGATCAACTAATTACCAATGAATAACTCACCTACTCATTAGTAGTATTAAATTTTCTGGCTGCCAACTAAACTATCATCCTTTTTTGAATGTGATATATTATGAAAACGAAGATTTTTAATTCATTCCATTCAATCATAACACATACTTACCTCTTTTATTCTTGATAATTCAAAATTTCTTTCAATTAATTGACGTTCTGCTTCACTTCTTCGAGTTGATGTTTCATTTAATTGATTTCTTAAACGTGAAATTTCCAGTCTATCTGCTTCAATACGATCTAATTTGATAGATGAAATAGTACTTTGATCACCAACTGATGTTAATCCATCACCAATAGTTAAATTTGTATTAGTTGTAGTTTCTGGATTGATATTTGATGATTTACCAGCTTTTACTGCATCAACTAATCGACGTAAACTTTCTTCGGTAGCATTTAAACTAGATTTTAAATTAGTTATACGTCTATCAGAATCTTCAATAGATTTTTTAAGTTGACGATTTTCTAATGTTAATTCATCAATTTGACGTTTAGCTAAATCTAATTCATTTAAACCATCGGAATCATTTGTACTACTACTGAAACGGCTACGATTTCTTTTATCACGTTCTTGACGTAAATCTGATTCCATATTATGTAATGTTTCTAACATTGTCTATTAAAAATGTAAGATGAGAAGAGCAGAAATTATAAGCATTTTAAATCTTTGGTAATAACAATAATAAATATATATCACTTTAGTTGAAGCTTAAAATACATATCATTGGGATTTAGATTGTATGGTGTCATTACTTACTTACTTCCTTGCTTACTTACTTACTAACGCCCGTTACTCCCATTGGAGTATAGGCTACCGACCAGCATTCTCCAACCCACTCTGTCCTGGGTCTTCCTTTCTAGTTCTATCCAATTTTTGTTTATTCTTCTCATGTCTGTCTCTATTTCTCGGTGTAATGTGTTCTCTGGTCTTCCTCTTCTCATTTGGCCTTCAGGATTCCATGTGAGGGCTTATCTTGTGACGCGACTGGGTGATTTCTACAAATTCTGCCCAATCCACTTCCAGTGCTTCTTCCTGATTTCTTCCTCCACTGAAATCTGGTTTGTTCTCTCTCACAGTAACTTGTTGCTGATAGTGTCTGGCCATCGGATCCGAAGTATCTTGCTTAGACAACTGTTAATAAACACTTGTATCTTCTGGGTGATGGCTTTCCTAGTTCTCCAAGTTTCCGTCCCATACAGTAGAACTGTCAAGACAGTTCTACTGTATGTATAGTGTCATAGAATCAGAATATCTTTTGTCTAATCTTGTACAGAACAATAGAGTTATGTAATGACTGATGAAGAGTCTTAAATTAGAATACGAAACCTATCTAACTATCTAGTTAATATTAATCCAAAAAATGAAAGTCATCTTCATAAACACTTATTTGACTTAGTGGGATAGTGACCTTATTTCTGATATATATGTTTTAATATGCAATTAGTAATTATCGGTCAGAAGCTGTTTTATATGTCAAGATTTTGTGTCATTTATATCAGTCAACATTAGAGGAAGGTTTTTTCTTTACATCTGTTAATTTTTTTTGAAAATCCATTTTCAAATTTCACAATTTAGATGCTGAATACTTACCTACTTACTTACGCCTCTTACCCATTGTGGAGGAGCATAGACCGCACATCAGCATTCTCCATCCAACCCTATCCCGGAGAATTTTTTCCAGTTCTTTTCATTTGTTATTCATCCTTTTCATATCTGTATCTATTTCCCGGGACATTGTGTTCTTTGTCCTCTCATGTTTCCGTTTCCCTTCAGGATTCCAAGTTAGGGATTGCCTCATGATGCAGTTAGGTGATTCCTGTAATGTATGTCCGATCCACTTCCCACGTCTTTTCCTAATTTCCTCTTCATTTGGAAGCTGATTTGTCCTCTCCCATACAAAGCTGTTGCTGATAGTATCTGGCTATTGAATGTTGAGAATTTTGCGCAGACAACTGTTTATAAATACTTACACCTTCATGAAGAGGGATGTAGTAGTTTTCCACGTTTCAGCTACGTACAGTAGAACTGTCTTGACGTTCGTATTGAAGATTCTGACTTTGAAATTAGTTGACAGTTGTTTTTAGTTACATATGTTCTTCAATTGTAGAAACGCTGTCCTTGCTTTGCCAATCCTGGCATTTACATCTGCATCCGATCCTCCTTGTTTATCACCGACGCTTCCTAGTTAAGTAAATGTTTCTACATCTTCCAGAGTTTTGCCACCAAGTGTCATTAGGGTTGGTGTTCTCCGTGTGGTATTTGAGAATCTTGCTTTTTCCTTTGTGTATGTTGAGGCCTATTGATGCAGAGGCAGATGCTGAGTAGATCGATCGTAATGTTTCTAATTCAGATTAGTAAAGAGGTTTTAAATCTCTAAGTATAAATTTTATGTAGGATATTTTTGATTAGTATTAATGAGTATTATTATCATAGAGTGTTTACGAAAATTGCTAACTATTCATGGTTTACATCATGGATTAATCTTAGTTAGATAACTAATGGAAACCAAGATGCACTGAAGAGCTATAACATCCTAGCACCAATATCAAAGTGAGAATCTTCAATACGAACATCAAGACAGTTCTATTGTACGGAGCTAAAACCTGGAGAACTACTACAACCACCGTCAAGAAGGTACAAGTATTTATAAACAGTTATCTATGCAAAATATTCAACATTCACTGGTCGGATACCATCACCAACAGCCTCCAAGCAGCTTCCAAATGAAGAATGAATTAGGAAAAGACGATGGAAATGGATGGGACATTCATTACAGAAATCACCAAACTGCATCACGAGGCAATCAGTAATTTGGAATCCGGAAGGGAAGCAGAAAAGAGGAAAGCCAAAGAACTCAGAGAGTCGGAAATTAAAGGCAGATATGAAAGGGTGAATAACAACTGGGAAGTACTGGAAAGGATTTCCCAGGGCAGGGTTGGATGGAGATGGTCGGCCTATACCCCTCCATGAGGGGTAACAGGCGTAAGGAAATAAGTATCCGGCTATTCCATAGTCCATCCATTAATTAACCAGGGACGGAACACAAGACCTTCAGATTTCTTAGTAAGCACTTAACCTTCAGACCATTAACTTGGCATCCAATAGTTTATATTTCTAACTCCACTAAATCACTGGACCATTATACAACTTAAAAGTTGATACTTATCTTGCTTACAACATGGCTGGACTCTGCCGATCCTAGATTCCCCTATGAATTCTGGGAATTACCTTTCGAAATTAGTCACTTACAAAGAGAAAAATGGAATGTCTTTAAAAAAACCTTCATATATAAAACAGAAAGCCTAAATAGAGTTCATAACAAGTTAGCCCTAGGTTTCTCATCTAGTTAAGATCAATAATAAATTGGTTTCTTAGATTAAATATGCGTCTACTTTGATTAGTATATTAAAGTTGTCTCTATGTTTAAAATTAATTCGCATACAGACTGATGTTCCAATATTTTTTCTATAATGGTTCGTTTGACCTTCGTAATTAGGCCTTCAAAAGATAAGTCTACTCCTTTTAAAAAATAGATGGATCAGTTCAGTATTCACTGACTTCATAATCTTATACTACGCCTTTTCTTGGCTTGCTTCTAGCCAACTCCTTCATCAGCCATAATCGTTAGTCAAGGTGGAAGGTGGTTGAGTGTATTTAAATCATGTGGCAGTCATCTTAGCTGATAGAGATTCATTATCTCATCAACAGAATTCCAACATTACCTAGAAATCGAGGATTAAACTTAGCATTGTTCGAAAATACAGAAGCTGGGCTTCAAAAGCATCTATGATCGAATATTAGCAACCAATGTGTGTCTTTCACCTTCAGAGACCATATTTCACAGCCATAAAGTAAAACATAGTGGGTTTCTGCGCAGTGTTCGTTCACTGACCGATAGACGGACATCGCACCTACACTAAATGTGTGGTTTCTTAGTAAAAGTCACCTGTTGGTGGTGGTCACTGATAATTAGTGTTGAGAATTGATTTCGAGGTTCCATTGAAAACCGTGATCAATATGTTTAATTAAAACGAGTGTAAGACATTTATGAACTAATGGCATTGGAAGGTGATTATGCGATAGTGAGAATTTTTTAAGGTAAACATGAAAACCTTTGGATACTGACTCAATGGTCTAGCGGTTAAGCATTCTGCACGAGACAGAAGGCCCTAGGTTTGATCATCTGTGATAATATCATGGATGAGCAATAGTGAAGACTCAAAATTGACATTGAAAGAACTGTCTAATACCTCCTGTATTTTGGTAACTTTTAAATGATGAAAATAAAATGATGAAAATAAATAAAAAACGATGAAAATAATATATTTATTTATCATAAGCAAAATACATGTGTAAACTTACTTGTTTTTCCAATTGTAATTGATGTAAGTGATCAGCTAATATAGCATATTTTGCATTCTCTTCTTTACGCATTGCTCGCTCACGCTTCAATTCGGGACTCCAAAATGTACGTATGCTAATTGTACAGGCATTTAATTTCTCTCTAGTCACATGTAATTCATGTTGCAATCGTACACATTCTCTTTGTAATGTAGTAATATCTGTAACTGGATTATGTGGAATTAATCCAGCTGGTATTGATGTTGGTTGTGTTTGTGGTAGACCTGAATAAACACCAGACCTCTGTAATGTTGCATAGTCAAGACCACCAATAGTTGGAAATGTTGGTACACCTAAATTACTACTATAGTCTAGCAATGGATTAGTAGGATAACCATAAATTGATGGATTTGTGCCAACACCAACACCCCCGACACCAGCAGCAGCTAATAAACTGTTATAATCTGTCAGACCTTGTTTTTCTAAATTCATATCATACGAATGTGCTCTACGACCTGACGATGGGTTTGCTGAACCTAATATACCGGATAATCCTGGATTTGAACTAAGTGATTTCAATGTATATGGTTGTCGATTAATTGGTTTTCTTGTCAATCGTTCACTTTGTGAGTCGAAATTTCCTCTCAGTGTACCATAATATTCTCCACGACGATCTAATGATGTTGCACGATGATCGATTCCACCTGTATCACCCTCAATTAACGGATCAATGTATGGATTATTTAGTCGTGGTGATGTTGAGTGTGGTTGTATACCAGAATCATACATTTCCCCATATTCTAAATCTTGTACACTTGCTGGTCTTTGGCGATCGTGTATCTCAGAATTAGGGTCAACACCTTCAATGTATTGATGTGATGATAAATTAGGATTATCTCGATAATATGGTGATCTGCGTCTTCCACTTTCCATGTAATTTTAACAGTTTAAAGTGATGGTTACTTTTCAGACCTTAAATGAAAGTGAAATCATGTTGGTTACTAAAGTGAAATTAAAAACTGTAGACTACTTCCTAATTTAAAGAAGTATGCGTATAATTATTCAAGTTTGTCTAATTATGAAAGTAACCAAAATGACATTTTTCACTTATTCTTCTTAGAGAGTAACCTCACTGGCCTAATTACCTACATTTTCATGTGTCTTTATTCATGGTTTGGAATTAGAGGTAGTTTTACTAGCAAAATCAGTTGAAATACGTTCGATTAAAAGTTTGCAAGCCATAATTTTAAGTGCACCATTATTATCAATTGTTAACCATCTGGTGTTAAACCATGTTTAAATTTCTTTTCAATTTTATAAAATATAGGATTCGAACTAGCCACTTTGCAGTTTTATGGTAAGTGAATTATACATATCTAAAACTGGACAAAGCGGAAGATCTGCCTTGGGAACTTTGGGTAGACAGTATATTCGTGGTGTGTTTGATCCAGTGGGTTTAAGACCACATTGATGGACATCTGCCAACAATACAAAAATAGTAAATATACTGTAAAAAAATCCACTTACCAAACAGCATCGAGATGCTTTACATATGCTTAAAAAAGAGAACACTCTTATCATGAGCAAGCCGGGCAATGGAGGAGGGCTAGTCCTAATGGACAAAGCCGATTACATCGATAAAATAAACTCGATTTCGAATGACACGAATAAATTTCAAAAACTCAACGACGTAAAAGACATAAATATGAAAACAGAGAAAATGCTGACTAATTCACTCAAGGAATTAAAAAATAAGGGAATACTTACTTCAAGTATACACGATTCACTTAAACCAACTGGATTAACACACCACGACTATACGGTCTACCCAAAGTTCACAAGGCAGGTCTTCCGCTTCGTCCAGTTTTAGATATTTATAAAATCTCTCTACAATGCTTTATTCTCAATAACTAACAATACAATAATTACGGATGCAGGCAATTTAGTCACCAGTATAACCTACTTTGTATCAGGTGCATTCATAGCTTGAACATAATGTGACTCCAAGATAAATTTCTTAAGGTTTCACTAGGAAGACAAGACGTGAAAACCAGACCATGTTGAAGGCAAGATCATAACCTAAGCAACTATGTTTGATGGTTAACTTTTATTATTAGAATCGATCAACTAGTTCGTATCTTTTTTACACAAAATTGTACATCTTGATTTAAAATTATTTGTACTTTTAGCTTCGTACTTCACTTCAATAAACTGCCAAAACTTTTAATAAATTGAACTATAGGTGGTGAGATATTACACTGATAGGACAAAATGATTTTCATGTTCAGACGTAATAAATCTAAGAACCAAGTGACAAAATGTTAGAGATGAATTGAACTACATCTTCAATTGAAATCTTAAAATGATAATCCGTTATACTTGCCTTGTACTTTTATGAAGATGGGATCAAAATCTAGTAATTAATTACACGTTGTTGAAGGATTATAAAACGATTTTGGAGTGAGACATTTTTCATCACATTTCATGAAAGATCAAGACTTAACGGCCTTGCTAGTGTAAAGAGAGGTGAATAAATTATGCAGTGGAAAACCTTCCGTTAAACTATCACTATACCTTCAGTGACAACTATTATTTTATATTACAAACCCAATCGTCTTCTTGAAAACATAATCACACAATCATGTAATTGTCACTGCAGAACTTCCTTCCAGCTGTACTGATTGAGGTAAGGATTTAGACCAACAACATGGTGCAAGCGCAAAAAAACGAGGGGCAATGAAACTAAAAATAAAGACCTATATGTTTCTTATATCTTTATATGTATATAAACAACTAGGAATATAAATCTTAGGATAACAGCAGATAAATGAGATTCCAAAAAGATTATATAAAGTCTGTAACTTGATGAACAAGTAGTAAAATGCTATGCTAATGATACCATAAAAGATAGATTTCAAACAGTGCAGTGCTTGGAGCTCATTTTAATTGCTGTAATAAAACAATATTCTCAGAATATTGCTATAACAGTTATAATCGCAATATTCACTGAACAATCACTTTATTATTAAGCAGCCAGATTTTATTTTATATTTTACATTGGGTCACTTTCTCACTTCATATTTAATCAGATTCCTTTTGATTATCGTTTGTCTTGTTTCAATATAATTGAATATTTTTCTTGGTCAGTTTTGTGTATTTCGGACTTCTATGTAATAATTATTAAGAATCCTTCTACTTTTTTATCCCTTCCACACTTCTAATTCCCGTGGAGTTTATAAGTGTCTTTCTCAGATTGATTCCATGTGGATAGTGAATTTATAGCTTACAAATCAATAGTAAAAATCAAAACCTACTGGAAATGTTAAGTAGAGTTCATCAGGAAAATGCAGTCCCATAGTAAAGAAAACACCGCCACACCACATCCTTTTTAATACATCCTGTGAACGAGAATAAGTAAACAGACAGTAGGAAGAGGTGTTTGTCGTAAACCGATTACAAAATGTCCATGTACACATTTTTCCAGCTTTATCCTACTACAGTACAAAAAGAATTTTAGCCAACTAAAGCTTTAGTATGTTAGAAGTAACTTTGGAACAACTGAGCGAAACTACGTTTTATAACTAAACGCACTGAATTCTAAGAATTCAGCCTTTTTGGTAAAATCACCTCAGAATCTGACGTGTACATATTTATATGAGGTCTCTGAGACGAATTATCTACCACAAGAATTCGAAGTGCCGTTCAGTGTAATTAAACCTATTCACTGAAGTTACTGTGGGGGTTTAAGGTCTAGTAAATGAAGTCCAGGCTATCAAAGCTAATGACAAAACCATGACATTCAATGATCTAACGCGACAGGTAGTTTGCACTTAATAAATCGCTTATCCTGTAGCACAAGAGATTCTTAAATAGAGGCAATATATAAACTTCTGGAGAGCAGTCAATCATCTAAGACTACAGTATTTAACCATGGTTCCATTAGGTTCGTAATGAAGCTTATATTTGCTACAGTACCTTTGTGTCGAAGCTTTTGAGAGCATCCAATCAATTACTTGATTCTATTAACATAAAGTCTGTTGACTGTCACATTGAAATGCATATCGATGGCAGTAATCTGACCTGTTTTGTACACAGCATAGTGATAAGCACCTCACGACATTATATTTTAGTTACTATCGTACGATAGAACCCAGGGAATAGCAAGGCGATGTGTCAGTTTATGGCGCCTGAACCGTTAAGTGAACGTGTGGGATTTAGGTCTAAGATAGTAGTGAACTAGGTAGTAGTAGTAGTGAACTTACCTGTGCTACCATAAAAACAGGCCTAATTCAATGCTGTGCATATGTCGTGATATAACTTCTTAATCTATTTGATCTTACTTCAAAGTCACATCATTTTCAATATTGATTTGCCCCACTGTAGTAATCAGCAGTTTTATTCGCAGGAACCTTTAAAAAAATGCGTTCAGACTGGTAGTAGAATAATATGTTTAAGTCAAAGAGGATGGATTTATGGAGTGATCACTCTTGATTGGTAGCACCATACACTGTCATCAATAATTCCTGAGTTGACGTCTTTTGACACCTACTATATTTTCTCCATCATTCAACATTCAGTGTGAAGCCTCTGGGTCGGAGTACGTTCAGAATTTAAGTTGGTCTGTGATGATGGCTCATTGTTCTTCCACTATCACTTCACACATATGACAAATGTGTACTGTCTTCCAAACCAAAACACATATTTAAAGCTTCATTCATGCCACACGCTTAGTATTTCCTCTTGTTCTGGCTATTCGCACACAAGATCCAATATTTTGACACATTAATTTGTTTTCATCCTTTTTAGAGTCTAAGCAATCAGGAAATATCGCACCACAAAGCTTCGTAATTCAGAGATTTGTCACCTTTCTGTTGAACAGTTTTAAATACTCACCACATCAGTTCCCTTCAAAGTGTAGCGTAGATAGTTATTATCTAGAGATGAATTTCTTGAATTAGTTCTTCTGCTGTCGCAGACGGTCTTAGCGGATCTATAGTCAAAGCAGGTAACTATGTATATAGTCAGAAATTATAACCTATCTTTGAATTTCATCTAATTACAAATACCTTCAAAATACAAAGTGGCAGTTGACTAGAAAGAGGACAATAAATATACCCATACAATTAAACAAATCAATAGGGGGATTTCGTCATGATTGGTAAGGTCAGAGTAAAGACCAGTCTGAAGTTATATGAATTTTAAGTGGTGTGTGTTTAACTAATATATTTTCTGGCTGATTCGCTCTTATTGATGGAGAACTTCTGAAACGACCACCCTCACTTCCCAGCCTTCTTTGGGTGAATATAAATTTCGTACCATCTAGGTAATGCTTTGAGACGCACTATTCTGTCTTGTAGGTAGGACAAGAAGAAAATCAGACAATGTTCATGCCTATTAAAGGTGAGTCATTTGTGAGGGAATAGTTAAGTTACGACTACTTAGTCAAATCCTCTTTTATTAAGATACTTTCTAAGTATGAGCATTCTAATAGGTTAAAGAAAATAAGCGAAAATATTGTATTACTGTACAAAGAATTGCATAAATGAAAGCGGTTAAAAATGAAGCTGCATGTATAGTATTATGTGTAGTTCTGGAATGTAATACTGAAAACAGTATTCTGATATACAAATGGCTATCTCCTTTTTCTGTCGAAGCTATTTCAGCTCGTTTTTTCTATTTTTCTTGATTTTATAAAATCATGAACAGGACTCGTTTCTAGTAAATTGTCTAGTTTTGTTTGTATTAGGATAACTCGACGGGAAGTGTAACCAATTCAGCGTTTTAAACAAGCTTTGAAAAAAGATTTTGTATAAATAAATCAGCATCAATGCCGTTTTTCGTAACATTCCACTAGACCATAGTCAAACAAAATGTTCTGCACTACAGACGTGGGTGGATCATGTATGCTGGTCAGCAACGCCACCCTCCGTTCTTTTGTGATGTTAGGCTGCCTTGCGTTTGTGGTGTGTGTGAATTTGCTTTAATCTTAGCTCCTTGTTGGAATACACTGTATCTAAAACTTCCATGTTACAGGCAAATCAGATAGTTAAAGCTTCTGTATTGTGTGTTAGGTATCTATTTAGTATATTACATTACAATAACGATGATTGATGGTACACGTTGTAAAATACTGGTCAGATCATATGTGGTTTTAAAGATGATTAGGATAGATAGCAACTGAAAGAATATTAAAGGGTATAGGATTGTAAATTTTCAGAGTGAGAAAACAAAAGATTGAGCAACTCACAAGAATTTACGACATTATGAGCTTCTTATGATCGGCCATACTTGATCAGCATTCATGTGATTAGTGAATTTTCTGTCTACTTGTGATAGAAAAAAAGACATGACACTTAGGAAGGATAATGCAACTTTAACCGTTAGAGAGATCCAGAATCTGAAAGTGAGGAGTAGTAGCATAAGGGCATAACCAATGATCAAAGAATTGTGGGAAAGGGTGAACCATGTGTCCTCTTATTTGGTTATATTCATGATGATGACTGCAGTGGCCGGCTTGTCTCGATTAGAACACGATCGGAATAATAGAAACAATTATTATTATTGTAACCAATTGTACCAGCGATTGTTTTACTGTATTTGTTTAACTGTATCAAACACACTTCTTGTCCCGCTATCCGCCTTGTTTGGTTTGAACTTTCATACGCTCTGCCCTTTTTCCCTGTACTCGTTGGCACGTCTCGGTATTCTTTCGATACCACTAGATCGCCAATAAATATATTTTACCTGGACTAATTACAACCTTCTGCTTTGCGAGTTATCAAAGGGATCAAGTCGTTTCTGAGCGCGAAATCCTATTGTAGTGATGATCATAGTCCATCAAGACTCAACGTCATCTACATAACAATGGGGTCCGTTATATTCATGATCGGTCTAGATTTCAGGCGATCCATAATAAAGTGCCTTATTAGTGGGCGGAAGTTCAGGGACCAGCTGATGAAACTCTCTAGAGTCAAGTAACAGTGTTATTAGTCTTTTGAACTTGGTGATATTGTCACAGTTACGGATAGGTATTGACTACCTGCTCAAAAGTAAATTCTACCACACTGTAAAAAACTTAAAACGCGTTGGTTTTCGGTGTCTTACTGAAACAGAGCATACTAGTCATTTACGGGTCTGTAGACTGGGTTATGGATCATGTTTGAGCAAGAGGTTGTAAATGAGAGACCAAATATTACTATGTAAAGAAGTATTGGATTGTTTCTTAACCGACGATACCACAAGGATTCTAAGGAGAGATGCTTGCGTCTATCTGCCCAACTTTGCATTTTCTCTGAAAATGAATTAAATGCTCTAGCGCCTGCAAGTGTATCTTACTCCACAAGCGAGATTATAGGAACTTTAAATGTTTAACTTCTTACTTGCTATCATTGTTTTGGTGTTCCGTGCTCTTTGCTTTAATCTTACTTTCTCTAGTTGTAGATAATTAATAATAACTCGCTCTGGCACGGGTAATAACCTTACAGAACAATGTTGATCAATCATCAGGCTATCCACTTAATAAAAAAATGACAAGTTCCCTGGTGTTGTATTGGCTTGCCGTGACATATGCCATATTTAAACTATTTATCAATTACTAAACCAGCAAACATAAAACTTTCTTATATTTCATGTTTGTTCTCTACATTAAATGTTGATTTTCATAACAATCTGATCATGCCTGTAAACTGGTGTGAATTCTGTAAATATTATTTTCAGAATATATTATATAAAGGATAGGGTCAACCATGCATGTCTTGTCAAGAAGCTTGCACGATTGGGTATAAAACCCCCTTTAATTGATTGGCTCTCTTCATATTTAGAAAACCGACACTTTAAGGTCAGGGTTAACTTCACTCTCTCTCAGGCTATGGAATGTCCTAGTGGGGTCCCCCAGGGTTCAATAATAGGAC